CCTTGTAACAGCCTTTTTCACGCGCTTCCAGTATCATGTACTTAGTACCATATGCAAAGAATCAAATCAAATAGTCCTGCAGAATTTTTTTGCCAATCTACACGTGGTACACGCGTGGACTGCCAAGAAATTTCTGATGGCGTATGGTCATCTTTTCGTGTGAAAATTCTGAAACAAACGATGGCGTATGACTATCTTTTTGTTTCGCCGTAAAACCTTTTATCGTCATCATTGTCATCACTATCTGCTATATCTTCAAGACGCTCAAGATGCCTACCATAATTGTCAACAATTAATCCACTTAGATACAACGAATAGACGTATACATATATTCTTCCTCGAGTTCGGCAATGGGCCGACAACGCGTAATGCAAGAAAGCCGAGGACTGTTCCAAATACCGTGGGTAAGCGGGAGTTGTTATAAAAATCCTTAATTAAAAACAAACAAACAAACAAAGAACTGTTTCCTCTTCGCACTCATGCAGGTGGACGAAAGAAAATGAAATTTATTTGTTGAATAAGGTATTTTTTTAATGGGAATAGGTCAATAGGACAAGGACGAGACGTCAGTTGGTTTACACGTTTGCAAGTACGGCCTTACTGGAAGCCGCCTTATCGGCTTCCAGTAAGGCCATAGACGATCTAAACACGCCTATCAGGCGTGTTTAGATCGTCGGATAGTAAAGTCATGGCTAAGGTGCACCCACAGAAGACTTGTACGGTACCCATCACAAATATTAAATTGACTTGTAATCGAAGTCTTTTTGAAGTAACTTTGCGATCATTCGAATACATTTATTGGGAAGTAATCCCAAGATCAAAATTGATGGATGAAAAAGGTAAGCAGTTGATAATTCATTTCATTTATTTATTTCCCCCTTAAAGGCCCGGTTACGGCATTACATAAAAGGGGGCAGGGGGGAGTATAACGAGGAATGCAATAGCAGACGCATCAGTAGAACAATAATAGAAGACACAAAATGAAAACAGGAGAAATTATACGTAATGGGCTAGTAAGAGATCGTAAAACACTGTTGCATCACTGGTGCAAACGATGGAGGATGGCAATTGGTTCCATTTTGTGATGGCATATCGGAGGAATGATTCGTTGAACACGCTAGTTTTGTCGAAAAATCATTTAATTGCACAAGAGTTGTTCAGGTGGGATGATATTCCATCGGGGTGTGAGAGCAAAGCGTTCTTTAGTTCTGTACAACGGTAATACATTTTATGGAGAAGGCAAACACAAGAGAGTTTCCTTCGGGTGAGTATGGTGTGAGTCCAAGTTGACTTTTCAGAGCAAAGACACTGCAGAAGTGGTCATAGGATGACAAGATGAATCGGGCGGCCCGGTTTTGTGCTGACTCTAGGTGGTAGATAAGGTAGACCTGATGAGGGCTCCAGATCGCGGATGCATATTCTAATTTTGGTCTTACGTAAGTTTCATAGGCCATCTTTCTGACAGGGCGGTAGCGTCTCGCAGATTACGTCTGATGAATCCGAGGATCTGGGAAGCCTCTGCAGAAATGCCTTCGATGTGAGGTTTCCACGAGAGGCTCAGTGTTAGTCTAAGGCCAAGGTATTTATAGATCGATACTGATTCGATTACGTCTTTGTCAAGAGTATATCAAAAGGGTATAAGAGACATTTTATAGGTGAAATGGATTAGTTTACACTTAGATTTGTAAAGTGACATCAGCCATCTTCCGCACCAGTCGCTAATTTTTATGAGATCACTTTGTAGCAAAATATTAGTCTGATGTGATGGTGTTATAAATAACAGTCACCAGCGACAGGTCTCATTTTGCAAGAGATGTTATACGGAAGGTCGTTCATGAAGATAAGATAAAGCAGGGGTCCAAGGACGGAACCCTGTGGTATCTCCAGAAGTGGCGTTTGTTAGGTTAGGTTAATGATCCTTAACGACTATGTATTGCATACGAGAGCGAGAAAACTACTAAACCACGAATATGGCGAGCGTATCTCAATGCAGGGATGATAGTTTAGAACGTAGGCGTTGATGGGGAACTCGGTCAAATTATTTTGAAAAGTCAAGGAATATGGCGTCAACTCTACGTAGTGTCCTAGGTTAGTCTCAGAGGCTGCACAAATGGCATTACTGTAATGGAGTCAGTGATTAAATGACTTTTTGGAGTAATGAGTAACGTAATGAATTACTTCTATGCGCTAGTAATTTAGTAATGTAATAAATTACTCTCATTCAGTAATTTCGAGAAAATTACTCATTACTTTTGAAATTACTCTTGTCCTAAATTAAAAAAAGTTTGTTTGCAAGCTTTAAAAAAGAAGAGAAGATTTCTTTGCATGGTGAAATGTTGTGACAGAGCATCGGAAGAAATAACCGGCGGCCACCTGAGCGCAAAGCCCTGTACGAAGAACGGGACAGACGCGCAATAGAGGGCTGGAAAGGCGTAGTCAGTAGTTCATGAACAAGTTCACATAGTTGCATGGGTCTCGCAGGAGAACCCCCTGCGAAAACCGTGCTGGTGCTTGGAGAAGAAATTATTTGGGGATAGGTGAGTCATGGTGTTAGAATATAAGATATGCTCGAGAAGCTTAGACACAATGCCGGTTAGAGATATGAGGCTATAGTTAGAGGCGGAAGTCCAAGTTCCCTGTTTGTGGACTGGGGCGATCCTTCCAGTCTTCCCAGTCGAAGGGTAGATAACTCTCAGAAAGAGATTGGCAAAAGATAAGACTGAAAATATTATTGGAAACGTTGACTGTATGTTTTAAGAACTTTGCATTAAAGGCGCGGCGCAACGATTTTCACACTTTGCCAATTAATTGCGGAAATTAATCTGTGTCACCCATGGAACGAGGAACAGAAAACTGTATTTTCTTGCGAGCGCTGGCTTTTATGTGAAATAAAAATGAAACAAATCAAAGGTCAAAGTGCCTCTCAACTCTCCACGTCGCCTTTCGAGTGACGTACTCTGGGGGATCACGTGGTTTCCCTTGGGCTCTCTCTCTTCAGAGACTCCAGTCGCTTCCTCCGCGATTATCTGACTTTTAAAGGATTAGCATCATCGAAGGTCGCGGCGAGTGATTGACACAAAAGACGTTCGCCACGGGGGTGACGCACGCACGCACGCACTCACGCACGCACGAACTACAAAATAACAATGTAAAGTGTGATGTCTAGCGCGGCGCCGCTCGCGCTTGAACAGAAGGTCGTTTTGCTTGCGAGGGTCGCGTGATCTTTGAGCGCGCGAACTCATAGAACTGCGAGCGGCTGATGGCGTAAGCCAGACTCTGATTCCCTGGAAAATACACCAACGGGTATTCGGGCTGTAGTGTCTTATTACTACGAGGATACGACATAAAGCAAACATAAAATTGACAAATATGAAAAATTACTCATTGTTAGTTTACACACATTTCAATATGTTACAGAGACAGCTAGCTTTTTGATGAAATGTGGTGTTAGCGTTTCAACAGGGATGTTGTTTCTTGGCAAATTATTGAGTAATGATGAGAGGTTATGTCGTAGCATCTGGCCTCCATAATTTGTTCTGCAGTGTGGTATTTTCCAAGCGTCTGTATTGCGAAAGGTATAAAAATTTGAAATTCCCGTTAAATCACCTGTCTGGTCAGTTAGGTGAATATTCATTTTTCTGCTTGTTATGTGTCTAAGAATTAAGGTACAATCACTAGTTTATATGAGATGCAGTACTTTAAGAAGAGGTCCTGTGTAAGTATTATATGATACATTATAATATTATTTATAAGCCGAACTGCGCTTTTTTGAAGAACACAGAGTTTATGTTAGCTGCTGTTGTGGTTTCCCAAACGAGATTAAAATAATTTAGATGTGAAGCGAGCAGACAGTTGTATATGAGTAATTTAATGGTAGCTGGGGGGTCGAAACAAAAGTTGCTATGAACAGCTACAGCTTTGGTAATCATTCGAATATGATAGTTTCAATGTGGCAATCTCATGACAAGTTTTCCTGAAAAATTACGCCTAAAGTTGTAGCCGAATGAACTTTTTCAATAAATGATATCCCTATCACGAGGATGCTGTCGAAAATGATAGATCTATTCTTTGGTTTAAAAATCACTAACTAGTTTTAGATGTGCTACTTTGTAGTGAATTTACGCTATTCCAAAAGTACAGTGATTCCAAAGTGCGGTTTGCGTCTTGAAGAAGCGTTTCGTTGTTTAGTGCAGAAAAAAACAAAACAAACTTGTGTCATCGGCAAACATCACGAAGGTTGCGTCGCTATTAATTTTGACGATGTAATCGATGTATAAATTAAATAAAGCAGAGAACCCAATGTACTTCCCTGAGGAACTCCGGCAGTTAGAGGTAGTAAGCTGGAACCCTGATTACTGATTATGACAGACTGTTGACGAAATTGTAAGTATGAACCTATCAGTTCGAGTGTTGTACTACGGAAGACGTAGGAATCGTTTTTTTTAAAATGTAGAGTAGTATGATTAATACTATGAAAGGCTTTGGAAAAATTCCTCAAACCCCCCAAGAGAAATACAGTTTTCTTCAAATGGTTTCAAGATTATTTCTTTTTATGTTAGTAGGTCGATTGTTCCTTACGAAAACCGTATTGGGAGGGTGTAAGGAAAAAAAGTGATTCTGCAATGTATGATTTTTCAAGTTACATGAAAAACACCGGTAAAATGAAAAGTGGCCTGTAATCTGATTGCTCATTTTTGTTTCCTCCTTTCAAAAAGAACGACTTTGGCAATTTGCGTTCTACGTGTAAAGGTTTCCGTGGAGATAGAATGATTAAATATGAATGATAATACAGTTGCTAATATGTCTGAAACGTATTCAACGGGCTTAATTTGTATGTCGCCGAGGTCACTACATTTACTATTGTGTATCGAATCAAACGTGTTGTGTCCCGTGGAGAGGATAACTTAGTCCATTTTCTGCTGGCTGCAGATCTATTGCATTAATGATGTCGGTTAACTACATCGTTGGGCCCAGTGTAAACGCAGCTGATGGTGACGCAGGTCATGGTGTCTTCCGGCCTTGGAGGCATGAGTGGAGCGCAGGCCATGGCCTCAGTCATCGCCAACGGCATCGGAATCATCGCGGAGGTAAAGACTCCATCTGGTTTTACAGCGGTAGCTTTACGGGCGACAGAGATTTCTACCTCGTATAGAGTGTCGTCGCCGCTACGGAAAAATCCTTCTCTCCACTCTTGGCGCGAGGCAAGGGAAGTCGGATATTCCCGTCGACCGTGCAGCGAGGAGCTAGATGGCAGGGGAGCCCCGGCATCCCGCCAGTAACGACGCGATGAAAGGAGAATCTTCCGTGTCGTCAGCTTGAAAGACTCGTTTTCAAACATTACTCTCGTTATGCGAAATCCTACTTTGGCAGTATCCAGTTGCTACGCGCAACATCGGATGGTTCTAGAAACTTCCACCGCGCTTACCCTCTTACTTCACGGATCACCGAGCACTGGTGGCAATCGTCAGTGGCATCCACGACGCCAACCACAACGGCTACGAGAATGAACCTTTTTCCAGTAAGCTTCTGCGCACCAGTACAACGCCCCTTCTCCTGGTCTTGCTGCCTGCTGTCGCCATATTCGCAGGCAAAGTTCCGGTCGACCAACATACCGAGCACCAATATTTGCGCGTATTTCGTCTTCTTTGGCTATTCTTGCTTGAGTATGCGCTAGTATTGGGCATAAAAGGCAGCATAGATCAATACAAAGAGAGATTGAAATTTTATTGTGCATTATGTGGCAGGTTTCCAGGGAGGCGACTTACAAGAGGCACAAGCAGGGATGGCTGGACGAAGTCGTCGAAGATCTCGAAGAACTCATCAAAAGGATCAGGTAAAATAACAGCATAAAAATAATCTAACGAAACAAAAACTATTAAAACATGCTTTTCCCGATTCATCCTAGCAGAGTCTGCGAGGAAGAATCCGCAAAAGAAACTTATTGAAAAGCCTTTCGAATTCTGGCTTGCGTGTCGCCTAAAAAAGTTTCTTTTAGTGACTTTCTTTTTGTTAGGGACGCGTTGTTAAAGGAATACTGTAACGAAATTCTAGCGCCTATTTTATTGTCTAAATGTCAACCGCGTTCTTGCCACACCACGGAGGCACCAATTTTTTGCTCGAAAAGACACCAACACATTATTTAAAAAAATATATATATATCTACCGAATGTCTTTACGCTATTCTGAACTTTAATGCAGAGCGGCTCCGCGGAAAGACGGCTGCAAGCTGCGTGCGCGCAAGCCTATTCAATACCTGCGTGTAGCGGGGAGGGGCAACTGAAACGGCCAGGTTGTAACGCGCTGATGACACCAAGTGGCGGAGCTCATAACCACGCCAGCCCCCAAGCAGCTTTTCCCGTGCTGGGCCAGTTTTCGTCACGTCTCACGTGATGCATCGCGCTCTCCGATGGCTGATCTTCGAGCGCTGTCTGAAATCGGTCCTTCGGAACGAAAGCTATAGCCATCCCTTCAAAATAAAAGCGTGTGATCGTTGTTGTCAGATAGTGTTGATAATGTTTATTTCTGAACGTGAGAGGTATATATTAGTTTCTTTTCAGTATCCCTTTAGGGAAACTGGAGACAAACGCTTTGCGAAACTCCAGCCTCTATTAGGAGGCCTTCTGGGAGGTTCCTTTTTCCCGTTATAGCCTTATCTTAAAATTTATAAGCAGTTTTAGCATAGCGTTGACTTGCACTGTTCAGCGCACCAGGAGCTGTACCGTCGCTGCGGTAGAACAGCGCTAACAATCTGCTAAAACTGCCCAACAGCTGAATCCGTAGGTGAAACCCAGTGTGGACAATGACGCTACTGATTTCTTCGTGTGTTCAGGAAGGCCAAAGCTGGCAAGGAGGTCGTCAGCATCGGGTACCTGGGAAACATTGTGGACCTTTGGTGAGTATATATGAACACACCCGTCGGGTTTTAAGGGGCAGTTGTGTGCTGTTGCGCGTAGCGAGGCAACGAGTAGGTAGACGACTGACTTTAATGAACAAAAAGTAAGGGCGCAAACGAGCTGGTGTACATTGCACATGGTTAGTGTTGTGTCGTTTACCCGCAGTCTCGGCGTTTTTTTCAACCATGTGACTTTAATCAGGCGTAGGTTGTTTGGACAAGCCAGTAATTGAATCGTTAGGAAGGGGGCAGGGAGGCAGCGGAGAAGGGCGCGTAAGCGGGACGAGGAGTGGCGTGTGTTGTTGTCTACGGGCCATGTTTGAACGCCTTCGTTGATTATTCCTGCCAGGTAAACTGCTATACGAGGACATAACGGGATAATCGCACCCCGACATCGCCTTCCAGAGATTACGTATAAACGTTACAGCACCCAAGTGTCAGTGGAACCACAAGGTTTGCGGAATACAGGATACGGCTTCTTCGGCAAGACTCCAGCGATATATAGCGCAAACTCGTAAAGCAAATTAAAAAAAAATAATAATATATTTTTTTTTTAAAGTCTCTATGCAGCAAACGGTACTGACTGCAGCCGCACTTTTCAAAAAACACATACAAACTTCGCCACTAAAGGCAACCGCACAGCCGATAACTGCGCAGCCGGATTACTGAGCAAGCGGACGTTGGGAGGGTATTCCATAGTCACTGGCTGAATGAGGAGAGCGTAGCATGGTGAATCACGATCATTTTGTCATCGATCCTATATCAATGATCGTTGCGGCATTGACCGATAAGAAAGCCGAAGAAATAAATCACGAAAGCGTTCGAGAAACGTGAAGCTAGTAAAAGTCGCTCTCCACGTTTCTTGAGCCGTCGGCGACATGCATAGATTGGTCGCAACAGGAGCGTACATAGTGACACGCTAATGGATCCTTTAAACCAGGGAACGCTTGGCTGTGGAACTGGAGACCACCGGAGAACTTTTGGTCGAGCTGGGTTCTGACCAGACGTCGTGTCACAATCCCTTCAACGGAGGTTACTACCCGGTTCAGGTGAACCAACTTTGAACTCAGACGTCGACGTTTTCTACGCTCATCAAAAAAAAAAAAAAGAGGAAAATACCTTTTTTTGTTTACAGTTAAGGGCATATAACCGACTCTTTGATTTATTGAGAAAGAATAGCAGGATGACCGAACGACGGGGAACATAACTAATTTGAGTCATGCACTCGCCATTTCTCGCAGTTAACCTACGACGAAGCCAACGAGAAAATGAGGACAGACCCGAGAACATTCAAGATGCTCGTTCAAGAGAGGTACCGTGTTATCCACATCACCGGATCTTATCCTTCACAAATGAAAACCGCGTAACCTCTCGTCAAATTTGAAAATGCAGCATATTCTACAGTGCAACACTACTGGCTAGAAAAAAAAGGCTTCGCTTACGCAATATAAAACTCTTCTGGGCACCTTTTTTAACATGCCAGTGACACCTCAACCATACGCCCCACCCGGTTAAAAAAAAAAAAAAAAGAAGGCGAATAAGCGCAGTTTGAGGTGAACTTGCAGAACCTTGATTGCACAACCCATCGCCCGTATGACACTTTCGTAAATGCCACTTCAGAAGTTCATGAGAGAACAGTCGTTGTCCCGAAACGAGGGAATATGCTCTGTGACCACAACACGTTTGGATTGTCGGTACTCAACCTGGTCATGTGGATGCCAAACTGTTCGCCACGCTCAACATCTCACTTGGGCTGAAATAGACGAAACGAATTTTGGCTTTTAAGTAATTTAAGTTAGTTGGCAAAGAGCCAAATGAACGAGCGTGGCGGCAGGGTCCAGTCATCCCAAATCGTAACACAAAAAAAAAAAAAAAAAAAAAAAAAAAAATACGCGCAGCTTGCGGAGGCAGGTGTCGGCCATCAACAAGTTGACCAGGAGGGGTCTGTGCTTCTGGGACTACGGAAATGCCTTCCTTCTCGAGGCCTCCAGAGCCGGTGAGAAATCATGTGACACTCCCCTTCCACGGGCATCTATCGGCTGCGCTTGTGCCCTAGTTTACAAATGTCGAGATAGCAAGCGTGTTATTTTGCATGACATCAGGTGGAACTTTACAGCGAATAAGCCCATAAAATGACTGCGGGATCCTCTTAATCGGGAACAATATACATCGCCACTCCCTCTAATATTTTTTTACTCGTTATTTTCTGGTAACCTATCATCATGAACGCGTACTTACCGTTTCCGACTGCATAGTACCTGTATTGATAATACCACGAACGAGATAAACATGTAAGTGAAAAGACAGTGAGTGTGCAGGTGAGCTGATGATAGCTAAACATGTCATATAACACCTGAGACGGTAGTGGAAGAAATTGGAAACATTTTAGTAGAAGGAACAGACACAGAAAGGGACGTCTAAAACTCAGCTAGCTGAGTTTGGGACGTCTTAAGATCAACTCGTCGCCATAAATGGCGAAGAGTTTGTCGGGAGCTTCGACGGATGATTTGTTCGTGATTTGTCAGCATAATACTGAAGTTGGAAACCCAGGCCAGGGTTTTATCAGTGGTGAAGGTAGCGTTTGTGGCCTCTCAAAATATCATACATATAAAATGATGACTGGGAAGTGGCTTCCGAGTTTTGTGATTCCACGAACTTCCAAATAAGTGCCTGACATTTCGTGGCTTCTAAGATTTTTGCCGATCTGCTCTAATATCCCGCACAATTCGCAACGTTGTAGAGAGTTTCAGTAGATCATGTTTTCGCAAAACGATACTGGTACCTATGTTCGCCCTCCTATTTCGACACAGCCTCAAAGTGCGCGCGCCCGGAGCGGCATCGGGCCTTCGCAAACAGCTTGCTGAAATTTCTTGATGTTGACTTCGATCGTCTGCTGGCATCATGCCTAACATAATAATAAGGTCGCGTGCCACTTTTCCACCCCCATCCAGGAGCGGACGTTGGTCACAGCGGGATAAAGTTCCGCTACCCGTCCTACGTCCAGGACATCATGGGGTGAGTAATTGCGTCATCGCAACGCGCGAAGACGCTTTCGGGAAAGCCTCGGCTAGCGTGTGGTCATTCGGTACCTTTACCTAAACTGTTGTGATGCCAGGCATTGAGACAATTGATGAGACAACTGTTAAAACCCATATGCAAAAAAAAAAAAAAGAGAAAAAGAAATTGGTTGTTAACAAAAAAGGAAGTATTAGTAAAATGCAAGGACAAGTTCGAGGGATGCGTCGAGGCAATATTCTGCTCCACTCCCCGTATACAGCGGAACTGTCCAGCTCCCCTGTGACTCGGAGAGCTCCTGATCCGATGCTTGTGGGCCACGATGCATGCCTCCGTAAAGGCCACACTCCGCGGAGCGAATACGTGACGGAAAACAGGCGAACTTCGCCCGGCGACGCGCTGGGTTTGCACGCGCGACGTCAATGACCTCTGACGATAGCGTGCGGAGCGAATGTCGTAGGGCGAATTTCGTCGCTTGCTCGCTGCGCAGTCGCCGCATGGAGTGGAGCCTTGGCACAAACACGTACCCAAAGTCTGACTTCCCGTGTGCACAGGGACAGAACTGCCGAGTTGGGGAGGGTTAGCCGTGCACGACCCTGGGGTAATTGAGATCGGTCGATGACGAGCTTCACTAAAATCCGGTTTGTCTGGACGAGTAAGGTAGTTTAAGCTAATAGGGAGTTTTCGTAGACCGCGTTTCCCCCTCCGCTAAGCCCTCCGCAACGAAGATGCCGCTACTGCGCCTGCGCGGCGATGGCTTAAAAGTTCCGGGCATCGTAGCTGGTTGCGAAGAGGGTTGCGGGACAGCGGAAACGATCTACGAAAACTCCCTAATGTCACTGGATCCTAAAAAAGTATCGCCAAGCTTCCCGTATGGTCGCCATTCTGGTTCGTGGAATGAGCAGTTTCTCCTTGACCTCTCCATTCTTGGTGAGCCTATTTAAATTCGCTGGTGACGGGTAGCTTTATAGATACGATCTGTTGAATACCGAGATCTAGTTCTCCACACGCCGGCGAAATAAGTGCATATCTTCGCACCGCCACCACATGCGGAGCCGGTGCTTGACGGCATTGAACAGTAATTTTCCTGTCTGTAAATACGCAAGAACAACAATACCATAATAAGAGATTTGTGGAGATGAGCATGATTGACAAGTGGATTGCATGCACGGCGCCAAAGACGCATTTATTGGCGAGGAACGCTTTCAGTACGATGATGCTTTGTAGCGATCTTGGTGCGACTGGTACAGAAAGACCCTTTCGAAGTTTCGAAACTTTAAATGGACCGAAATGGCGATTGCCACGGTATTAATTGAGGCTTATCAACCAATTACTTTGCGAGGTTTGGTCATCTGTATGTTAGTACATGTTTTTGTCCGGCTCGCGGGCAGGGAAGGCAGTGACGCCGCTTTCCCATGAGATCCAGTGACTTTAGTTTAAGTCTTCCGCTCACGCGCTGCGGCGTCTCGGCGGTGGCGCAGATTTCATTGGTTTATCTAAGCAGCTGGAAAGCAGGCGGTGGCGACTGAGAGACAAGTCCTACACATGCACAAGCAGTGCTTGTGTCAGCAGTACGACCTTGTACCTTATGAAACGCTAATATACTGTAAGATCACGAGAGTGCAAGAAGGAAAGAAAGAAAGAAAGAAAAATGATGAGCCGTCTGTGGAGTTTGGTACGCCTTTGTTCGAATAGGAGTTTGATTAGAGGTAGTTTACATGTTGTCTACTATTTATTTTATAATTCGACAACTCTTCTTCTTTTACAGTGACATTTTCTCCTTGGGTTTTGGACCGTTCAGGTATCTTATCTTCCTTATCATAAAAATCATAATAAACCACCATTACTGTTTCTCCGTGCCCTCTTTTGTAAAAAAAAAAAAAAACAAATAATATCTGTAACTTTATTTTTATCATATACACTTTTTTTTTCATTTTTTAGATGGGTGTGTACTTCGGGGCTGAAGGAAGATCTGGCAGAAACGGACAAACTGGCCACCAAAGTTCTCAAGCAACTGCTGCAAACAGACGGTAACAGAACACTTGTATGCAATCTTCAAAACATCCCGCACGGAGCAATTTATTTCAACGTCATTTAAATGTCTAGCGTAGACTAAAAGAAGAAAAAAAATTGACTTATGACATTGTGTAGTGAAACCAAATGTATCTGCCTTTTAGACCGATTCAAAACGACTCATGCTGCAATTAGTACAATACGACCTACAAGAGGTTCACCTTCCTGGCACTTTTAGAGGCGTCATAGTCAGTGAGCTACTACCATTCCTGCAGGCCCCACCTGGAGAAATGGCACCAGCTGATCGGCTGTAGAAATGCGCGTAGCATTGCTTCACTCGTTTTTCAAGCTTACCTAGATGCACGTACCAAAAACCAAGTTGCATAAGTGCTATACAAAAAAAAAAAAAAAAAAAAAAAAAAAACGGAGTAAAGATTTTAATTCACATTTCTGCACGCGTGCTACACCTTATGCACTCTTGCACTGCGGTGTAGCCGAATCTGCAGGACAGGACGCTGGATGTTGATTGAGCTGAGTTCTGCGGCGCTGAGTGCCGCTGTTGCGTACTACCGTACGAAAAACTACGCTAGCCTAACATAACAGAAGGCAGTGAAAAAAAAATCGTTCAGCCTTTCCACTCTCGCGAAGAAGGAAGACCAGCGGAGCTGTACTCGATACACTGTGTGCTTCTTCTTCTTCGTCGTCTCTTTTTCGCGCCGTTTCCTACGATGAATTCCCACCAACGCGCCCAACTATCCATTCTTCTATGATAGTTGGAAAGGTTGCCGCCATCTACGAGCGACGGTGGAAACCATACTGGTTGTGTGCTGGCCGCCGTCGCTTATAAATGGCGGTAGCTGTCCAGGTAGGTTTGTGTCGACATACACGGACACGATCCCGGGGAACCTAGCCCTTAAAAGCGCCGCTGTAAAAGAAGCACGGACCGTTTGAACACCAAATGTAGTGCAATAGTAATATATTTTTTTTTCTTTTTTTTTTCTTTTTTTTTTTTTGGGGGGGGGGGGGGGGGGGGGGGATCGCGTTTTAGTCACTCTCAGAGTTAGAACGGCAGGGCGTGTCTTTCAAACGCCCGGCCTCCGGCACGCGCTCCTTGCCGTCCGCCGTGCTTCGGCTACGCGCGCGCGCTCGAGGTGGCATCGGTGGAGGTAACAAAGCTCGGACTATAGAGGCGGAACAACGCACGCTCATTTCATTTCATTTATTATCCCTTAAAGGCCCCGCCAGGGGCATTACATAAGGGGAAGGGGGCAATACAAAGAAGCACACAAGTAGAACTTTTATACAATAAAAACAAAAAATAAAACATAGAAACAAGATGTGGCTGAGCACTGGCCATAGGTAGGAGCATCGCACTGATTACATATTAAATATAGACGATACAGCATGTCTGAAGAGGTCGGGGTCACTGATGAGCACTACACGGTCCGGTAGATTGTTCCACTCTATTATGGCAAGGGGAATAAATGAGTTGTTAAAGGTGACAGTGGAACCATGGATGCGACGTACACTAAGGGAGTTAAAAAGTCGTCGGGATGAACGATGCGGTTCTAACAGTAGAGACTGTCTGAGTGGAGGGTGGTAATAAAAAATCTTCTGGAAAAGACAGATGCGCGATATTCTTCGGCGAGAAATGAGAGTGGAGAGGCATAAGGAAGCCTTCATGGCCGACACACTAGCAGTGCGTTCATAATTAGAAAGAATGAATCGGGCAGCACGATTCTGAATAGATTCTAAGGTGTTAGTGAGGTAAATCTGGTGTGGGGACCAAATGGCAGCAGCATACTCAATCTTCGGACGCACAAAAGTTTCGTAGGCCAGCTGGCGCAAAGCTGGAGGGCCTGAGTGCAGACAACGTCGAATGTAACCAAGCGTTCTGGAAGCTTCGGCATGTATGGAGTCAATGTGGAGGGTCCAAGACATAGGGGAAGAAAAATGAACGCCAAGGTATTTGTACGATTGAACACACTCAATTGTTGATGAGCCTAGAGAATATTTGAAAAGAGATGGGGACTGTTTTCGAGAAAAACAGACAAACTTACATTTAGAGTGGTTTAGTAACATTAGCCATTGATAACACCATTTGGTTATATTATCGAGGTCTTTCTGAAGAAGAAGGTGATCGGAGGTGCAATTTATTTGGCGATAAATGACACAATCATCAGCAAATAAATGTATGTTAGAGGTGATAGAATTTGGAAGGTCGTTAATAAAGATCAAGAAAAGAAGTGGACCTAGGACACTGCCTTGTGAGACCCCAGACAAAACATCGGTAACGCTTGATTCTAAAGTGTTGACGACTGTATACTGGACTCTGGATGAGAGAAATCTGCGAATCCAAGATACGATTAAGGGATCAATATTGAGTCGCGATAGTTTCGCGAGTAGGCGTAGGTGAGGAACCCGATCGAAAGCTTTCGAAAAGTCTATGAAGATGGCATCCGTTTGAGAGAGCGAGTCAAGGTTAGTGTGCAGGTCTTGAGAAAATTCAAAAAGTTGGGTGTCGCAGGGGCGAAAACCATGCTGGTTTCGGAAAAAAAAGTTATTACAGGATAGGTGATTCATAACGTTAGCAAGGATGATATGCTCTAAAAGCTTCGATGCAATGCATGTGAGCGATAGGGGACGATAGCTATCAGGAAGGGATCGATCTCCGCTTTTGAAGACAGGAATGACCCGGCCAATCTTCCAGTCCGTTGGAACGCAGCCGTCTGACAATGACTGGTTAAAAATAAGCTGAAGAACTAAACAGGAGATGTCTCTCGCATTCTTCAGTATTTTCGAGCAAATTGTATCAGGTCCCGGGGCAGAAGATACCTTCAGTTTATCTATAAGTTTAGAAATTCCAGATGCAGTGACAGTGATCGGAGGCATTTGGGAAAACGGAAGTAGAGGGAGGGGGGAATATTATCTGGTGGCTCCGTTGCTCATCCATGCCGTTCTCACTCTGTCAGTAACTACAGTCCCGCTAACTCAACACCTTCCTCGCAGTACCGGAACGAGTGAAGCAGCAGTACCGCGATAACATCACCTGGATCGAGAAGGCCTCCACTCACAACCTGGTAAGGGCAGCTGGTGTTCAGTCGAGAGCGCCTGCGTCAGAGAGACATAAAGAAATAGGCAAATCACGTTGAAAAAAAGAAAAAAAAAAGCATTGCCGTGTTGTAAGGGTTAAAATTATATATTGTATAATAAGTGAACGTCTCTATAACCCTTGCATACCGGGTAAATGGGAAAAAAGCTAAGCGTGTTTTTATCACCGAAAATATAATTGAGGCACCCCCGTATGCTCAATTTCGTTCTCATGTAGCGCTGGCGGTTAGGACAACAAGTCAAAGTTTCATAAATAACCGTTATCTAATTGAAAAGTGGAAAAGGAATTTTCGGAAATTTTCAGTGAGAAAATGGCGTCGAAGGAATCTCGCGAATAGATAAATGGCGAACGACCGGGAACGCGCCCCATTTTTTATTTAAAAATTTCCGAAAATCGCCGATAACTTTTGAGTTAGATAACGGTAAGTTGAGAAACCTTGGCTTCTGATTCGGACCGCTAGCGCTGCATTTGGACGTATTTTTAAAAATCTTTTTGTGCAGTTTTGAGGTGACAAAAACGCGTTTCTCTTTTTTCACAAACACCCCTTACTTACTATACACGTAGAACGCAGTCCCGGCCCAACGCTAGGGCGGCTCTACGAAGGGATAACGAAACAAGCAAAAAACATGTACATTTTTTCAACGCAGCGTAACAAGGTGTCTGACAGTTATTGATTACGCTCTGTACCGTTTCGTATAAACACGATGACATGTGCTACTTGATACGCCATATCCTGTTTGGAACTACTGTCAGGAATATCTAAAAGCAGCACAGGGGACGTCAAAAAGAAGATAAATGATTCGTGTGGGTGCGCGTTGATCACATGATATCGCGACATACTACGCGGCAATCTGGCATTGTTTTTTATATATATTAAAGTTGGTGTTTGGGATAGTCTAGTTTGCACGGAACTACGTGGTGGCGTTGTATTCTTTTATAATACGTAGCCAATTTGGTATTCAACATCGTACGGGGGCCTATGTGACTCTTTAAATTCCTTCCGGGTGATTAAGGGGTCATGACGGCCTTTCGCTCGTAGCTCTTACCTCTACGCATAAGTTGCTTACGCAGACATATCTTGGACGGGCAGATTACACATGAGGTTGTCTGCAGGTGGTGGGATCTCAAGCTAGGATCCTGTACTCCGACAAGACGGGACGGACACAGATCGCGCTGGCATTCAACGAGGCGGTCAGGAAGGGACAGCTCAAGGTAAAAGGCCCTTATTGTCTGCTAACGCTTTTTTTTTTTTTCAAATAAAAGACTATTAAGTTGTTTAACAGAAAATCCCCACTTAAAAAAAAAGGGGGGGGGGGGAGTTATAGATCGTTTCCACCGTCCGACCATGCTATCTGTTATCCACTACGATTTTGAGAACTCCACAGCTAGGGGCGTGTCTGCGCAGTAGTGGTGTCATCGTTGTCGAACGCGTAGCGTAGGAAAAAAAGTGGCCCAAGAAAACTCGTTAATGCGTTACATTACGCTAGGTGTCCACTACTTTAAACCTGCAACCATTAATATTATTGAGGTCATAGGAAGAGAGTGACGTTACTGTTTATTCGAAGCTAGCAAAATATCGCATCAGTCAAAGGTTAACGATGCGCCTCTCCGTTGACTCTGGGCACAACATAGAAACGAACCTTGACTGAACGAGACCTGTGTGTATACTCGAATAGTACTACACCTTTAAATTACAAGAAAAAGTCATGATATATCGGTTCTCTATACAGTGCCGGAACCTATGGGCATGACAGCGCACTATTATGTTTGAAACAATATTCTCACACCAGTAGAATAACAATCACCAAATGGGTTTATTCTTTGTACGTCTCTTCCTTCTGCTTCAACAAGTTGTACTTTATAAGTATATTCGCATTTCGCACACAGGAGAATGTGTTACAATGTGCAGAAAGCGCATTAGTACCTTTTATTGAGTGCTCTGTTTACGGTGGTTAGCAATTCTCGTGACGTTCTCGTCGCGCTTCTCTCAGGAACCCGTGGTGATCAGCCGGGACCACCACGACGTGAGCGGAGCGGACAGCCCGTACAGAGAGACGTCCAACGTCTACGACGGCTCAGCGTTCACAGCAGGTACGACCAACGTTGCCACACCATGTAAACTAACGCTTCTAAGGCACTTTAGACGGCCCTTTGTAGAACCCAATTCGAGTTCTTTTTTTAAAGAACCCGAATCGGGTTCTTTTGCGGGATCCCAATTCGGGTTCTTCTGCGGACTCGTCTGCTATCACAACCCGAATCGGCCGGCACTCCCTCGACGCGGCGTACGCAATCTGTCGGCAGCTCTAATCCCTGTTAATCGTCCGCGAGGTGGCAGCGTAGATTGCCCGGTTTCTGTTTTACAGCGGAGCTGTTAAGGGCTAGTTTCCGCAGTATCGTATCCGTCACCAAACAAATGATGACACGAAACTCTGGACAGCTACCACCACCTATGAGCGACGGCAGAAACCAGACAACCGGCTTGTCGGTTGTCTTGTTGCCGCCGTCGCTTATAGATGGCGGTAGGTGTCCAGCCTTTCCACTCTGGCTTGCCAACTTGCGGCCGGCCATTACTTCATTCCCTCCCTAGTACAGCTTCGCTGGCCTTCCTTCTTCAGCGGTGGAAAGGCTGAACTTGTTTTGTTTTTTTTTCTTCTTCTGAACGAGGTAAGTTCATTCCTTGATTTTTTTTTTACTGCAAACTTCCATCACCTAATCGCGCCTTTGTAGTAAAGTTTTACGAGTCGTCTAAAGTGCACTAGAATCGTTAGTGTATATGTTGTATATCAAAGTGAGTTGACAAACTTTCCAGAACGCCTGGTAGGCTGGCGCCGTTTCGTGGCGGCGAGTGCCGATGTTATGAGCCGAAGGGCCAATCAAACAGCGCAAAAAGCGCAGCGTCATGCCGTGCTCTCTGTGCCTGATAGGACTAACCGGTGGAGGAGCACGCACAGAGACACGGCGAATATTGGCTGGTCCTACCTACTGCAGAGAGCACGCCATGACGTTGTGCCTGTTTCGCTGTTTGATTGGCTCTTCGGCTCATAACATCGACCGCGCTCGGACCGAAGCTGAAACGAAGTATAGATTCGGACCGGTGACAAGCGATAGGTCCACGCCTGGGGCCCTAAACTCGTCAAACACAAAGTTGTAGCCGAAAGTTCACGGAGCGCGCTGATTGGACGTCGGCGAAAAAAGCGCGAAGTCATCGTCGTGATACGCCAATTGGAGCGCTCCGTCAACTTGGGCCCCAACTTTGTGTTTCACGAGTTTAGGGGCCCTGGGGCCCTAAACTCGTGAAACACAAAGTTCGGGCAAAAAGTTCGCGGAGCGCGCCGATTGGATGCTGGCGACAAAAGCGCCAAGTCATCGTCGTGATTGTCCAATCGGTGCGCTCCCTCAACTTCGGCCCCAACTTCGGGTTTCACGAGTTTAGGGCCCCAAGTCGACCGAAGACGATGACACGCAGAGGTAAAAACAAAAAGAAAAGATTGGGGCGATAAACAATCGCGCACCGCGACACAAACAAAGTAAAAACAAAAAACAAAAAAACGCGAACACGTGTTTTAGCTCAAAATCAGGCTAAAAAACAAAAACAAAAGAAAAAATTTAAACACCGCGGTCACAAAAAAAAAAAAAAAAAAAGAAGATAACACTACAAAATAAAAGCCTAGCGGAACAACACGCCGCTCGCGGCACAAAAGCAGCCAAAAACCAAAATTTATCGGGGGAAAAAAAAGAAAAAAAACAAGTTGATGAGAAAGGGAAGTCTAGAAGAACGTTTGCAGGCTCACCGATGCGGGTTTGATGACGGTTCGGGAAGATCGTTGTCGTGTCGTTGCTCGGCGCACTGAAAACACACCGCACTCCCGAAACGAGAAAAACAAACCGCCCTCAGGCAAAAACACGCCCGAAGGCCACAGCACGGTCGAAGGCAACAGCACATCTGAGGGCAAAGCACGCCCGAAGAGAAACACACGTCCTTAAGGCTTAGGCAAGGCACGCTTGAAGACAAAACATCAAAAGCACGCCCGAAGGCAAAGCACGCTCGAAGGCAAACACACGCCCGCAGGCAAAGCACGCCCGGCCAGCCGAGCGAAGTGCCGACCAGGCGCCCACTCATACTGAAAATATCCCGCCAAAAACCAGCCCTTTTGTAGCCAAACCTTTAGGCACGCAAAGCTGATGATCTTACGAGTCATCTCGAAAGTAAACGAAACACACTCTCAGAAATAGGGGTGTAGTACTTTCACCCCTTGCCCCCATTTATAACACCCCAAAACCACACTTCGACGTTTAGTCCACTCACGTGGACTGATGATGCCAATTTTTACGAGCGGCTTGATAGCCGCGTGATACAATTTACTAGTAATGCACGTGTGTATCGTCGGTTCGACGTCACTAGACTGAACGTCAAATTGTAGATTTGGGGGTGTTAAATTTGGGACAAGGGGTGTAAGTACTACACCCTTTATTTCTGAGAGAGCACAAGAACAAACAACGCGGGGTCACTCGAACATCGAGTGAATTTTCGGAATCAGCCAAGTTTAAAATATTACAAAAATCCCCAAACTACGTAACTGGCGGACCCCCGTAAGTGTTGACGCATCAACGCGTCTACCAGGACAATCCGGAAAACCCCAAATCTTTAGGTTTTACCTGATGTCCAGACGCAGCCGATGCTACGAGCTGATGGGACCAATCCGACAGCTTCAGATGCGCATCATCGTGGCGTTCGTCACGCTTCTGTGTGTTTTATCATCGCTGGACCAATCATGTACAGCGAATGCCTAGTGACTTGCGCCTTTGACGCTGTTTGATTGGTCCCATTACCTCGTAGCCAGTGGCGTTCCCAACTTGCTTTTGAGGGGGGGGGGGGGAGCAAACCAGACCTCCCCCCCCCCCCCCCCCCCCCCCCGCTTAGGGCCGGGGGGTGGTGCCCTTGGTATCCCTTGGCGCCGCCAGCCAGTGTTTGCCCTGCCCAGTGGCGGCTGTTTCAGGGGGGGGGGGGGGGGAACACATGCCTTGCCCCCCCACTCTGAGAACTGGCGGGGGGGGGGGGGAAGCTAGCGCCCCCCTTGCCTCCCGGTCGGTACGCCCATGCTCGTAGCGTCGACTGCGCCCGGAAACGAAATACCGTGGAAGTCAGGAAAGAAATAAGCAGCTTGAAACGAGTTCGGCTTATCTTATCTCCCGTCATTGCACGAGAAACGAACGCAGGTGTGCGTCTGGAACCGACACGAAGAATAAAAACAAACAAAATCTACTGAAATTCGTGACAAGGCTAACCCCAAATGCACACGCGCATTAGTTCACGCTTGCGCGCATGATTGGACGCGTGCATGGACGGATTGACACCAATTTTGTTTTCTGGCGCGACTGAATAACAAGGTCAGTTGAATTCAGTTCATTTTTCTAAAAAAATGAGAAATAGTCGAAATTGTTATTTCCGCTCCCTCACTCTATCTCTGTCAGTGATGGGGCTTTCAGATTAATTTTTCTTCCCTCTCTCTCTCTCTCTCTCCCTGTCAAAACAAGGAGAGAAAGGGAGAAAGAGCAAACACAAGCTGAAAGCAATTTGAGGTTGCGGCCAAAGCTACGAAGAAGCTTCAACTGAGAACACCTTCTTTTTCCTCAGACATGGCAGTGCAGAACTTCGTTGGAGACGCGCTGAGGGGCGCTACCTGGGTGGCCCTTCACAACGGCGGCGGCGTCGGATGGTCAGTAACAGAATGGCTGCCTTCTGTCTGCTTTATTTCTGCTCTTACACCCTCTCTTCTACGTCCGACTCAAAAAAAAAAAAAAAAAAAGAGCAACTGAAGATATTAATTTTTTCTCACGAGTTGTGTTGTGCTCTCTGTCGAAGCTGTTCCGAAATGGAAGGTGGATATAATATATAAAAATACGCATCAAAAAAAAAAAACAAAAAAAAAAACAAAAAAAAAAAAACGTTTTTGGGTGCGTAACGTGTGTACGCTCCGGAGTAGATGGGTGCCATTTCCTCGATGAAATATTTTTGCGGAAACCGCTAATAACTTTTGAATCCAATAAGGGTAAGTTTTGAAACCCTGGTATAGGATCTCAACAATTGATCGATACATCCGGATGCGAAAAGCAAAACAATATTTATTTTTGTTGGTTCGGATTTGCATACAGCGTAAGCCAAATTGTGTAGTTTACTGAGATCAAGAGAAGTCAATGCTAAAATGCTAGATCACTGTAATTTACGAGGGCGCGGAGATGGTCTAGCATGGTTTCTGGAGGTAGCAAAGAAGAACCTTGCCAATAGTTACATATAAAAGAGAAAAGCTTAGTCGTGGACGTCGGCACGTTTAATTTTGCGAAAATAGGAAGTGAAGGAAGATAATAACTTGGTGTTTATTTGTTTTAAGCATTACAGATTTCTTCAAAAAAGGGGCGAAAGCTACACTGGGTTTGTGCAAGTTAGTTAAACGGCCAGGGGCTAATTTAGTAAATTGTGCTAACTTTTAATGAGTGAAAATAGACATACGGTTCCAATTAGAAACTCGCTGAGCGGCATCGAAAACCATTAGGTCAGTAATCTTCAGAAAGACATTGAGCGCGTGAGAAGCGCAGTAGTGCGCCAAAGTTATCACTCGTGCAGCAGGTGCAAGGCTACTGGAGCGATCAGGCGCCCACGCGATTTTCCCGCCTCTTATCATAGCCCACCAGCCTTGTACGTACCTGTTGCAGGAGTTCTACCTTTGGCGCACTCCTACGCTTCCCACGCGCTAAAAGTATTTATAAAAAAAAAAAAAAAATAATTATTGATTTCGTGGTTGTGGATGACGCTCAGCAAGTTTCTAATTGGAACCGTATTTCTATTTTCATTAATTAAAACGTTAACAGATTTTACTTAATTAGCCAACTAATCGTTACGATTTGCACCGTATAATATGTCCCTCTGGCTGTATGATTCACCTGCACAAACCCCATAACTGTAGCTTTCTCGGCTTTTTTTAAAACAAATCTGTAAGACTTAGGAAAAAAAAAAAAAAAAAAAAAAACACCCTGCATATATATTTTGATGGTGTACCTCACACCAGCTCAGAGCACGTTGAGCGAAAGCTTGCGCTGCAAAGCCCAGGGATCCTGGTTTCGATCCACTTCCCTACTCCTAATCAGATGGCGTCACGGGACAGATAATAAAGTCCACAGGCGAAGACAATTTTCAGGCCTTCACCGGAGTGCAAACTGATCCTCCTATTTTCCTATTGAAATACCGCGACGCGGTGTCAGAAAATGTATTACTGCCTCTGTTTTCTTCGCAAGTGTTCAGGAATGGCAGGTTGAAAAAGGGAGCAGTTTGGAGGCATTCAAGCTGCCGCGGAAAATCTCTAGCCCCAAAACCGGAAAATATGCGACCACGCTGCAAATTGATTTCTTTTTTTATTATTATTATATTTTAATAAAACTATTCCGAAGTCAATCCACCCGGTGGTTGCTGAGCAGTCGGACCAAAAAGTTTCCATTGGAAATGCATAGGGCCTAGGGAGCTGCGATATCCTCCGGATCAGATGCTAAAGTTTCAGAGCCTGCCGTTATCTTACACAAAAGTTATGTTTTCTTTTTTTAAACTTTCCGTGAAGAAATGATGCCCGTTCCTGATAGCTTACTTTCATTCATCTCCATGTATTCGTTGGCTTCGTCGGCCGTCATCTTCCCATCGCATATTTCGGAATATTTGGCAAGCTCTGAAATTGTCTTTTGGGTTGGACCGCTCGCCATGGGCGTACCAACTGGGGAGGGGGGGGGGGGGGGCAAGGGGCGCTTGCCCCCCCCCCCCCCTCGGTTCTCACAGTGGGGGGGGGCAAGAAATGTCTTTTGCCCCCCCCCCCCCCCCCCAAACCCCTCCCCCCTAAAACAGCCGCCACTGGGCAGGGCAAACACTGGCCGGCGGCGCCACAGGGATACCTAGGGCACCGGACCCGGGGGGGGGGGGGGGTCTGGTTTACCCCCCCCCCCCCCCCCCCCCCACTTAAGAAGAAGTTAGTACGCCACTGCCGCTAGCGCTACTCTAGGGTGGCGATAGAGCGTTCGGCAATCCGTAATTTATCTTTCCAAAAAAAAAAAAAGGAAGAAAATTTTGTCTGTGTGTGTGTGTAAGGGGGGGGGGGGCAAATTGTATACTAGAAGCTGTGCACCGAGGTTACTATGTCTGTCCCTTTATTTCCCTCCCATAGGGGCGAGGTCATAAACGGAGGGTTCGGATGCCTGCTGGATGGATCCAAGGTAAGTGCCTTCAAGATCTGCGCTTGCGCAAACTTGAGTGGATGGCAGGCATTCATTTCGCTTCGAGGTTTGAATCTGTGTCTTTCGGCTCATGGTCAAGACGTTCCTTATGTCTTTGTTTCGTAGGACGCAGACGAACGCTTGACATCGCTTTTGTCGTGGGATGTGAACAACGGAGTAAGTAATAATATATTTTCTTACGTACTTACATGTTATAAGTTAATAGCTGCGCTTTCGAAGCGACCCATCTCGATACGGGAGGAGAATCTGAATCCAGAAAAGGTCGCGGAACCTGAGCAGCTTTTATGTATGCGAGGGTACAATGCAAACGAGGTGTTAGCTATGTCCCTCTATAGGACCATCGATAATCTGACTGAGAAACTAGTTCCCAGAAATTGATCTAGACAGTTCCGGAGTGGCGCAGTTACTTCTTGCGCATGCACAAGCGAGCCTTGCAGAACTAGACAGTGGCGGGTAAGTCACGTGAATATTGGCCTAGGTAATATGACTGGACAGCTTGTCACTTGAAGAGGTCTATTAGTTGCTTGCATATTATACTATACATAGCGTTTGTTTTGCATTCGAACGACTTTCTTAAATGGTGTGACCGGTACACGGATACCGTCTTCACCGGATGTGCATCGGTCTCGGCGGACATTAGCGAGTTTTAAAAGACCGTGTTTCCCGCTCCGCTGAGCCCCCCCGCTACCCGGAACTCTACAGCCAAGGCCATCGGCGCGCAGGCGCAGTGGCGGTTTCTTCGTAGCGGAGGGGTAGCGGAGTGGGAAACACGGTCTACCAAAACTCCCTATTAAATGGAACCATCACGATCAGTATGATAACTGACTGAGGAGTATTAACTTTTTGATTGATGGTTCGATGGGTCACGTTGCAACCGCAGTATTGACGGCAATTACTATTAGAGGCTACTAAACATTTTACGAAAAGGCACAGGCTTTGAGATATTCTCGATTCATTTTCGCGTTTTTGTCGCTCGATTTTGAAGTTCGATGGGGAGAACAGCTCTGCAATTCCTGCCCACAACCATGCATGGTTAGGCACTCGTTTTTGGCACCTCGTCACAATCTCGGCAGCGTGCGATGGCGTAGCCAGGAATAGGTTTTCTAATCCGCCAGGAACGGAACGAGGGCAATGCGACGGCGACGGGAAGAATGAAAGCCTGGCGGCACTATCACACTCTTTCCACGGTGACAAGTTTTTGCGTACGGATCCCATCGTAATCATCCTACGAGTGTCACTAGTCGTCATACCACGCATAGGCGTCACGTACACTAGGTACGTGAAGCTTCGCACAAGTAACGCGTGCACACATTTCGCCTACCAAGCAATGTTCACCCTTCGGGTGTTGCTTCTCCACGGTGCACCAGCGCCCGACAAGAAGCGCACTCAACGGAGCTGAACAAGACGAGAAATATGGCGAAACTTTCGAGGAGTGTCTGTATTGGCGACGTGAGCGATCGAAAGTGTCGCTGTGGTCGGCCCACCACAATTGGCCGAATGCTGACTATGACGTCAGCAAAGGATGTCTCATCGACGGAAATAAGAGGAATGGAAGAACAATTTTGACGGTGTTAGCAGTGTTGCTCCGAGACCCCTATGATTTGAGGCTTCCAGATTGTTCGTTACAAACACAATCGAGCTTGTTGTTCACAAGGTAATGACGTCACGAAAGGTAACCGAACGAGGGCGCCACCGAAACATCTTGGCGCTAGTAGCCATCTTGACGAATTAGCCAAGGACCAAGGAGAATGCTGGAAACTAGGTACATGCACCGCACATGCTCGCCTTACGTGTATAAACGATTCGATGTGGATAATTAAAATAATGCATGAATGAATGCACGTACCATTTGTTTGATATGTTTGCTTTAGAACAGTTACGGCTACAAATGCCAACACTTGCAGCGCGTGTAAATACTCTCCAAGCATGCCCCTTGGTGCCTGGATAATTTAGCAAAACATTTATAGGGTATGATTGAATGAATCAATTAAGTGATAGGAATAATCAATCACAATGAAAAAGTGAAAGCCGTTTACAACTCCCTGTACCACCGAATTAGAGCGCAGCTCTTGAGGAGGAGGGAAGGGTACTGGGGGGGGGGGGCGGTGAAGTGACCTGGGGGGGTCACGTCACCTTGGTGGTCACGTGACGATGCCGATAATGTCATCAGTGACGTCACTGATGACGTCATCATCGCTGATGACGTCATCGGAGTCCGCATCGTCATCGTCACGGATGACACTGATGACGTCATCCGTGACGATGACGATGCGGACTCCGATGACGTCATCAGCGATGATGACGTCATCAGTGACGCCACCGGCATCCGCTTCATCGTCATCATCACGGATGACGTCATCAGTGACGTCACCGGCATCCGCATCGTCATCATCACGGATGACATCATCAGTGATGATGACGATGCGGATGCCGGTGAGGTCATCAGTGACGTCACTGATGATGACGATGCCGGTGACGTCATCAGTGACGATGACGTCATCGGGGAGGTCACGTGACCTCGGGGGGTCACGTGACCCTGGGGGAGGGGTCACGTGACCTTGGGATGCCCTTGGTTACGCCGACGCCGCTCAAGCCGGGAACGGGCCCCTAAGAGCTGCGCTCTAAAATTCGCTAATGGCACAACGGCCCGGCAGTGCAGCGCGGCCTGGGGTACTTGTTTCGAATTAGGAGAAACTACCTGTTGCCACAAATTCCTCACATTTATGTGAAATGTAATAGAGCGAGCTCTTTAGGTCAAATGGCGCAGAGATCCATCACTGATGGACAATCATGTCCTTCTGGCTTGTCCAACCAACATGTCTAGTCATTTACGACCAACAGCATCACCTTTTGGATGCTGCAACAATTAAACATCCATCAAATACAAAAAAAAAATCGATATATAATTTTTTAAGCGATTTCGTGATTAGATTGAAAGTTAGGATACCCAGTCAAAGAAACAAAATTACAAGGCCCCTTTCATAAAGGCTATGATGACTCATTCACGAGCCTGAATTTCAACAACAAAATACCTGATTTCTTGGCTGTAGAAAGCATTCCAAACAATTATCGAACTACAAAGTGTCAGCAGGTTAGTGAATAACACCGACAATTAAACCTCTGATAAAATACATATGAAATAGCAAAGTCTAAATAATACCACGAAACAAATTTACTCTGTGCATACAATGTATAGCTGCAGCATGTCCAAGTCGTTATAATTGTTTTGTCTCGTGTTTATCCCAAATGTAATTCAAACAAACCGTCTTGGTTTTCAGGTGAGCCGCAGAAGCTGGTCCGGAAATAAGTATGCCTACGAGACAATTCAACGTGCAATGGCAGACAACCCGGACCTTCAAGTCACCTTGCCGAACCAAGCAGACGACAAACTCATTGAGCAGGCACTCGGACCAGCCTAGTGGACTGGTAGCATGACGCTCCATGCAGGAAGGGTACCCTCATGAACAGCGACTTCAAGGGCAATATGGAAAATTGGCAGCTCTATTGCCCCTTCTTTCATCACAAAACCTATTTCCAAACTGTGCAGTGGTTCGCAACACGACCCCAGCCATCGTAGTAGACTTTAGAATAAAGTGACATAGGCTTGACTTATAAAATTGTTTCATCATACGTCTGCTTTCCAGGAGACTTCAATGTGTTTACTGTAACACAGTTTAATTTTTACAAGGAATAATATATTCGGCTACAGGATCACAAGAGGAATGCTCACTCTTTTGCACAGTTAGCGCTAACATGACTGACACTTTTGCTCGGCACTTGTAGCTTCGCGTCAGACGACAAATTCTGCTGCTGAGGTTGGTGCCTCGGACGAGTACTTCCCACAAAAGTAGCGGCGATAAAAACATTCCACCTTTCATGCAAAATTTAGAAAAACTGTCAATCGCATGTTTGTGTTGACTGTGTTGCATTGCATACAGCAAAACAAGGGTGTATATACCTTCAGAGGATGCTTCAGTGTGGATGCTGATATGAAAGCGGAAGACTCGGTGCAGGCACGCTGCAGCCACACTTAATGCTGTAGTTCCTCAAGATGTTTTTTTCTGCGAACTGGCACAGACACTCGGAAGGAGAGCTCCCAGTGATCATCAACCTTGTAGTTACACATGCAAATGTTCTTCTATTCACCATACCTAAGAGGATGGCCTCACCCACACTTCATAGTTGCTTTCAATAGTAAAAGTTCAATCATTCACATTTTGGTGCTCCAGCAAATAGCCACCTGCTGATGCGAGACGTTTTTATTGGTGGCCAACTTTTTGGTACCAATCTCAGGTATACACGTTTGCAAGTCCGGTCTCAGGTCGCCGCTATCTTCCTCAGTGGGGTGCGCTCTTGGGCGCGGCCATAATCCGATTACGACGCCTTCGCAAGGCTTCGTAATCGGATTATAACTCGTCCAAGCGCACCCCAGCCAAGCAAGATGGCAGCGCCCTGATGCCGGACTTGCAAACGTGTATAGTAAAAGCTTTAAGCAAAAAGAGAGAGAGTGGAAAAAAGACAGCCTACCAGATTTAGAAAGTAATAACACAATGTTTAATGATTCTATGTATAGTGTAGTGATGATCATTTTTACATAAAAACACTGACCAATGAGAACAGTCACCCAAAACAATCAACCTCAGATTAAAAAAGACACTCTTTTGCTGTTCTGTAATAAACTAAGTATGCGACAATACAAAGAGATTAGTTTACCCAATCATTAAGCCTTCTCAGGTGCAGGCTTCTGTGCATTGCTGCAGAATGTTCAACTACCAAGAGGAAGAAAGAAAGTACTTTTCCACAATAATGTATGCTAAAAGGTGCGAAGTCTAAACTCTAGAGTGTCTAAGATGTCTCCAATCTCACACACCTCAAGGTCCTTCCAGAGCAGCACATACATTCTCGCAGATCTTCCAGTAGTGTGTGAGAAACTATTGGGCGTGGCCTCACAAATGAATGGCAAGGGTTCGATTCTATTTAGTTTTCTAAATTCAAGCCAGATCAGACTCCACCTGAACTGCCTAGACAAAATCCCAGGGCAGCTGCTGAGGCGAGAATTTTCCTGCAGGTCAAGTATTTTCCAGACTATAGTCCCCGGACTATACGTGAGTAAAAGTTTACATTTTACCCAATGCAGATCATCTAAAATTCTAAGGGTGCGAACTGTACAAGGATTTGTTTCTCAAAATCGTTCATTATGTCAAGATGTAATGGATTTTGTGCATGACAGATCATATTCATCATGATTTCTGGGTGATACAAGCTGCTTTGTACACTAATAAATAAGGAATTTCTCAAACTGTGCTCTGTATGGGATTATTTTTTGTCTGGACTAAGCACCAGGTGCAGACATGCACTAAATGCAAACTGTAAAAAGAGAATGAAACTGTTTTTTTCAATTGAAATTTTTTAGTTTACAGACTGGGTGGGGGTAATAGTCCAGAAAATATGGTACCGTTTCAGTGTGTTAAAGTTTTACTACGAACAATCGACTTTGAAAGCACTACCCCAACGTACGACGCATGGGTCAAAGACAAAAGGGTTGACGATCGGATGAAGATCCGTCGCCGAGATGTATGGGAAGCACACCGTGACTTGGGAATGCCTACTTTACGGATGCTGCTATGGATGCAACAGACGCCCTGCGAAAGCTGTTGAAATGGTCCATGTACTGCTGCACCGTGTCCACGGGGTTGTACAGTTCATTCATGCGCCCCTGGAGATATTGGGGTGGTCCCTGCACTGCAGTACCCATGAAGCCCTGCAGGAACTCTCGCATGAGGTCCCAGCAGCTCGAGGGCACCACACACGGAAGGTACTCCACCTGGAGCAGTGAAGGTGGCAGAACGACACGGCAATTGGACCTCGCACAGTATGTGAGAATGAAACAGCCAAAAGGAAGTTACATTTAAAACAAAGTCAAAAAAAAAAAAAAAAAAAAAAAAAAATTCATAATTTTATATTTGTCAAGTTTGGAGAAATAAAATCTGGGATATTTTTTCTAAGCTGGGCGCGGGAAGGGAGGTATTTTAAAAGAAATATTGCCAATGAATTTACATCAACACAACTTCATTGAATTTGCATTGCACTGCTCACATGCTAGCAAGATACAGCTGGGCCTCACTATCATAGCTGCCACCCGCTGCCATGGCAAAAACTCAATTGTTTAAGTGCAGGAAAGGGTGGAGTTAATTTTCGTGTTCTGGGAGATTTCCCTGTCAATAGTACAACCGTACGAAATGATCATACCCCTCCTCCTTCCGCCCCCCCACACACAAAAAATGGGGCAGTGGCAATGAGCAGGGGAATGAGAGAGATTATAATAATAATCATAAACATAGTAATAATAATAATCTTTATTTAAAGTGCCCTAAAAGAACCACAATAATCTTTTGATTGGTGCACCTCCACAAAAATATACATGATCGCCCTCAAGACACACTAATACAAAGGTATAATTTAAAACACAACTATGAAAACCAGGCAGTATAGGTACAAAAAGAGTTAAATTGACACATGCACAGAACCGTACATCCATAGGCAAACATCAGATGTCAATTTCAGATTGGTAACCAAAAAAAAATCTATTGAGCTATATGCGACGTTGACCCACGATAGCGTATAAAGAAAGGTGTCTCTTTCGGATTCTTGCACTACAGCGCTCACTCGTTGCTGTCTGGTGTCCATTGGCTGCTCGTGCACACTCGAAGCTAACGAGACGCCCAAGCATCATCGAAGGTAGGAAGCCCACGCCAGAGGTGGGGAAACCAAAAGACCACCCTGCCGATCTCGTCCCGACCGTGACTAGTGCCTACATCACAGCACCATTAGGTGAAGACGTCCATGCGAAAATTGGGAACCGTCCTTAATGATGAGGGCCTCTTTGATCCTCCTCCTTCGGCAAAAGCAGTGCCCCCTGTCAAAGGCTCGGCTCAAGGATTCTCTCGGTAGGAAACGGTGGGAAAGAAAAGGCGCCGGTAGGAAGAAGGGGGGACAACCTTCATTGTAGTAACCTGGGCTACGTTCCAAATCTTACCCAAAAAAATCCGAGTTACTCCAGCGGGTCGTGTTACGTCACAACACGGATTGAAAAATGCTGGACACAGGTGGGTGTCCGAACGCCAAGGTACAAAACCTATACGCTGGACTAAGATTGAGTAAATCTTGGAACACAGCCTTGGGGGTGAGAGATAAGCCCCAGTGGGCACAAAAGCAATGTCTCAGAAGCTCAATCTAGGTCACCGTAGCTCAATGGTGCTAACAGGATCGAGCATCCCGACTTGAAGAAATATTCGCGCTTGCTCACGCCACACCCACGCAGCTTCGTACCCCATGGCCCTCAAACGGGAAATCTGAAAGACTGGATTGAACTTGAACCTTGGCAATGGTGGATTTTGGGTGCGATGCGATCCAAAAGCCGTTCCTCGGTGGTATTTAGTGAGAGCAACGAACGAACACCCAAGAAATCATACCTCGACCAGTATGCCCCGGAAGCTGGGTCCCATGGAGACGCTGCCCACTTTGACGAGGAAGTCGGCTACCTCGTAGCGCGGGCCCTTGGCCTCCATCTTGGTGGACTTCTTGGGGCTGTAGATGCCCGCCATCTTGAGCATCAGCATATCGAAGGTCAAGTCGGCCACGAGGCACAAGCCCGTGTCCAGCAACGCAAAGCAGGTCGCCGGGTGCTCCGTGTCGTGGATGATGTTCACGGAACGACTCGGATCTACGTCACAACGAAACAAAATGACGACTGAGGTAGGGACCTCCGATAAATTTTGATCCAGGGCCACTATATTGCGTTTCAACTCGAGTCCGAGCGCAGCCTACGCTTAGAGCCAATCGGGCTGATCAAACAGCATTCAAAGAGCAACGTCACGGTGTTCATCACATTTCTATATACGTGTTCCATCACCGCTACACCGATCGAGTAGAGGGAAGGCCCAGTGACGTGTGTTTTTGGTATGCGTATTTGTGCCTTCAGCAGTGTTTTTGGTATGCGTATTTGTGTCTTTGCCGTATGAATGCATACGCATTCATACGGCAAAGACCGTTCCAACACGGCGGTGCATGCGCAAGAAACTTTCGATCCATTTGGGGGATACGTTAGAAAGGGTACAGAACAGTTTTTTAATTGTTTTGGTGGGGATAACAAATTTTATGCTCTCTTGAACGATGCATGTTTGCTTTCAAAGTTTGATGTATATCCGACCAGTTAGCTATTTATATATAGGGTCACACAAGTCACCAGGCTCGATCTAAAATGGACCGTAAAATTAACACCTGCACGTAGCAATCTAAACTTTTCGTCAAAGGTGTATTTCAAAGGTCGGTTTTTCCTTGTAAAAATACAAAGCGTAGCTCTCTTTCTGTAAAAATAGGGCCAAGAAACTTGCCAGGGTCTACGGTGGGCGGCGACACAGACGACCAAGTCCGGTAGTGGGGTGTGTTTGGCGTTCGTACTGATAGATGGCGTCGGAAGCAGCGTCCGAAGGTGCAGCCGACCAGCGAAAGAAAGCAGACGACATGCAGACGAAATCCGTTGGTACCTAAAGTGCCATCGTTACGCAGATGCATTTTTTTTAAAGTTTTGATTTTATTGTTTACATTTATTTTTTAACCAAAGGTACATTTCAAAAAGATTATGTTCATTTTAATAAACCACGGTGGTCGTGAGCAGTCGCGATAAGGAGGTAGCGCCATCTATCAATACGAACGCCATACACACCCCGCTACCGCATTTGGTCGTCTGCGTCGCCGCCCGCGTAGACCCTAGCAAGTTTCTTGGCCCTATTATTTACAGAAAGAGAGTTATGCTTTGTAATTTTACAAGGAAAAACCGACCTGTGAAATGCATCTTTGACGAAAAGTTTAGGTTGCTACATGCAGGTGTCGATTTTTATGGTCCATTTGAGATCGAGCTTGGTAACTTGGGTCACCTTATATATTCATGCCCATAGCTAAATAGTCAAGGCAACAAAGAGCACATACAATAGTAGCAAAAGACAATAGCAAGTCGAGTTTTGACTTTGCTAATTTCTCTCATAGAAGTCAAATCAATGTTGCCAAAAAAACAAACAAAAAATAACTTAAAAAAAAAACACGAAAATGTAGCTCATGCATACTACGAACTTGACCTACGTTTTTTCAATAAACTTCTTACAAATAATGTTCCATTTGTTACTTTTTAAACCCGATGCAACAGACAGTACTGACTCCATCGACCAGGGATCGAAGACCGGCACCCTTGCCACGTTTCCTGAAAACTCCCGAGACGATTCTTCGGTTCCTTGACTCCAGCACCGTAGACCGACCAAATGTTTTGTTACGGCGAAGAGCGTCCTGCTCAGACCCGAGTCGCTGTAGCTCAACCGGTGAACTCACTGATGTTCGGTGCGCTGTAGAAGGTCTCGCAGTCCACGCAGAAGACCCCCTCGCGAACTGCGCCCAGAGTTTCGAGGCGTTTCTGAAGAAGTTCTGTCGCCTGCTGCCCACTTTTGCCTTCGGGAATCGGGAACTGGTGGATGCTGTCGCGCAGAAAGAGCAACAGCCAAACGCCTTTAGGTGAACAAGCACGGAGCCTCTTTACCGAGATAGAACAGTGCATACTTTACCTAACAACGCCCATGTTGACGTAGAACCGTCTTAACTTACACCAAACTAAAATAAATTAAGGAGACTTTGTAGTAAAATGAATTAACTGCCGCTATTTCTTGTAGCAGCAATGTAGCAGCGCTATGGTAGCAGCCGCCATTCGCCGCCGCCATTAACGACGTATGCGCTCCCTACTGTGTAAACTGTGTAAACTAGCTCGCATCGGAAAACTCTGAAAAAAGAGGCGACATCAATGTCAGATATATTTATAGCTTGTTATTAGAACTAATAATCTATAAAAAATGCGTAGATACTAAAGAAAGGTTGAGCGGCTTACAAAAGTCCGTCTGCACACCTGATGCACCTGACGTGTTGGCAGCCCAGGCAGCAGCAGGCAGGCTGTGGCAGGCCGATTTCTGAGTTTTGTTGTGTGAAGTTTCCGAAGTTGTGAGTGAAGTCGGGAGAAGTTGCGATTTGGCAGTTACAATAGCATCAGCGGAACCACTTAATGATCAAATCTGGTCAGTTTTGCAGTTTTTTCAAATGGGAAAAAGCAACGTTTCCACCCGAGTAACACCGTGAAGAAAGCTCGCCTACAGGTCCACATGTTGCAAGTGATGGAAATGTAAGCAGCTGACATTTTTTTCGGGATGCCGGTCTGGCAAAAAAACAGCCAAACGTTGAAGATGCTTCTTCGCCAAAACGGGTAGTAGTTTGTGTCTCGTCGCGTTTTCTCAAGCCTGTATTTTCTTGTCTTTCTTCGTAGTTTGTTCCGAGGATGAACTTTGGTTGACATACCATGGGGAACATTGAAACCCACGAAGGGGGTGGTCCCCCTCCGGACCTCACCAAACGAGACCTCGACCTCAGCGTCAAAGTAGACGACAGGTCCTTCCACAAGGTTGGTAGTCCTAGTTGCCGTTAATTAAACGTTCCAGGTCGAGACAAACAACCAACAAAAATACTTTCTATTTCAGCACATCAGCGGAGACCACTCGGAACATGCGATCACCGAGTTACCCTGGGGCCTGAGAGACGCGGTGACACTCTACGAAAGCCTCAACGTCTCCTTCAACGAATTGACGACGATTCCTCCAGAGATCGCCTTCAGGATACCCCACCTCCGATTTCTGGACCTGAGCTACAACCGTCTGACATCACTGCCAACGAGTCTTGGCTTCCTGTTCCACCTCGAAGAGCTCCTGCTGTCTTCAAACCAACTGACCTCGATCCCAGACACGGTCATACACCTCAAGGCCTTGCAAAAACTTGACCTGTCTCACAACCTCCTAAAAGACATCCCCGATGCACTAGGCAAGATTCCCGCCTTGACGAAACTTAACGTGAGCCACAACCAACTTGCGTCCTTACCGAAGTCGTTGGGGAAAGCCGCTAGCCTCACAACTTTGCTGGCAGGCGGGAACGCCGAGATAACGAGCCCACCGCTTGAGATCTGCGAAAGTGGTTCGGACGCAGTGCTGAAATACCTGCGCGAATCGGTTGCGATGCAAGTGCCGCGGACTTATGTGGCGACCGCCGGGCAGAACAAGTTCCCACGTGTCAGGGGTAACCAGGTGGCTACGTCGGTGCCGAACCTCCACTCTGCGCAAGCCCAGTATCTGCAGATACAGACGGATACGGTCAATACGGCAAGCCGAATTAAGACCCCCCTGCTGCCACCTATCGGTGCTACCAAGCTGGACCCCAGTGTGCTCACTGATAGGATCACGGGTGAGCTATGAGGGCTGCCAAAGGCCAAGGCTCTTTGTTGGTGTGTGCAAATGCCAGTGAATTTTGTGACTGCATATATATTTGTAGCTTTCACAGTAACAATTTTGCCATATCCAATTTGCTAGTTTCTGCAGATGATGATTTGCATTGGGTGAAGGAAACTTACAAAATGTGAGCTTAATGTTATGAAAGTTTTGCTGAAGGTTGGAGTTCTTTCGTTGTGGTAAGAAGTAAGAAACTGTCAGGCTAATGGGTGGAATTTGCTATTGTAGGGTGATTTCAGATAAGATCGAACAGGGGGTGGCTGGTCGACCTTTTTAATTTGCTCCATAATTTTATATGTTATTTCCCGATGTCCAAAATAAACGAAATCAGAATTATTTTCACCAAGAAAAAAAATTGTCGGACGCGAAAAATCGTACATCACGTAGAGGTGGAATGTAGCATTAGCTTGCATAGCCGGAGGGGGCAACTTTGGTGATTAATAACTGAAGTTATACTTCTTAGGTCAATTTCATATTGTTTTAACACAATCTATATGTACTTAGCAATACGAAAAATAATATTATTATTCTTTAGTATGTTATAAAAAATAAATAAAAAACATCAATTTCGGCTCCTTGACCGCTTTTCCCCCAACTTTGCAGGCCTGTATCTTAGGAAATAATTTAGTCAGAAACGTCATATTTTATGTAAATACACTACTTATAAATGGAGTACATTCACTAAAATTCAAATTTATTTAAGCGCGGGTCGGGGAGATTTTGGCAAGCAAACACGAGACAAGCACCAAAATAAAAATATTTTAAGGGCGATTTTAAAAAAAAATCCCGTTCTTGATTTGTTTTAAACTCTGACCAGTCATTCTACCCTATATGGGGGTTAATATCAATTGAAAACATGTTGCATTATATTGATGGTGTAATAAATAGATAGAGCACCTTTACCGAGCCCCTTCCGCGAAGCTCGGCACGGTGTACCCTTGTGGTGCGACGCAGTTATTGCGACTTCTTACTTTGAGAGAAAAGTATATTTTTATTCGTTCGAGTATAGCAAGCCACATCTTTGGCACATTATAATAAATTGAGCATTAAATATAATAAATTACACATCATATACAACACACTTCTGCCTTCATAGGTTTGAAAATGACAGAATTCGACGCAAACATTTTCTGACGGTGTGCACTTTTCCAAGGGTTTTTTCCAAGGAGTTTTTTCCAAGGGGACCCGACAGTCCGTGCCACTTCCAAGTCACAGGTGGAAGCTTCTGATGTTTTGCATAGCCACACACGCCACGACTGAATACCAGGAAAGGCGTGCACTGCCACCCATTCTTCATTTTTGCGTTCACGGAATTCAACAACCTCGTATTCATCCAAAATTGTGAAATTCACTCCTTTTAGTTTTTGGGAAAGACTGTTCACCATGCATTTTGCAGACTGTATGGCCTTTCCTGGGAGCTGTCTCAAGGTGTGAAGCGTTGCTTGGTGTTTGACGAGTCCTCCAACTCCGTCCCACGCGTTTTTCCCGTGCCCAGTGGCAATTGGGCCTCGGGAAAAAATTTTTTTTGGAATTCATGAAGTTGGAAGCGATTCTTGAAGTGACTGGCGGCACCGTCACTTACATAAGTCAAATAAGAGTACACAGCAAGGTTGTCATCGACCCACTCTCTCACTTTTTGTACAGCCAGACAGGCACGAGCGGAGTCATGATGCAAGTCGTCACTGATGACGGCAAAAGTGTATGTCGACTTTCTAGTCGTCACCACACACGTAAATATTGAGACCTGATCTTTTTTTTTCAGTGGTATTCTTGAATCTCGTCAAGAAGGATAACAGTTCAGTTTTCAGCAAAGTCGATGTGGAAGACAATGCTACAACGCTGCGTGCAATTTTTTTTTTCTTCATAGATGGCTTTGCTTTGCGTCTGTCTGATATGGTTGTGAATGATCTACCTTGAGACCGACACACGAAGCTCTTCCAGAAAAGTGACCGGATCTAAAGTCTTTTTCACGAGCTCGCCTGACTCCCATGCTGCCGAAACTATCTCTTCATCCTCGGAAATTATGAGTTTTTCGAGTGTAAGACACTGGCCTTTGGGACAATGGTTACATTCGCCTAAAAGGCACTGGCGCGATGGCGGGTTGCAAATGAACGCCGAGTTCAATTCCGCTGCGTCAAGTTGTGAGCCAGCGGCCGTTTGCAGAGAGGCGACACAGAGTTTATAGTTTGCGCAGTACACACAAACGCACGCTTTTTGCTGGGGATTGCATTTAACCCATTGGGGTCGCAGGGAGTAAAACTTCGTCAATCCGATGCCGGAGTCGGGATGGTCACTTTTATATACACGAAACGCTTCTCTGATTGACCGTGTCATAAAACGTTTCGGCTTGAACGTCTTCTGGCCTTCGAGCACAACGGAAATGACGTCCTTCTGATTGGGACTCCTGCCTAGAACACTCTAACTCGTCTTTCATGTAGTACTCAGCCGCTGCAGATATGTTTTCAGTGCTCACCTTACACATTGTATAGGGATCGGGCACACACCACACGCCGCGGTTCCCTGAGCTTCCGGGACCTATTAATGATGCAGATCGATGACTCTGGGATAAATTTCTGGACTTCATTTCTTGTCAAGATTGATGGCAGGAGGGTCAGCAATTGACAGTGTTCCCGTGGAGAGGCTGTGGTCGCAAAGGCGCGGCAAATGTTGTCCGCCCACTCGGTGCATGTGGAGCATTTTTGCTCCGACGACCCCAATGCCACGTTTTCATATATATATATATATATATATATATATATATATTTTTTTTTTTTTTTCACAAAATAACAAGTTGCAGTTATTGCGTCCCAACACAGGGTCACCCCATGCCGAGCTTCGGATAAGGGGCTCGGTAGAGGAGCTGTATCCATTGCACCATCAATATGATGCAACATGTTTTTAATGGATATTAACCGCTAGAGAGAGTTAAATGACTAGGGAAAATTAAAAAAAAAAAAAGAACTTTTTTTTTTGTTTTTTTTTTTAAGTCACACTTAAAATATTTTTATTTTGGTGCTTGTCTCGTGTTTGCTTGCCAAAATTTCCCCAACCCACGCATATACAGATTTTAATTTCAGTTAATTTCCTTCCATTAATAAGTAGCGTATTGATTTAAAATATGACTCTTCTGACTAAAGTATTTTCTAAGATACAGGCCTGCAAATTTGGGGAAAAACAGTCAAACAGCCGAAATTTATGTGTTTTTTTTATCAATTTTTTAAACATAATAAACAATAAAAATATTTCTTTCGTACTGCTAAGTACACATAGATCGTGCCTAAAAGTTGCGAAACTCACCTAAGAAGTATAATTTCTGTTATTGATCACCAAATTTTGCCCATAGAGTTATTATATGATTTTGCCCCTCCGGCTACGCAAGGAAATGCGACTTTCCACTTCTACGGAATGTGCGACATTTTGAGTCCGACGATTTTTTTTTTCTGGGTGAAAATAATCTTGATCTTTTTTTTTTTTTTTTATTTCGGACATTGTTAAATAACATATACAATTATAAAGCAAGTTAAAAAGGTCGACCAGCCACCCTCTTTTCGGTCGTATCTGAAATCACCCTGTATGCTGTGTAATTTATTCTATATAATGCGCAATTTATTATAACGTGCAAAAGATCTGAAAAACTATTACTTGCTATACTTGAATAACAAAAAAAAAAAAAATCTTTCCTTTCAAAGTAAGAAGTCGCAATAACTGCGTCGCACCATGGGGGCACACCGTGCCGAGCTTCGCAGAAGGGGCTCGGTAGAGGTGCTGTATCTATTACACCATCAATATAATGCAACATGTTTTTAATCTATAGCAACCCCCAAATAGAGTAGAATGCCGTTGACACGGAGTTCACGCACGTTTGGGCTCTCACGTTTGGGCGTGAGAGCCCAAATAGAGTAGAATGACTGGTCAGAGTTTGAAAAAAATCGAGAACGGGTTTTTTTTTTAAAATCGCCCTTAAAATATTTTTATTTTGATGCTTGTCTCGTGTTTGCTTGCAAAAATCTCCCCACCCCGCTCTTAAATAAATTTGAATTTTAGTGAATGTACTTCCGTTTATAAGTAGTGTATTTACATAAAATATGCCTGCAAAGTTGGGAGAAAAACGGTCAAGGAGCCGAAATTGATGTTTTTTATTTAAATTTTAAAACATACTAAAGAATAACAATATTTTTTTTCGTATTGCTAAGTACATATAGATTGTACTAAAACATTATTAAACTCACCTAAGAAGTATAACTTTAGTTATTAATCACCAAAATTGCCCCTTCCGGCTATGCAAGCAAATGCGATTTTCCACTTCTACGTGATGTACGATTTTTCGCGTTCGACGATTTTTTTTCTGGGCGAAAATAATTCTGATTTCGTTTATTTTGGACATCGGGAAACAACATATAAAATTATGAAGCAAATTAAAAACGTCGACCAGCCACCCCCTGTTCGATCTTATCTGAAATCACCCTGTAGCAAATAGCTTCTATAAAATGGCATGCTGTTACAACTTCTAGATTTATCAGGGGAATAGTTGAGAGAAATTGTCATTAATAAATAGAGCAACATAGTTAGAAGCTTATTTTTGGAATGTTTTTTCATGTCCAATAATTTTTCATACTTGTTCTTTTTGTGTTTACCCGAGTTACCTGGAGTTAAACAGAGTGAAGAGCATTTAAAGCCTTATCTGAGGTGACCATAAATAGCATGCAGTCGTATATTTTGCACCTGCTCTACATAATTTTGCATGAGACTATTGGCGACTCTGCCGAAATCAATGCCACTTGGCGGCTACCGTAAAATACCGAGCAAGCGCCCACTCATAATATGAAAATAATTGTGAAAATTGGGGAATGAGCGCTTGTTAGGTCATTAATTTTACCTATATATCTGCTGTGCATATTTTTTCAGATTTTGCAAAATTTTGGGGTGACCACTTAGTAGGGAATGTGCGGATGCTCGGTATTTTACGGTAAAAGAGAAAACTGGCACCAGGTTTGCTCACCAGCCTTCTCGAGCGAATTGGATATTCACAGCACCTGGTGGGTCTAAAGATGAAGCCGTGAAAGGAGGTTCAAAACCATGGATGAAAGTCGCCAGTTGCCCTTTTGGCTAGTACATTACAGCCTTGGTCAGCTTTCTCTGACAGTGCAACTGCATTATGTTTATAGTAACATGGAATAAGACTAGTTTTGTCGAGGTCGAAAGCCATTCCTTTGCCAACTTTCGTTTGTTGCGTCTCTGTCCCCGTCTGCAGGCCTCCTGTACGGAGCTGCCATCGGGGATGCTCTGGGCGTCGCGACGGAGTTCATGAGCGTGGATGAATGCGCCTTCTACTACGACCGGGAGAGCCTTGAGTACGCCTGCATCAGGCGGGACGAGCACAGGGTGCGCTGGAAGCAGGGCGACTGGACCTGCAATGCGGACCAGATGGTGAGCCGACGTTGCGGTCTGGCCGAGATTTGGGGCTGAAAGGGGTCTGCCGATATGAATTTAAAAAAAAAGAGGAAAGAACAAAAACATTTTGTGTCGTCCGCATAATTTTCTTTTGTATTGCTTTCTATTTTTCCAAAGAACTGCCACCTTCGTGGCAAGCAGCTTGTTCAATTGACCATTTGCAAGATGTGCGACGCACCCCACTGGCGTCGAAGGGTGTTCTGAGCAAATGTCAGCACTATCATAGCTTTCTCTCCTCCTCGCTTTCTCCAGTTTCGTATGGTGGGCGCTGTGGGTCGCTCCTACAATTTATCTGCCCGGATTTTTTGTGAATTTTGTGAGTGGCCTCTTGAAGAAGAACAAGGATCAGGTTGTTTGCAGCCTTTGGTGCTATGACAACCCTCGTTTATTTTTAGGCCAATACTCCGTACGTAGAGCCATTTATTGTGATTGTGGCTAGTGGGCAGTGTCTATATGCTGATCATCCTGATTAAAAAACGCACAAAAGATGAGGACAGAGTAAAAAAACGCGTATGATGGAGAAGCACTCACTCGCAACTGATATGTTTATTGTTTATTTTTGTGCTTTCTGACGTTTCAGTAAACATATCAGTGGCGAGCGAGCGCTTGTTCGTCGTACGTGCTTTCTTACTCTGTCCTCCATTCCATTCCCAACTGGGAGTCAAACCAGTTGACTCCCAACTGGGAATAGTTCAAACCAGTTGACTCCCAACTGGGAATGGTTCAAACCAGTTGGCCCCTCAGTTGGTCCCAGTTGGACTCCTATTGGTCTCAGTTGATTTTCAGTTGGTACCAGTTAGTCCCAGTTGAAACCAGTTGAGGTGCCAACTGGTCCCAGTTAGAAATTTTCGCCTGGAAGATCTCTAGTAGATTGGAATATACTGTGTGCGCTGAGGTTAAGACTCCGCATGCTGTTGACAGTACCTCGTTTCATGGCAGCAGAGTGTAGAATGAAAATTTCATTCTGCACTTTGCTTGGAAACATGCAGCAAAAATGGTTCTCGTTTGTGGCGCTATCCTTTACTTCGGTGAAAACTCTACGTTCACGTGCAAATTTAACTCTCGTTTGAAAGGTTAGAGACAAGATCAGTGCCTTTCTCTAAATCATAAAGAAGCAAGGTGAGGTTGGGATTTTAAATGTTTAGTAGGTATCGGTATAGCCCCGCTGAAGATGTCAAGCGTGCTCGAAAATGCAAACAGACTACATCCAGCAAATGTTTGAAAACAGTCGCTTGCTACTATTTCTGAAAGTTTGACACAAAGGTGCTCTTATCCCGAAAAGCAATTATGGTTACTGTCAGCTTAAGAAATGCAGGGCATGGCCCATTATCGTCGCGCTTCTTGCTTGATTCTTTGATGTTCGTGTCAGCCGATACCACCGCAATTTCGTTGTCTGCAAGGTGATAATGAGATGCTTGGGACCCGCCACGCCCTGCGTTCCAGAAACTACCAGTGACCATAGCAGGTGTCCAGAAGCCGGTGCAAACCCGCGAGACGTGCAGCGTGCCAGAAAGAAGGTTTAGCGTCTTTGTTTCCTCCACCGGCAGTTCCTGGTGCTGGACTCCCTCCTTCGGTGGGCCGGAGTGGTGGATGAACTGGACTTCGCCAAGCGCCTCCTCTCCTGGAAGAGGTCTGGCTTTCCGGAACTCGGAGACCTGGAGGGATTCCTGCTTTCGGACCTCACCAAACTCGTCAGTTCATTAACCGTTTCCTCCTCCTTTTTGCGGGGTCCTGCTGCCTGCATAAACTTTTGCCACTCGGCTACTGTCTGAGAGTAAAGCGTGGGTAGGATCAGTCAGTGGGCCTTTGCTTGAGCAACGTATACGTTGGTTGATCGAAATGTTACGCTACAGGCCTTGCGAGCTACAGGCCTGTAGCGTAGTGTAGTGTAACAGGGCTCTTGGCGAGCAAGGTCGGACATTTGTAGGTCGCATTTCAGCTGTGCCTTAAAATGCTTGCCCAAATAAACAAGTGAAATGGAACAATGAAACGGTTGAAAGGAGATCATTACAGCATTTTTATAGGACGCCGAAGGTGTCAGTTGCACTGTTTTTTTGTTAATTGTAAAGATTCTTATGTTCTTTAAAACATTCTGCTATTGCACGGGTACAGATGCTGACAGACGCTCGTATACGTCCGTGAATCGTGCGTCATCAGATTCTGGGACACTGCTTTGTCAGGCCCCCCGGCTGAAGGAAACAGGCCTATAGTCTACCAGGAAGCTTCCTTAAGATGTCTCTTGATGGAATGGCCTAGCTTCAGCCTGAGGCTTGCAGGCAGTTTTGTTTAAAGTTTTTTCTGGCAGCTTTAACTATCGTTGTGATTTGTTTCCATGGAGGTTTTTTCAGGTTTAATTTGCATCCTTGATGACACCGATATACCTTCCCAGAGCTTGGGCAGCTACTTTTGGATTCCCTTAAATGGCTATCTGGCTACAGTCATGTCTCATTAGTCTGGGTCCCATTGCTAGGGATGCCCCTCTATATAGATTATATTTTCAGGAACAGGTAAATGCATGCATTTTTGTCTCATTACTACGGACAATTCTTTGGGGGAACTAAGGTATCTGTATTAATGAGACAAGACTGCACAATCCCAAGAATTGGCAGCCTTAGTGGAATTCAGCCAGCCTCCAAGCATTTCGACTTTCCAGATGGCCCTCCTCAAGGCCATATGAATAGAAAAATGAGATCAGCGAATCCTCTCAAATGCAGGTATTGCAAGAGGATGGGTACACGAGTGCACCCCACCAGGTGGCCCTACAGGTGTTTCAGAGGAGCCAGCCTGGCACGTGCAACAACGGACTTGCCAAGGGTGGTGAGACAGGCGCATCGGCCCTGGTAGACAATGGATCACTGACCAGAGCCATCGTTCTGGGTACGACCACTCCATCCGCATGCTTCTTTGTCACATATCTATTAGAGTGGTGAATGGTTGTGAGGAAGTAACCTGCAGATGAAACTGCAGCAGGGTTTTTATAGTAGCTGATCCTGTTACAGCCAGTCTCTTTTTCATCCCCACCAAAACTACTTTCAGGCCTCAATTTTTGTTTTTCGTGTTTCTCCGATTTCAGTTACCTTTCATGTGTTGTTACCTTTCATCACATTTTTTTCTTGCTTATTGATTTTTGAAAAAAATTTGAAATGGTTTTGTTTCTTTTCATCCAGTTCTAAACATTCGAAGTAGACAACATTGTTTAATTTTTTATTTCTTTCTTTGGTATATTTTTACTCTATTCCAAAACAGCATTCACTTAAACTTGGTAGTATTGTCACGAATAAAAACATAAACTTGATCAATAAAGCTTAAAATGAATGTTTAATGTGGCAAACTTGTGCCGAGAAATATAAAGTAACAAAGACCGTACATACTTGGATGGCGACGGAAGGACGACTGACTCAAGCAGCCATACGAAGCTCCTTTTGTAAGCACGTGGGTATCTAAAAGTTTCCGAGCTCAAACAAACAACAAGATTCTTGAGTCATCTGGAACATTGCCGTCATGCAAACAAAAGAAAAATAAAATGGACAAATGCTGGCGGGGATAAAACTCCAATCAGCGGCGTGAGAGTCGAGCACGCTGCTGACTCAGCTATTCTCACGCGGCAGTATTAGTAAATACGATAAAACATATTGCGATTAACATTCACCGCAGTACATACGGTGCTTCGTGCGATGAGTCTTAGGCTCCAACCCGACATCAAAACTAGACAGTCAAGCGTCTCACTTTTCATAAACAAAGCGCCGTAAGTTTTTTCCCCCGTATGTGGGCACTGCAAAAATGTGCCAAGGTATGAGTGTTCACGAGGACTGGCGCTTCCAGGTATTCCCGTGTTCCACAACCTTCCCGAGGTATCCTCCAATTCCCTGAGGATCTGCCTGGCCACACATCCGGAGGAGCAGTGCAGGGCTGCTTCGGTCGCCATCTCCACAACCCTTGCAACCATCTTGCAGGTAAGGAGCACAAGGTTTGGAAGCAAGAGTTCTCATCTTCACGAGCAATCTGGTCCTCGTTTTTTTCATTTCCAAAAGGGCCGGCACGATCTCTACAGCAAACGAGATGTGAAGAGCCTGGTGGAAATCGTGCGTAGTCAGTCTGAGAAACAACTGACGAGCGAAAGCAACCTCAAAAGCTTTAAGGACTGTTTCGAAGCAGAAAGCTTTGAAGAGTGAGTCCTTTTTTGTTTTTGTTTCTCTAGGAAATGTTCACATTTTTGGTGACAGACATGTTGTGTTTTTTTTTTAATGAATATGCTATTAGAGTTTTTATATTGGGGACTTGAACAAAGATGGAATGCATAACACATGGTCAGAAATACATAATTGAAAGCATCAATGTTGCACTGGGGTGGGTGCTCATCATATTCTTCAAGGTCCCCAGAAATACCAGCAGAAGTAAAGTAATAAGGACAGTGATGTGATTGCTGCGCCAAGGAGCTAACGCCGCTACATCCTGCTACATTTTGCCAAAATATGGGTAATCTGCGCCAAGCCCGCGCCAAGCCTGCGCCAAAAGACCAATTTTGGTCGTCTTTCAAAACCGAAACCAAACTGAGTACCGTAATTGAGCATGCGTGAGCTAGGTGGCGCAAGCGGCTGCCTGACAAAAAAGTACCCTGTATCAGTTGTCCATCCGGTCGTGCATAGTTCTTCCCGCCGTCTCTCGTTTCGCGCTCTCGTCGTCTCATGTGTCTGGTCTCGCGTCTTTAAAAAACAAAATTTGAACGAAAGACGCGGGCGTGTGTTGACGCTTCAGTCGTTAAGCAAAGCGCTCCAAGTACCTTTTGACCCTAACTCGCGTATCTTGCATCTATGCGCTCAAGTTCTTTTTTTTTGTTTTTTTTTTGTGTGTGTGTGGGGGGGGGGCTTGCACCTTGCCTGCTGGCTTGGCAAGCACGGGCCGCTGGACTGTTTTTTGTGGTATGCTGGACAATTACATTTTGTTTACAATTTTGGGAATCAGTTGGCGACGGAGCAGAGTGGCATGGTGTGTGTTTCGATCGAACAGCCATCTCCGCTCATGCGACGAAGCACGTGCAAACGCAAGCCTGCCGAAGTTGCCCTGACGTGCATGGGAACATGATTGCATGACAGATGCACTAGCCAGGACGCTTGCAACCCATTGTTTTACATTTGCTTACTTTTGACGAAAATCTGGCACGTCGGGAACTAGTAAAACGGCAAGCGGTTCTTTGGAATAGCTCGGCATTGCCCACGGCACTGTACACTTGTGGGATGTCCCAATGTCTCTTTGGAGACGTTTAAAGTGGACATTCATTACTATCTGAAGGCAAAGCGAGGCTTCCAGCAGCCGTGCAGAAAGTTTCGAAAAGCAAAAAGAAAAGTATGTGCTAGCCTTAATGCGCCTTCGTCTTGTCTACAATTTCACATTGCACTGCAGTAGTTACGTGTTTCATCAGTCGGAGACTGCTTCCACTTATTATATTATATAACTACGGTAGTCAACCTAATGCTGTGATATTTACTACTACTAAGCTTGTCGTTTTCAAATAAATTTTAATATGTGCAGTTTGGTTCTTATTTATCTATAACGGCTACATATATATGTATAATTTAACTTAAGCATTGCGAAATGTGTCGTGTGATTGGCATTTCAGTTACATGTTGAAAGACTTCCAGGTGGTCTAACTTGACCATAATTTGTTTATTGTGGCACTTAAAACGAATATGTTTATTTTTCTAAGAATATCTGCTCCAAAAGCCACTTTTGCTGCTCCGAAACACTATTTTGGGTGCTCCAAAAGTCACTTTTGCTGCTCCAAAACACTGTTTTGCCTGCCCCAAAGGCGACATTTGCTGCTCCAAAACATAGTTTTGGCTGCTCCAAAATGGCTTAAGCCAATCACATCACTGTAAGGATTTTACATACAAGTCATTAAACTTTTAAGTGAGCTATTATGATTATAGTAGGCTCGCGATAGATCAAACTGATATTTCATACTTCTGGATAATTCAAAGAAATTTCAAAATCTTGGTTGTCCCGCTATGTTTTAGAGCGCAGCTCTTAGGGGCCCGTTTCCGGCTTGAGCGGCGTCGCCGTCGACGTCGCCGCGAGGTCACGTGACCCCCCGAGGTCACGTGACCCCCCCCCCCCCCCTCCGAGGTCACGTAACCCACCCAGGTCACGTGACACCCCTAGGTCACGTGACCCCCGAGGTCACGTGACCTCCTTAGGTCACGTGACCCCCAGAAGTCACGTGACCCCCTGAAGTCACGTGACCCCCTGAAGTCACGTGACCCCTTGAGGTCACGTGACCCCCAGAAGTCACGTGACCGCCTTGAGGTCACGTGACCCCCTGAAGTCACGTGACTTCTGGGGATCACGTGACTTCCTAAGGTCATGTGACCCTTCAGGCCACGTGACCCCCGAGGTCACGTGACGAGCCCCTTAGGTCACGTGACCCCATGAGGTCACGTGACCTCAAGGAGTTACCTATCCCTCAGTACGCTTCCATTTTCCTCCTCAAGAGCTGCGCTCTAACCGGCGTTACAGGGAATTGTAAACGGCTTTCATTTTTTAATGTATTTATAAGCCGCTTAATTCTAACGCCATTTTTGTGTAAGTCGTTCTTTTTGTTCACACGGCCCCGTTGAGCACGCTTCTTTCTGAGCACCGGTGCACTGTGGAGAAGCAACACCCATGGAGCTCGCTTACATGGGTGTTGTCTCTCCGCAGAGCACCGGTGTTCAGTAAGAAGTGCACTGAATGGGGCAAATAGTCCACAATAGACAACTTTTTTGCTGGACGAACAAGCTTAATTTTGTTTTGAGGCGTCATGTGCTGTCTAAATAGTCCACAATAGGCAACGTGCTTGAGGGATAAAAACTCCGAGGAAACCTAAGCACTTCTTACGAGTTACGAATGCGAAAGCATGCAGCCTGCAACGTATTGCTTCCGCCTCGTGTTGTCGAATGGCCTCGTCCTCTTGCTGCCTGAGACTCTTTGAATCGCAATCCGCTCGCGCCTCATGCTTTCGAAAGGCTTCGTTCTGTTTCCTAGCGCATTGCGCCGCTGCTCGGACCTTACTGTTGGAGAAAAAAAACGAAAGAGGGAAGGACACTTCACTTTGTTTACACATTCACTCCCCGATTTCTGCGACCCCAAAGTCTTGAGTATGTACATGCATGCAAAAGAAAAATGATAGAGATAACAAAATAAAACTTCTTTTGCTTACAAAAATATTTGTTCAAACAAAAACAGAAAAGAGAAAAAAAGTTGCAAAGATAACATAAGCAGTAACCCATTCAGGGATTGCGAGGTCAGTAGGCGCTCCATATTCTGGAATGAACTGCAGAGTGTAAGGTCAAAGATGTAAAGTCGATATCCGTCTCCACCGAAATAATGTCGCTGCGAAACCGCTCCTTCTCCCAGAACTTTGCGACCTCGGTTGGAAAGGTTGTGCGATGTTTGAGACAAGGCCAATGGGTAAATACAGATTTACTGCAACGTCGCACACAGATGTTTGTAAAGTGCCCCATTCCGAGCTCTGTGTTCGTAGTGCCATTTATGCCATGTAGCAATGCCGCCTCTACCCGCATTGATAGCATGCCTGCACGGATGCACACATGCACGCACCAAACAAGAAAGTTGCACAAGGGCCTGCTCCTTGTGATTGACAAGGCGCCCAACTTCGTCCGGCGCCAATGTATTTGCCAATGCGATCGCCGGCATTCCCGCTTCCCCAGCATTGCTCTTCATTGCTTCTTTCGCACGCCCGCTTGCTTGCTCGTTGCACCTGGTTGGTTTTTCTATTTTCTTGTTCACTCTTTTTTATTCTCTTTTTATTAGCGAAGAGAACATAGGGGTGCTAGAAACATGCTTTCATGGAGCAAACATTCAAGCTGCATGGCGTTCAACGGTGTTCATCGCGCATATGCAAACAACTGACTTTGCAATAATAAAACATTCTTTTTTGAGCATTTGTTGCATAAAACAATGAAACTAATTTGAGTTTAATGCATATCTTGTGCAGCCGTGCTAGATATGTGCAAAAAATTGGGCGTTTTTTTTACTTTTTCTTAACTTTTTGTGTTTACCCATTGAGACATGGCCCACCCCACTGTTTTTACGAATTTCAGGCGGCCAAGGGGTGGGCGATGACCCTGGATATTATGGTATAACTGTTAAGGAATTAAGAAATGCCAATTATATTGCTTTCCTCTGTCATCGTATACTTCATTAGTTGGCGGCCGGTGAGGCCACAGCATCACCAAAGGGGTGATGGTAGACTCGTGTCATTGTCGGTAACCACTATAACAAATAATATTGCCATTAGTTATGTTTTTTCATATTGAAGAATTATTAGCTCTTGCAACAGGCACTATCATATAATCCTGCAGACTGAAGCTGAATGACTCGCTCACAAGTAGCCACCCTTTCAAGGCTCTGGCTGCAAGCATCACTGCCCTGAAACAGTGCACGGATTACCGGTATGTCGCACATTTGTTCACTACCAGCATCTGGAGCATGAAAGCTGTAGTGCTTTAACCAATTTCTGTTATTTTTTTATAGCTTCCTCGACGTCTTGGCTACTACGTATTTTCTTTAGGGTTGCTCGAAAGGGCACTTTCACGTCAGCAATGCTAGCGCTAGTTTCTTTGTTTCCTTAGCGAGTTCTATTCAGCCACTGTTTCTCCTTGCTTTTGCTTTACTCTGCATGTCCATAGAAATTCGAGATGGCTCGAATTACTAACATCATTTGTGGCGTGACCACGGCATAAAATCCGACTACCTCGTTGCTTTACGGTTTAGGCATTTCTTATAGCATCTAGTGTACATACATCAGGTAGATGCGATACATCTTATAGATGTGCCTATCGAATAACACTTAGCGTCTGTACTTCGTTTTACCTGAAAGTAATATAATGGGTCGACAGCCGGGTGCGCGCAAGCTCCTTGCTTTGGACCGTGCTTATGGATGTGCATACACAGCCTTAGCTTCACTGCTGCCTTAGAGTTAAACTACTACTACAGTTCATGAGGAATCCGAGCATGTTATAGTTGAGGCAGCTTTTGGCTGTCCTCGAGCGTCTTTCGTTCCTTCTGTCCAGGAGCACCCTCAGCCAGCTGGCCATGCAAGGTGGCCATAGCAGCGTCAACTGCTGCCTGGCTGGTGCCTTTCTGGGTTGCAGGGATGGCTTCTCTGCATTGCCAAACTCCTGGGTGCAGGGCTTGCTTCCCAAACAGAGGCAGTGGCTCAACGAGCGTGCAAACAGCCTCCTCGACAAGATGGGACTGCCGTGAGAGGGGGCATTTGCAACACAACTTTCAAGCTTTTTACTGCTTCAGAAAGTTTGCCGCTCCTATTCTTTCAGAATGGACTTCAGGAAGTGAACGTGTTCTCCAACACCAATAGGAATCTTTTTTTTTTGTGTGGGGGAGGGGGGGGAAGCGGGAGTGGGGGGGGGGGGGGGGGGGGGGGGAGCGGGGGAGCCCTTAATCACAGGAGAAGGGGGCTGGATAATTTGATGGTTTTGGGTTTTGGGGAAGGGGGGGGGGGAGGGAGAGTAGGCTGGACCCCTAAACCTCCCCTCCAGAGCCGTATATAGAGAGAGAGATAGAAGGCTTGACTTGGCTCTTTTGGCCAGCCGGAAGTCGAAAATAATCTCCTAAAGGTAGGAGCGAGAAACACTTTAATTAATGCGTAGGAGTTTAATAGAGTAACTCTTTATGGTTGAAAACATAGTGCACGCGATGTTTCGATTATGATCATGCAAAAAGGTGTAAGAATCGAATGTGCTGCTCAAACTTTGTTTTGCTTGAACGGAGTCTGACCGCTTGGACATGGCTCAGTCGGCATATTCCCGGCCATCGGCGCCTGGCGTACAGATCACGTTGATCGTTCTCTTGGATTTTGATTTTGCATGACCGTAATTAAAAAAATCACGGGCACCATATTTTCAGTCACCGAAAGTTACTCCGACACACTTATTAAATTTTGTTTCTCGTGACCACCACCATTCGCGGCTTCTGGCTGGCCACGTTCGAATCTGCGGAGACACCCTGGAACACGCCCAACTTGCTTTCGGCCAATGGTGTCTCCCCATTTGCCTCCTATATTTATCTATGAATGGCCAAACTCTCTCTATATACGGCTCTGCCCTTCTCTGCTGTTTTTCCATTGTCGACTGCTCATTCCAGGGTTTCCAGTTTTTCTGGCTATGTCCCGTTCCAATTGAAAACGAATTGCGAGGTTCATTGTTTTGCACAGCAAAAACAGTGACTCCAAACACAATAACTAGGACACTTGCGTGCATATTTGAATATGAAGTGTCCAAGCTAAAGAGCTGCCCGTCATGAGACGTGTGATGCACCACAGGTGCTCTACAAGCTTGTTCCAACTCTGTTTTATTTCAGCAATGTTTGGAGGTGGGCTAGTCAGTGGTGCATAGTAAACATATAATTAAAACAGCACAAACAAACACAAGGACAAGTAGAAGAAGGGACACAGACACAGCGCTGACTCGCGACTTACTCTCTTTTTCGTCTTCTTAAAACACATCAACTTTGTCTTCTTATGTTAATGTGTTTTAAGAAGACGAAAAAGAGGCTAAGTTGTGATTCAGTGCTGTATCTGTGTCCCTTCTTCTACTTGTCCTTGTGTTTGTTTGTGCTGTTTTAATAATACAATGTTTTATTTTTTTCAGAGGTCGAGAGGACAAATTTGGGAGGTTGTAATCTCACTGTTTTAAAAAAGAAATTTTGTTTGGGGTGGAAGTGGTATTTTGCTTGAAAACAAAGAAAACCTCCAACTTCAGCGATCGTTTCTGCAAGTTTGGCACGGCGTAGAGGGGAGCAGGCTTTGAACACAACATGTTTACACTCGTGCGTCTTGCAGCACCGTGCACAACTCGAGATCGAGTATAGAGTCGATGCAGCCAAGATGGTTAGGGCTGCCACACAGTGAACAATAGAACTTTGGTTCCTAGTAGTGAAGTGCATAATTTTATGGCCGATTTTCTGTCTCAAGGGTACTGTAGGTTTCTTCACCTTTATGTGCCAGAACTTGATTGTCTTCTCCTGCCTCAACTGCTACTATGAGGCGGGTACAGGGGTGGAACTCATGAAATGTACTTGGGAGCAGCTGAAACAGCTGTTTTGGAGCAGGTTGGGAGCAGCTCAGATCAGCTTTCATTGCACTTCAGCTTGTGTCTTAGACAAGCACGGGAGCTATTTCAATTGTGCTTAGCAGCACAGATGAACATGAGTGGTTAGGAACCTAGGTAGATGGGATAACAGTGTAACAGATGCAAAAACTTGAAACTTTGTGAGCCTTAATGAGAACTAAAAAGTAAGTACCATATGTTTCTGAAGATAGTGTGCTTGATAATTTCTAAGTGGCTTTCAGCTGGTCAAAATGCAAACCAGCACTGCTCATCGCACATCCGACATGTGCTGGACATAGTAATTATATGTGCGAACCACGTGACGTGCATAAGCAACGGACGTACAGTTGCGTGGAGGAACAGGGCAACGAATTTCGAGTTTATACTATTGTGCAACCCAATATCGAATCGGCAGACTACGATTAACATAGTTATCGTATTCGAAGCATTAAGCAAAAGCGAGGTTAAAGTACGCCGAGCAGACCTACCGCTCGCGTGAGAGCTGCTGGTCGGCAAGGTTTCGGATCGGACCGCGTTTCAGTTCTATCAAATCACGATTTATCTTGCAGGAATGCGATTCCAACTTCTAACGATGAAGTACTAAAAGGAATCTTTTGCTCATTTGTTTTTTACTGGCTGACGTCCGGATCCCGGGCCACAGAGCCTCGGGCAATCTGACGTTTAACGACTCGACCTCATTTCGGCCGACTTGCTTAACCGCTTATGATTGAAGAATAAGCATCCAGTCACAGGTGGTGTAACGCTTGGAATGCGACCCCTGAGTTTTTTCGTGCGCTTCCGACTCGGGATACACAGAGAGAATAAACAGAACAAAGGATTGCAAGGTCGACCAAGCTAAATGCGCTGATTGTTGCAACTCAAGTCGATAAAAACCGAAACCAAGACAAAATACAATTTTTCGGCGCACATTTTGCGATTTGGTGCATTATGGTGCGAGGTACTGGCTGTGGCGCAGTTTCCGCAACATGGCGCAGGATGGTGCAGACAAATGTGTCTCGTGCAAAATGGCGCAGCCCTGCGGGTAGTATGTACAAACAAATAAGCGACATACTCTGATGTGCCATTTACGAACAAGGGTACATTTGCCCACACCAGGTGTAGGGACTGCGCGTGCTGAAACCAAGTTCGTGCGGGATGAAGCGTCTTCCCAAGCGCAGTGCCAACGGTGGCGCCTCCACATTGGCACGACATCGGAAAGTTGAGTTAGTGTGTAGTCGCCAACAGAATGGGAACGGCAAGGTGCGTCTTTCGAATGCTCAGCACTGGATACAACTGAAGCTCTTTCATGCATTTCTCATCTTGTCAGCGACTATAGTACGAAGGGAAAAGTACGCACAATGTGCAGGCGTACCTGAGAAATGGAGCATGTACACGTGTGGGATACTCAAGGTAGCGTCCGATCAGACCCTTTACTTTAAAACCCGACAAACAGCCAGAGAGAAGGAAATCACCCCTCGATTCCTTTTTTTCTTTGTTCGACAAAGCAGGAGACCCTCCTTTCTGTGGAGAGTAGCTTGGAGACCCACTCTTTTTGGGAGAGGAGAAAAGAGTGCGAGGGAACGGAGAGTGACAATGTGAAAAAAATTTTCCTGCCCGGCTAAAAACTGTTCCATTAGTTGGCCTTTAGAAAAAATTTGGCAGAGACACTTAGACTGCTTACATGTGGGAACGCGAAAGCATGCCGCACGCACTAGGTACAGCTTAAGTCAGCCGGAACCGTGGAGCTGCCGTGGCGTTGGGGAAGCGTGCTTGTCTCGCACCCCGGAGGCTTAGGTTAGATTCCCTCCCGTACCAAAATCTATGAAATTTTTGTTTCAAAGCCATTAATTTACTTTGTTTAATAGAACCTGCCCGAGAAATTTTTGATGCGTATTTACCTACTTTGCACTGCGCCGCCAGCAGTTCGGCTGACCCCTTAGCAACGATGACGTCGTTGCTATGGGTGCCGTTTTCACTGGACATACAATGCCGACTTTGCTCCATAAGACAGTTAATGCTTTCGCATTAAATTTTTTTTTTTTTTAGAAAAGGTTTCTTCATTCCTTTGATTATATACAGTCCGGAACAATATGAACTTGCAGTTTAGTGCTAGCCAAAGGGGGCAAAACGCCGTATGGTGTGCCTCCAGCGTGCTAAGTTGTAGAATCGACTGCCACGTTGCGAGGATAGGAAGTATGTACCCAGGTCTCCCAGCATGGCTTTTGTGATGCCACCGCCTGGACGCTGTTGGGCCAGCTCGTATTGCCGCACCCTGTATCCTCTCCACGATGACAAAATTAGTAGGAGAGAGGAGACTATGGCAATTTTTATGCCTACCTTGGTTGTCACTGTTTTTTTCATTGTGAAGATAACATGTAACCTCAAATTTTTGTCAAATTTTTGTGTAGTGAAATTGGAGCAAACAGCAAACATTGGGTAGAAGCTGCCTAGCAAACATGCAGCACTTGTTGCATGTGTCGTGTACGGACATGCCACGGGGTCACTTTCTAAAAAATGTGGTCACCGACATTTGGCACACAATATTTTGGCTCTATCTGGAGTGCCGGTCTGTAGTATAATGTCTTGTGGTGCTGTAGTGCTATAATATAAACGTGAGACACCTATTTTCACTTTTGGGTTGCAAGAGCCATTACTGGTGACAATGACCATGCATATTTTCTGGTCACAAGCTATTCAGACTTCCGTTTGCAAAGCGGTTGATATGCTTATGGAACGAAAATTTTATCGGCATGGCATGTTTTGTTTAGACGAATGGAAGAATGCTTGTAGCTTAAGCTGTGTGGAATAGTCTTTTTTACTTATGTCGAAAGCAACATCTTTGCTTGGCAGGGAGATTCATGATGTGTACATTGTGTATTTGTGACTGTTCTGCACATTCAAATTGGCATAGTGTATTTGTGATTGTTCATGCTCATTCAAATTGGGCACTTTGTATTGTAGTGTACAATGGCTAATGATTGGAATGTAAAGGTCTACTTAGAGGGAACTTGGCAATGTAGGGCTTTCTGTGTTTGTGCTTCTTTTCCACAAAGAATGTAAATGCTGTACAAAACTTTTACGGTGTTAAGGAAAATCGAGAAGGCTGCTTATTAGGTGTGACTAACACGAGTTGAGTGACACGATGTTGTTTGCCGGGCTCCTTGTTGACTATGATCTATATTTTCATTGTTTTACTGCAGCTTTTGCTGAAAAATTTTACATTGCTTACGCATGTGTAACTATACAACAAAGTGAAAAGAAAATTTGCTTTGGAATAAAATGCAATCTTTGTAAAGCTGTGTTCGAGATTCAATGAAAACCAAATGCTGGTTTCTCAAAGCCCTAAAATTAAGCTGTTTCCAAGCATTACCTTTAAGGACAGAATGTCCAATGCTTGGAAAAGAAAGCAAGCCAGAATGCTTTATTATGCGTATTCAGTTGCGCAGTTGGGCAGGCATGGACGGGTAACTTTTCCGAGTACTGATGTTCTTGAAATAATGACTTGCTATTGCAGTAGGATTAACAGTCTTCAAAGCTACCCAAGTCAGCTTTTCTAGGTGCACTCTAGGGTGGAATATTACTGCCACGGTTTGAACCCAGGGTAAAATTCCTGGTTTAACCCTTCCCCCAGTCCTGTGTGATACTTCCAATATACAAATGATTTAAATGGATACTAAAACAAAATTTCGGTGCTTATTTCTTGGTCTATTCGTGTTCAATGGAGCATTATCACATCATACACACCAATCTCTTATTGAAAAAGACACGAAAAGGAATTTTAAAACAAATTAAACAATTAGCAAAGAGCGCCTGTTAGATGTGGGTAACGCCTTGTTTGTAATGCCCGTCTAGGAACATTGACAGGTAGTGACGATAACTGTCTCGCCTCTGGCCACAACGAGAGAAGAGCCTAAAGGAGGAACTCCCCTCTCCCCCTGACTCTCTTGTGTGTCCCAGAAGTCACTATTCTCCCTCTACAAGATTATAGAAGATTAACCCATCACTCAAAATTCAAACAAAGACAGCTTTGGGGTTACTTGCGGTGGCCCGATCGCTGGTGTGCTTCGGCTGTAAATGGATGTCCACAATATTCATTTACGGATATTGTAGATCATATTCAGCCTATTTGTGAACATGACGGGTATATTTCAAATTTCGTTGAAGTATCCCTTTAATGCAACAGGATAATAACAGTCTTGAGGTCCCCCAGAAAACTCTCCTTGAAGACAGTTTCTGGGCAACCTTCCTCAGAGTATAAAGCACTATTGTTATGATGGTCAGCACAGTGCCTTGAACATGACGTTAGCTGGATCATAAGATACACGAGAAAACAATAATTTGTCAGCAAGAAAGAAAACAAGATTGTCTTTCTTGATGACAAGTTGTTTTCAGCAAAGTAAATGCTAGGCAGTCACAATCCCACTTCTTGGTTCGACAAATATTATGCGTAGGGGAATATTGACTCATAGGGAAACTTTCTCGGTCTTATCTCTCAATCTAGGTAATGCCACATTCTCAAACTTTTGCCATTTTATCACTATACCTGCCAAGGTTGGAGAAACCAAATCCGGAGAATTTCTAAGGGGGGGGGGGGGGGGGGGGGGGGGGGGTAGCAGTTTTTCAAATAGAAATATTGACAACAAATATGCATGAAAACAGCTTTATACATTTATACTGCACTGCACTCATGCTAGCGAGAAACAGGTGGTCCTTGCTATCATTGTTGCCGTCTGTTGCAATGGCAAAAACTCTGTTTAAATGCGGGACAAAAGGGGGGGGGGGGGGGGGGGGCAGCAATTTGCGTTTTCTGGGAGATTTTTTCTGTCAATCATACAACCTTGTAAATCGGTCAAAATCTGGGAGTCTCCCAGGGAACACGAGAGACTTGGCAGGTATGTGTCACCACCACCAGCATCGCATTCACACAGAGAGTCAGCTTTCTGGGATGCGTGGTTTGTTCATACAGAACGAAAGACTGTTTTAATTTTTTCGATCAGACCTGTACTGTCAATCTACCAAACACTCATTGCACAATATGTGGAGTTTGTTATGTCACTTTAAATTTATTGCCACTCAATAAAACGTCACATTGGCATCAAATAATTGTTTCACATACTTCACATCTTAAACAGTTTCAGGGGCTTTACAGTGTTGAGTGTTTTCACTCCATCAGTTCGCAAGCCTTGCTCCCTGCGGTCTCGTGGCTTTGGTAATGGGGCTCTGGTCTGGGCACATCTGGGTCGTACGTCCACTTGGGGAACACGCGCTTGTACAGGTGCATCAGCACCGTGTCTTGAGACTTGAGCTGGCCGTTGAATACGCACTTCATGTGGCCGTGGGTTCCTGAAACGGCATGATGGAGGTCGCTCCATATTTTGTTCTTGTGCTTACATATAAAAGGGACAATTTGAAGGACCATCATACAGAATAACCTCATTATACAACAGATTTGGTCACAGCAGACATTCGGTTGTGGCGTACCAATTCGTGAAGTTTGGTCCGTCTTCCTATCCACCGTAGAATACCGCGCATCCGCCCAGTCCACATTAAGCGCCCATTCCCAAATTTGTAAGATCTGAGGAAATACGCGCAGTACATTTATATGTAAAATTGATGACCGGACAAGCGCCCATCCCCCATTCTCTCGCGATTATTTCTAAATTTTGAGTGGACGCTTGCCCGGTATTTTACGATATGTCACTGAGCCAACTTCGCCTATTACATATTCTGTTATAACATACATTCAGATATAATGGACTATATTAGAGAGTTTGTAAGTAGTTCACCCTTCCATTATAGTGGGCTCTTCAACAACAGTCATTGTATCAGCCATTATGCGACTTTGGTTCAGTAGCGGTGGCATCCATTTTATGAACTGCTGTCATTGCACTCATAGTCTTGCGAGCGAAAAGATCAATACCTTTTGAAGTTTAAAAGTTTCAATAAACGTGCTTTTAAGGCAAAAGCCTTTATGTCCCATTATGCAAAAAGGCGATGGCGTCGTCGTGCCCGAAAGATGGCCATAAAAATATGTCATCAAGAACGCGCCGCTCAAGGTCAAAGACTACACCGAGTAGGACTATAGCCCGGAAAATATGCTACATACAGCAGTAGTGTACAGTTTCCCACAATATAAAAGACACATTTGCCGAGGCAGTTTATGCAGTGGTGCTATGTTGGCCAGAAGTACTTTATTTTAATGCGAAAGCGTTAACTGTCTCATGGAGCGAGCCGACATCATCAATTTGAAGTGCGAAAACGGCACCTTAAATCCTTTCTCCAAGTGGAGCCTGCTCCCAGCTACGAAGCCACGCGAAAAGCCTAGACATGGCAGCTAGTTTCCCCGATCCCGAAGGAGCGAGGTAAAGCTGATGTATTTTCAACTTTAGTCCCATTGGCTGGTGCGCGTCGACGAGGCTCCCATTGGCCGCTGTGTGTCGGTTTCAACGATCGCTCACTCGATGGCGCTGCGTGTACGTGAGGCATAGAGTTCCTGTATAGGCTCCCTACGGGAGCCAGAGTTGCGCATTTGTTTTCCCCGCGCCGCCACACCGCTATTCGCCGAGTTCCATCACGTGAGGAGCAAAGCATCCGGTGGCGTGCAAGAAAGCCACCTTTACGGTCGCTCCGCCGACATTTCTCTTGCCCCGGCGTATGTGTCCCTGCTTTCCGCCTCCTTTTCCTCCTCTCCTGTTTTCCATGCGCGGCGGCACGCGCGGCGCCGCTATTCGCCAAATTTAGTCACGTGAGGAGCAAAGCATCCATCTCGTGCGGGAAAGCCGGCTCTACGGCCACGCGCCGAGGCTGACTGCACAACTCTGCTACCGTAGGTAGCATATACAGGAACTCTAGTGAGGCAGTGGCTCCACCGCTCCATGCCCAACGTCAGCACGCTGTACACCGCAGACCAAAGAAGGGAGTGAAGTGCGTGCCTTCGCATTCACAACTCGTAAGTGCTCAGATGTACCTCGAGCCTTTTTTTTTAATGAAAGGATAGAGCAAACATTCATTTATTTCCTTGCCTCAAGCAACAAGGGCCTGTCTAAAGCGAACCCAGAACAGCCACCTGACATGCCTTGTCAAAAGGTCTCTCATGTTGTTGGAGACTATACAAGTTCATTTCCACTGTTTGTAGTCACCGAAGGTGCAGAACATACTACACAACACTTGTTTTTGCTAGTATAATCTATCAAATTACACCAATGATGAAGTAATAAAATATGCAGTGTTGTGTGAATATTAAAAATTTCGAAATTTGCGAGAAGTTTTAAATTACCTGCAATATTCATACTATTTTTTGAAGTTTTGATTGTGGTGGGTTAGCCCGGTTGAGCGCACTTCTTACCGAGCACTGGAGCAGTGCAGAGAAGTAACAGCTGCAAAGAAGCAACACCTGCACGATCCAAGCTCCGCACGTGTTGGTTTTCTGCAGTGCACCGTAGCTCGGCAAGAGTGCAATTAACGGAGTGACCCGCCGTGATCAACACTTGGAAAAGTATGAATGTCGCAATTGGGTACTTGGGAGAAAAGCACAGTATCAAAGCGGGATTCTTCACATAAGCGCCTGGTATATTTAGAAATAAACGAAAGCTTTGTGAATGCTGACATCTACATTGCTCTGAAATTTTTAAAATGAAACTGTGGCTGATATTTAAGAGTATGTGTTAGGCTGAGATGCCCTGACAACCTGCAGTCATCATTCACAATTTTTTTTTTCTTCTTAAAATTCTAGATTGAAGAAAGATTATTTGTGTATAGCAAGATTTGTAAATCCACTCTATTATGTATAGCTGGGCATCTCTATAGGTTTAATTTTATGTCAAATCAGTCGTTTACTTGCCATCCCAAGGATCCGACTTTCTGAGGCCCCAGTCTATAAATATAGTTCCACTCCGTTTCACCTTACATCCGGGCTCAGCGGATGCTATGAGCGATCGGAGCCAATCCAATGCTGTGTGAGTGTCACGTGATCTTGGAGAGGAGGCACAGCACTGCGCAAAAAGCCTGTCATGGGCTACCTCCACAGGGCAGGATTGGTTAGAATAGCTCGTAGGGTCTGGACGTAAGGTGAAACGGAATACAGTGGATGTGATCGACCTAAGCCATTTTGGAGCACCTTTCGGAGCAGCCAAAAGAGTGTTTTGGAGCAGCCAAGACAGTGTTTCGGAGTAGCATAAGTGGCTTTTGGAGCAGATATTCCTAGAAGAATATAGATTTTCGTTTTAAGTGCTGTACAAAGAAAAGGCACTTCGTGCTGTGTTGTGCTCTGATGTGACTTATTGTGGCAAAACTCGCTGCTTGCGGTTTTACTGCTGAGACATCCCACAAATGTGCAGTGCACTACTGTAGGCATTGCCAAGCAATTCGTCAAAAGTAAGCAACCGTGAAACAATGGATTGCAAGCATCAGGCTGGTGCCTCTGTTGTGCAATAATGTTTGCATGCACGTGAGGGAAACTTTGGCAGGCTTGCAGTTGCGCGTGCTTTGTCGCGCGAGCGGAGACAACGGCTGTTTGATCGAAACTGAAACCGTGCCGTTCCGCTCCGTCGCCAACTGATTCCCAAAATTGTGTGCAAAATGTGACTGCCGAGCATACGACAAAAAAAGTGCGGCGGCGCGTGCTTGCCAGGCTGGCAAACAAAGTACAAAAAAAATAAGAACTTGAGACATCACGAGCCAGGGTCAAAAAGTTCTTGGGGCGCTTTGTGCAACGACTGAACTTGACATAAACAAGCCCGCTGTGCTATATACATTGCCGTTTTTGTTTTAGCTCACTTTACCAACTTTCTTTCGCGGCAGATTTTTCACATACCGAGTGCAAAAGAAAGCCCACCGAGCGAAACCTAGGTAATCAATACTTGGACACAGCAATATTTGAATCAAATAAGGATTTTACAGTAACGTGCGATTTAAACAAGAACAGGAATGTTAATGAACTTGCGGCAGTACTTAGTTTCATTTTAAGAAGCGCTATATCTACAGCGACGTGTGGACAGCAAAACCTGACGACGTCGCGCGACCACGGTGACTGGAAGGAAGGGAACAAATATCGTTTTCCCACGGCCGTTGCTTTCAGGAGCGAATGCTTAAGGTCACGAAGAAACTCCCGCCGCGCAAAACTGTGGTTTCGTTTAACAGCATGGCGGCATGGCTGCTACCTGGCACAGTAGCGTCGGAGCGTCCAGACACACCCGCGTCTATCGTTGAAAATATTTAAAAAAAAAGACGCGAGACGCGAACCACGAGACGACGAAAGCACAAAACGTGAAACGGCAAAAAAAAAAAAAAAAAAAAAAATAACAAACATGCAAGAACATAAAATGCACATGCTCAATTACGGTACTCAGTTTAGTTTCGGTTTTGAAAGGCAACCGAAATTGGTGTTTTGGCGCAGGCTTGGCGCAGATCACCCATATTTTGGCAAAATGTAGCAGGATGTAGCAGGGTTAGCCACTTGGCACAGTTTGGCGCAATTGGCGCAGCAATCACATCACTGGGAGTAGAAATTAAAACTGGCTTATAAAAGGACAAATGGACTAGAAGATCTTTGGCCAAAATTCGCTTTGAACTAAAAATTTATTCACAATGACTAAAATGGTACCTTTTGAATGTACATATAATATACCTGCTGCATTTCCTTGGAAGCCCTGTCTTTAAGTACTAGTGTCACTACTGCACAGTTTGTGCAGTGTTCTATATTTTCGATTTTATACTCCTTGCCTGCCTGCCTGCCTACCCCTGCCCCCTGCCTGCCCCTGCCCTGCCCCCCCCCCCCTTCCCCCCCCCCCCTTATGTAATGCCCAATGGGCCTTTAAGGGTTGAATAAATGAAAAACCCTCAAGTATTAGTATATAATGTAGACTGACGAGCATGTTGGTTGAGTTGAACACCGAAAAAATAAGACGCATGTGGGATGATGTACACTTTCTTTCAACTAGCAACAGTAGTACTACAATAAAGCCACAGAAAATTTTTATGACACCTCGCAGTAAAAAACGAGAGAGACATGGAAAGGGGGCAAGGAAAGGAAGGAGAGGATATCTTGAAAACCTAAATGATTAGGAGATTAAAAGAATGGATGACTTGACGGTAAAAACCACATTACTTCCTAAAATTATGATCAAACGGCTATGTTGATTCTAGATACAGTAACGCAACCCCATCTCGAGTTAAAATGAGGGACGGAGCAGAAACAATGTTGTCAGCTTTGATCATGGCGAACAATTCATTTACCTCTACGATGCTGGTTCACTCAAAACATGGAATGCAACCACCGCACGAACGGGAATGAACGACAACACAAACCAGCCAAGGCCCCAGAAAATTCCAAATGATGTTCCCGAAGTCGGTGGTTGACGCATCTTCCGGTTTGCCCATATCTGCACCCTAATGGTATAGAATAAACTTCCTTCCCTTCGCATGGAACGAATTTGTTTGCGTGCTTGGCAGCACATAGCTGAGGCTTCTCGTCATTGCTGACTATGTATCTTTTTTTAAGGGTACCCAGTATTGACTGCCATTATGTCAATGGCAGTCGATTGTTTAATTTTCTATCCGAAGGGTCACTCAAGTCAAGAATTTCAATGAGGTTGGTTTACCCTAGAGTAAATCAGATCTGGCTGGCTTAGGTAGCCAAACTTAGGTCACTAATCTGTTCACATTAGATCCACATAAGGTGCATTTGGGTTTGATTCCATGTGTGCAGAAAGTAGCTCGAAAGGACTCCTTGTGAGTGTCCTTACCGAGTGGTTCCTTGATGTGCCCTCTCCTACCATACTTGGTCTTGAGTTCCACAGGCTTGAACCACAGAATGTCGTCTGCAATGTAAGCAAAAAGAGAAGACAAGTCGATCGGAGCACCGTGAGAAGTCTACTTTGGTTGCTTTGTACGACGGGAAACTAGAATCTCCGAAATCACACGATGTGCTGTGGCATCTCCCTGTGCGTTTGCTTTTTTTAATAACAAAAAAACAAGCTTTACTTGGGAGTCAGTGCTCTCTTAACTTACTTCTTGCACTCATCAGTCATTGCACGGGGTTGCTTATGTTCCAAAGTATATGCCGACTAGCCCAAGTGTATCATACTACTGGCCAGGCTCTTTAAATCGACCGCAAAATTCGATTTCTTAACCCATCGTGCTACGACTTTGTGCAGCGTTGCCCACAGATGGTGCATTTCTTTTTGTGAAATTTGCAAAGAGTGAACTTACCTGAGGAAAAAGTAAAGAAAGAAAAAGGCTTAGCTCCTATGGAAATGCGGCGAAGCCAAAGGTCTTCAAACAATACGGCGCCGTTGCATTCCGCAGGCGGCGACAGTCGCAGAAACAAAAACGGGTGCGGTAACAACAAGGAACTGCAAAGCAGACGACATCAGTACCCCGAAATAAAAAAAAAAAGAACAGTAAAAATATCCCGACAAACAATTTTTTTAATCGATTATGTGTCAGATTGTCTGCTAAAAACACTGGCTCTCGGCGCCGTATGCTCATTCGTTGGCGGCGTTCGTTGCACCATCTCGTCTCCCGTGCAAAACGGCGCAGTATTGTTTGAAGACCTTTAGCTTCGCCGCATTTCCATAAAAGCTAAGACTTTTTTAAGACTTTTTCTTTCTTTTCTTTTTCCTCAGGTAAGTTCGCTCTTTGCAAATTTCACAAAGAAAAATGCACTGTCTGTGGGCAACGCTGCACAAGGTCGTAGGGCGATAGATTCAGAAACCGAATTTTGCGGTCGATTCAAAGAGCCTGGCCGCTCCTTGAAACACCGAGTAGTATATGGACAGCAAGTCGTCTGCTTCTTGCGCAGGAGTCACAGTGACGTGAGAACAACGCCAAGCTCCGATTGGCTTTGATTGAAAGGAAAAAGTGTAGACCTCAATGCTAGATGACTCGAGGTCTACCCACCATTTTTCTGCAACTGGCCAATAAGAGCTCGAGATTTTGACATCATCGCAACCCGTGTGCAAGAAGCAAACAAACTTGCGCTCAGCATAGGAAATGCAGGGCATGGCCTGTTACAATCACGTTTCTTGCTTTGTGGCTTGTTCTTGGATGTTCAGTTTTTATCGGCTAATGCCCCAATCCGAATGGATTTGATACAATCATTAGATGCTTGGTACTCGCCATGCCCTGCATTTCTCAGGCTGTCGGTGGCTGTACCATGCAATATAAAGTAATAGAATATACTGCCACAGTGTTAAGAGATGAAAATACAATATGACGCAACATGCAGCGATCTGGCCTATGACTGACCCCTGTTGAAGAACATGTAGCGGACCACAGCAGACTTGCGGTTGATCTTGAAGGGGTGGCCGCTGAGCACGGCCCTCTTCACCACCACCCTGTCCGGGTTGGCACCCAGCACGGCACCGGAGCCAACCAGCTGGTGCTCACCTAAGATGCCCAGACAGAAAGTGGTCGCTGGCTTCTTCGTGCACACACATATTTCTCCACACGGGACTAAAACGAAGGGACTAACTAGGAAGTCTAACAGAAGAGCAACTTAGCAAGTGGCACGAATAAGTGCCACGTGGAAGGGTGAGCAAAATGACCAGCTCTTCCCCCAACAACCCTTTTCAAACCTGTCTAAATTAATTGTTCCCCTAAAGGTTGCTCTGTACATAAGATGCAGGTGCCAAATCGGCGCTGGAGAATGGCACTGATGCAGATTCGACTTGCATGTGACCTATCTCTGATGTGGTTCCACAGTGGTGCATGTGACTTATAGCCAACGTGTTGTTCCACAGTGGTGAGCGGTGATACAGTGTTGATGCACTGCTGCGAAACCGTTAACTCGGCACAGCATCAGCGTTGCATCGGCGTCTTCTTTTTCGGCGCCGATTCGGCACTGTGCTTTATGTATGAACAAGCCTTCAGGACCGTTCGCACTTGCTTACGTTATGTTACGAATAGCCGGGACGTCCATGTTTCGAATATGTTGTGTGCGAAGTTGCTCCTCGAACTGCCTGCCATACCTCACACAGAGTACAAAGAGTTCCGGTGACTCTCGTCGTAAGCAGACAAGCTCCCGTAACGTAATGTAAAAAAATAGAAATACATAAACCAGCCTTGACTCTAAAAGTAACAAATAAAACTGACTTCTCAATTCATATTTCACACATGTGCTTGGGCTCTTCCAAGTAATAATGAGGGACCCCTTTTACCAAATACATAATTTTTCTTTTTAAGCGATCAAAACAGACGAAAGAAAGGAGTTTTGAAGTTTCCTTCATACCTCCTGGGGCTTCCTTGAACACCACTGCTGACACTGGAGGGAACATAATTGGAGCAAACATTGTTGCCACAGACACCGTGTCGCTTCTCAGGAACCTTTCATACTGCAAAGGTCCACAAAAGTCACAGAACAGTCAAAATACAGTTTCCTGCAATACGCAAGACCCACTGGGAGCGCGTGACTGAGACAAAAGTGGGTGCTGCACGCGCTACGGGCGATTCCATTTTGTTTCGAGGGGAGGACACTCACTTGGAGCTCAACTGGGTTTACAGATCCTGAGTGCGTGTAACGGTTTTTGGTCTCAGTTTATTCGAAGAGTGCACCTCATCGGCATCAAGCCAAGGGATATGGTCGGAAAGGTTCCAAACAAGCTGAGTCCTCACTGTTGTCCTCATCGGTTGTTTCTAGTGTAAAATGTCGGGACAGGCACCGCCAAATAAACAAATATTAAAGTTATACCCGAGTCCCATATTTAAAAGATAAATTGCATGGAAGAGAGTATTCCTTCGTTAAAAGAATGGCACAGAGCTCGCTCTTTAACAGTCTGAATTGCCTTGGCTCAGGCCCGTTGCGGCGATAGTGGGACATAGCCGTAGCATGATGCTGACGAACCATCTCCGGCGCGAAACCAGAAACTAATAAGTGAGCATTGTGCTTTAGCTGAGACCTGAACGAGTCCTTCTGATATGTATCGCTAAGCGAAAAGGAAGAGAAAGTCGAAAACGAGCTTCCATCACGCGCTCAGAGAAAGACCATTCTTACCGACGCCATGAACAGTGGCGGACCTTCAGTTTAGACTTGTAAATAAACATGTGTCTTTATCGGGAAGAATGTATCAAATTGGCGACGAGCGAAGTTAGGCGAACCCCGAAGATGGATGATTATGGCATTCATGAACGTATTCCGGAGTATAACCCCAGAGGTAACTGGGGTTCGTGGCTCGAACGCTTAGAATTCTATTTTGAAGCCAAGGACATCACCAGCTCCGGGAAGAAACGAGCAGTGCTACTGACATCATACTATGAGACGACCTTTGACATCGTATGGGCCTTACTTGCACCGAAAAGACCTTCGGAAGTCGAATTTGAGGAAATCTTGAAACGCCTCAACGATCACTTTGACCCGAAGCCAGTGGAACTGCAGTTCCACCAAAGAAATTAAGCGCCTACAGACACCATTTCTGAGTATGTCGCCGCTCTCCGAAAGATAGCAATGCACTGCAACTTCGGAACGGTGACAAACATCATGGCCACAACCACAACCACAGTGACAAGTGCAAGTTCGTCAAGTGGGGAGGCACAGGCGGTCCAAATGCCACAAATGCCACAAACTACTGCTGCTAGAGAACATGCTACGCAGCCGATTCATCTGTGGCATTAAGGACACGCACCTTCAGCAGCACCTGTTAGTTGAGCGGAACATCACGTTCGACCGAGCCTACACGATGGCCTTGGCGACGGAGTCTGCCACCAGCCAGCAACGCCAAATAGAGGCTAGCAAGGAATGCAAGGTACAGAACTCCATGACAGTAAAATCTGCAAAAGACGAAAAGCCAGCGAAGAAACCCTGCTTTCGGTGTACAAGCATGCACTCACCGGATGATTGCAAGCACATCAAGGCAATATGCAAATTTTGCCACAAGAAGAGACATTTGGAAGAGGCGTGTTTCAAACGTAAGGCCAAATTCCAAGAGACTTCAATTAGTCGTACGCATCACGTGACAGAACCGGAACACGAGACGCATGGTGACCTGTTCGCTGTTAACAGCGTTACACAGGGAGACTCCTCACGGATCATCGCGGAACTTCTCGTAAATGGTCGACCTCTCAGCATGGAAGCGGACTCCAGAGCCTCACACACAATAATCAGCATTGACACTTTTGGACATCTTTGGCAGGGACGGCCACCTAAGCTCGATCATTGTGACTTCTCCTTGAGCGTCTGGGCGGGAGACCGCATGCCCCTGGCTGGGAAGTTGCGGTCAATGTACGATTCAAGGACAAAGAAGCTCGTTTGGAACTTTACGTGGTTAATGGAAAGGGAGCAAGTCTTCTTGGTTGAGACTGGTTTCCTGCATTGATCAAGGTGTCCGGAGTATATGCAGTGTCTCCAAGAACTCTGGAAGATCTTCTGATGAAACATAAACAAGTGTTCCAGGGTCAGCTCGACGGTCATGTCGGCGAACCGATACACATAGACCTACGACAAGATACATCTCCGAAATTCTTGAAGTGAAAAAGCTACAAGTGCAGAACATTTCGAAGCCTGTGAAATCATTGTCCTGGGCAACACCGTTAGTGATTGTCCGCAAGAAAAACGGCTCACTACGCTTATGTGGAGATTACCGGTGCACAGTCAACCCCACACTTAAAGGGAAGATGGGGCACTTCTACATTTGAGAAAAAACGCTTGAATTGCATTCATTTGGCCTTTAGAATAGCAGATATCACAATTATATTTCAATGCGACGCGCCAGAGAGCAATAAGAGCAATTTGAAAAAAGGCCTGAAGCCCCGCCTCCCTAGCCTTGGCAAGCCAAAAGATCCGTCGATGACGTCACGGACAGCGACAGTCTTTCGCGGTTTTCTCGCGTTTAAAAACACTTGCGCGGCAAATGGTTTTGGTATTCGGGTTCACGAGGTAAAAATACACTAGAATTCACTTCTAACTCATTTTATTCAAGAAGCTCCGTAGCTTCCCTTTAAGCCAAATGCATATCCCCTTCCCACGGCACCGGACTTGCTGTCCATCGTACAAGGAGGGAAGATCTCCAAAATAGACCTCCAGCAAGCGTATCAGCAATTGCGTGTCGATGAGACCATGGTGGAGCTACTGACTGTGAAAACAATGATGGGGCTCTTCCGCATAAAATGAGTTCTTTTCGGAATTTCGGTAGCGCCTCTGCTGTTCCAAAAGTTTATGGATACGCTGTTGGCAGGTCTCGAAGGCACCGGAGCATACCTTGATGACATTATGGTCACAGGGTAAACCGAAGAAGAACATCTACAGCGTTTGGAAGCCGTTCTTCAATGCCTCGGGGAAGCTGGACTCCGCGTCTCTCAACCTAAATGTAACCTCAAGGCTCTGGCGATAGAATTTCTAGGTTACCACGTTGACGACAAGGGCGTCAGACCAACAGCCGAAAAAGTCAAGGCCATCATCGAAGCACCGGAACAGAGTAACAAAAAGGAACTGCAAGCTTTCCTTGGCATGCTGAGCTTTTACAGTCACTTTCTGCAGGACAGAGCATGCACTGCCGAAAGGTTGCATTGACTCCTTGACAAGGATGCCAGGTGGTGCTGGGGCGAGAAAGAGCGCATGGCGTTCAGACAGCTCAAGACGCTCGTGAGCTCAGCACCAGTGCTTGTGCATTATGACGACAAACGGCAACTTGTTTTGTCTTGCTACGCCTCGCCCTACGACGCTGGGGCAGTATTGGTGCAGCTAATCGACGAAGGAGCGGAAGTTCCAATTGCCTATGCGTCCAGAACACTGGGCAAAAGTGAATGGAACTATTCACAACTGGACAAGGAAGGACTAGCCCTAATCTTTGACACAAAGCACTTCAGTCAGTACATCGCCGGGCGACACGTGACTGTGTACACCGATCGCAAGCCCCTCCTGGGAATAATGAGCTAAGGTCGGCAGATCCCTGCAATGCTCTCACCCCGCATGACCCGGTGGTGCCTTCTACTTGGAGGCTATGACTACGATTTGCGCTACCGGCAAGGCAAGTCACATCAAAATGCAGACGCACTCAGCCGTTTGCCGTTGCCAAGTAGGAAGGACAAAGCTGCACCTCCAGGGGATATACTTCTCCTGGAAGCTATAGAGTGTCCACCACTAACAGGCCAACACATAGCATGATTAACCAAAGAGGACCCGATGTCGTCGACGAACTACCAAGGTTTACGAGACGGTACCACCTCAAACTGGACCGGAGACAAGTTCACGCCATACAAGCGTCGGGAACACGAGTTGGCAACACACAATGGCTGTGTAACTTGGGAAGTATGTGTAGTTATTCCGCGAGTGGCTCACGAGCAAGCTCTGAAAACGTTGCACGCCAATCATCCAGGTATTGTTGCTATGAAGAGTACTGCCCGAAGCCATTTCTGGTGGCCGAGACTGAACGCAGACATCGAAGCCACCACAGCTGCGTGTCCGACTTGTCAACAACATCATCGCTCCAAGCCGACAGTACCAGCACCTGACTGGTCATCTGCTACTCGACCCTGGGAAACCACCCACATTGACTTCGCCAGACCAATCGAAGGAGTTTCAAATCTGATTGTCGTCGGCGCATACTCTAAGTGGCTGGAGGTCAAGCCGATGCAATCTACGATGTCTGCGCACGTCATCGATGCTTTGCGCACTGTAATGGCAACTTTTGGAGTACCAAGGATCCTCGTCTCTGACAACGCACCGAATTTTGTGTCAAGCGAAATGAAAGAGTTTAAAAAATAAATTGGCATTAAACACTATACAAGCGCACCATACCACCCGGCAACTAATGGTCAAGCAGAACGGATGGTGGGTGAAACAAAGAAAGCTCTGTTGAATCTTACGGAGGGAACAGTGCAATGCAGAATCGCCAGGCTCCTGTTCCGACAACATAAAACAATCCCTTCTGCCACAGGAAAGACACCTGCCGAGGCAATCTTCGGTCGATGAATTTCCACACCCCTCGACCTCATGAAGCAATGGGCAGCTGGAAACGAAGATCGAGAAGTTTCTACGGATGGAGTAATGGAAGATTATTCTACAGGACAAACCGTCTACATAAGAAACTTTGGTGGAAGTCCTCCATGGATTCCAGCAGTAATAGTAAAACCTATGGGTATTCGCTCATTCCAAACAAAAGCAGTGGACTCAAAAATTCAGCGTCGACTTTTGGATCACATTCGCCACCGACGAGAGAACACAGAAGCTGTGGACGTTGAAATATCTCCGTTCATAGCGTACCCGAACGTCGAGGTCACTAACGAAGCATCAGCGGTAAAACCACTGGAAGCACAGGAAGGCCACGGAGCCTCCATGGACAACACTACGGACGTCCAGGCGGACATCGTCTTCAGAACTACAACTAGATGCGGTCGCAATATCAAGTAGCCAGCACATTTCAAGGACTTTGTGTTGAGCATTAACCCAGAAGGGGAAAATTGATATGTATCGATAAGCGAAGAGGAAGAGAAAGTCGAAAACGAGCTTCCATCGCGCGCTCAGAGAAAGACCATTCTTACCGACGCCATGAACAGTGGCGGACCTTCAGTTTAGACTTGTAACCTTCCCTCAGGGTGGAATGGAAACGCCCGGAGTGCGTGCAGCGACCCCGCTAGCCACCGTCTCCGGCCATGCACTCCCAGTGGGTTTTTTGCATTGCAGGAGACTGTAAATGCCCCTCTTTCCAAGTTGCACAACAGAAAAGCTGAGTGAGCCTTGCGAATGACACAATGCATGTAGTAATCACAGGATTGAAAAATGTCATCTATGTAAAAAACTGACACTGAAAACTGTTTGACTAACTCATTGATACGTCTCAGAAATCATTAGGTACCAGTAGTAGCATGTCGTCCCTGTGTGTTTGCTTTTGCACCTTCAAATATTGCACAATATAGGCTGTCTTGGCACCTTCTTACATGATATACTGAGGACTGCTGGATTTCTGAAACAAGCAGTGACTGATTACTTGACCTATTCATTTTGAACTTGCAGCACCTTCAGGCACTATCGTATGGGGGTGAACAAACATGAAAAAAATGTGTCTGCATTTGCAGCACAAACAGTACTGGAAGGCAGAGCATTTCATTCCTTAAGCAGGCGACACATGAATGATGGAAACGGGCGCCGCGCGGCAGTTTCCATAGCGCATAAGCCATGACATGGAGACATGGCATAGGTCCATGTCAGAGCGTCCATGCAAGCTGCTATAGAAACTGTTGCGCGGCACCCATTTTTGTCGCTCATGCACCTCCTTCCTAATGGCCTTAACAATAAATTAATTCTTAGCTCATCCCGTCCTGGTATTGAGCCCTATATTTTATGAATGTGGTCTCTTTAGTTTCAAATATAATTTAGAGTAAAAATATGACAAACTATTAATGCCAGTAACTTTATATATAAAATCTTTAAACACATTTTTTCATCAAAGTACCATTGAATGCCATCCTAGCTCTTTTATTGCACCACTGACAGTTGTGCAATTATCCTACTGTCCCAGGATCAGTTTATATAATATACTTAACAACCCACCCTGACTATTTCCATATGTGTCTACACTTAGACATCCACCTAAAAATTTTTCCCCTTAAGCGCCACCCACCTTGTGCTTGTCTCCGTTGGTATGAGCCGAAAAGATCGGGCAGGCGGCAAAGCGCCTGAATCCGACGTGGAATACCAGTCGCTCCTTTGACTTGATGGGTTCCGTGAAGCCAGGGTGCCTCTTCACAGCCACATGCAGCACCGACATCTTTTGTTCGTAGGGCAGCAGGCCGAACAGGACCAAAGGCTCCCCTCCCCTCTTCCGGAATGCCTCTGGAGCAGTACCGAGGGGCATGCAAAATCAATCGATCACGTCTCACTTAGCTGACAAAACAATTCTACAAAGCCACCATTGAGTACAGTTGTATGGGGTGACAACAGAGTGGCACTGGTAGCATTTTAGATGACTGCATGACCGACAATTCACGGATAGATGGCTTCAAATAGTTTTAGAGTTGTCAAATAAGGTAATACATTATTCTGTTATGTGCCTGTGATTACAAAGAATCAAAAGGTGATGAGAGCTATAGACCTTTGCAAAAAGACTCCTCTGGATGCCACCATTTTGCGACTCGAGCGACCCCTATCAGCCAGAAATTTCTGCCACCCGCATGAGCTGTGGAAACCCGGTCAGAGTGGCACCCCACCTGCATTGTGCATTTGGACTTTGCCGGCTTTTCTTGAAAGTTTTAATGCGAAAGCATTAACTGTCTCATGGAGCGAGCTGACGTCATCAGTCCGAAGCGCGAAAACGGCAGATAATTTCCTTCGGTTCCATTGGCTGGCGAGCATCGACGGGGCTCCCATTGGCCGCTGCGCTCGTCAGTTTCCATGACTGTTCACCCCATGGCGCTGCGTGTCCATCAGCACGGAGCGTCCAAGGTCACCGGGGGAGCACACGCGCCGACCGGCGACAAAAAGTACGCAGCAGACGAAAAAGGGAGCGGATGAGCAGCTTGCATGCTTTCGCATTCACAACTCACAAGGAATGATTAAGAGCTGTTGTGTCCGTCCCTATGTTTATTCTTTCTGTTTTTACTTAGGTGTACCTCAATCTTTTTTACTTTATCTCAAATCCTGTTAGGATAACGCATCACCATGGGGTACATACAATATATGTTTTTCAATTGATGAGACTCGTTGAATTTCATGTTGTGAGCGGGGAATACCCATGCAGATCAGCCATCCTGTGTGGTCAAATATTCTCAACAGTTAAGACCTATGTAGATTGACACGGATGACTGTACGGTGCCATAAAAAATTTTAACATACCTAAAATGAAACAAAAATTTCAGTTGCATATGTTCTGTTTCGCACGGACTTGCCAAAACTACCAGTTCTCATTTGTTTGTTTTTGTCCCCCAAAATAGTACAATGCCTTCTTAAAAACCCTGAGAAATTTTATTCGCCATAAAACACAAAAGAGAAAGCAAAACACTGCAATTTAGCCGTCACCAGCATCCGGAATTGCGCCTACGCAGGCTGCCACAGCCCAATGACGAGAAAACCCCCATCCCAGCGCAGTCGGGCAACAATGACATACCACTCTCAAAACAGGCTAGGTGGCGCAAGCTGTCGCCCGTTACAAAGTGTATAGCCATTATCATCCATCCATCCATACAAGGGACGCCCGCTGTAAATCGCTTAGTTTGAGACTGCCGCTGGAAAGGTCAATAGAGCCGTGTCACTGGCAAATCAAATGAGTCCTTCACTGCTATATTGACTCTCTTACCATTATTTTCAATGTAGAACTTTTTTTTTTCTCCAATATTTCAATTGGTGCATCCTATGAAATGCTGCGACTTACTTGAATTCTTTTTATATAAGTATGATATTTAATCAAGCAAATTTGCCGTGGGGGATTTGATTAATTGCGAGAATATTGAAACTGGCTCCCGCTTGCGCATATGTCTTCGATCACATCACACATATGCAAGGTTACCGATGCAGTTTTGCTGTGCCAACATTACATACACATTAGTGCGACTTATACCTCCTTACCGTAAAATCCCGTAAAGGCGCGCCTCCCACAGAGACCGTCCATCCTGTTTTTCTGGCTAAATATTTGTAACATAAAAATGACGATACGTTGCCCACCCCCCGATTCCAGTCGGACATTCCGCAATGTCTATCGGAAATCACATAAACTGCGCGATCTGCAGTACTGGTATGTGTGTGAAAAGAGTTACAGCAGGTTCCCACGTTTTTTTTTTGTCCACGATCTGAGCGCGCAATATCGGTGCCCGTGGCGAGCAAGTTTGTAGCCAGTTTCCGCGTGCTTATTGCACCGTAGAATACGAATCTGGAGACTGCGGTTTCCTTTCCCTTGACACATGAGTTCGTAGTGAATTCCCACCTATTTATCACATTGTGAAATGTGAATTCGCTGTGCCCGCGACCTGCAGTTTCAGTTTCCGTGTCACATGGTTTGTAGTGGGTGCCCCTGTGTTTATCACTAATTTTTGATGAAGTTTTGCTGTGTCATCCCTAGGGTGCCTTCATGTGCGCTTTGCTTGGGGTGATGACATCTAGCCATTTTGTTTCGAACGCTTATTTTCATTTTTTCTTCTCAAGCGTGTGAAATAGCGCGTACCTGCACGCGCTCGTGGCACTGACTGTGCTGCAGCGAAATTTTGTTTCCTGCGATTTCTTTGTATGTTCCCTGTGAGCGCGTGCTGTCAGCAACGGGTACTACAAACGATGGCATTACCTTAAACAGAAGGACATTAAGGCACTTTAGTCATCCCCAAAGATAGCCCAGCTCACGTTTTTTACCATTTATTTCTTCATTTTGGGTGGGCACCCCATAAGGGATTTTACGGTACTTCTTTGTGAAAATGGCTCTTTTGGGGGAAAAATATGGTAGTCAGAAGTAACCGGCCTGTGAACAAGATTCAGGATGAGACATAGTTTCATGATGTTTAAATCCTGAGAGTAAGAAGGAAACTTGAAAGAAAAAGTGTAAGACAGAAAAAAGGGGACAGCACAAACATCTCAATTGAGACATTAGTCCTGTCCCCTTTTTTCTGAGATGTTTGTCCTGTCCCTTTTTTTCTGTTTTCTTACACTTTTTCATTCAAGTTTCCTTCCCGGTCTCAGGATTTTACCATCATGATCAACATACACCAGCTTGCCTGCACCTTGACAATTTTTACATAGTAGTTTCAGTTGCTCTTGAAGTGGGTTTTTATGAAGAAACCCAGCAAGTGTCGGTGAGAAGTCTTTTGAGGAAACAATGTTCATCAAATGTGTGTCCGTGAACGTGCACCACTGGCATTACGCACAAAAGAAAGAATGGATTGGAATGCGACAGATTTCAAAACTCACCGTAGACACTCCTGGGGACGTTAGCAAGGTGCAGGGTGATGTACCAGCCAGGCTGCATAAAGCAATGAGTCACCAAAGAGACGTGAAACACAAGCCAAATGATGCAGCAAACAAAACAGATGGAGGTGAAAGATTTAGTGTAGCAAAAACATGTAACAGCAATACATGTTGCATTCTCTTGCAAATATTACATTAGAGTTCTCTTTAATATTAAAGATATAATTGCGCCCCTGCTCTAAAATCCTTACTTGTGAATTACTGTAATTTCCCAAGAGATAGCCCACCTAAAATTGAAAGCATATTGGGTGAAACTAAGCAGTGAGCTAAATTTCAGTGTGCGATCAAAAACAATTGCGATAGCAGGGATCAAAACTTGTGATTGCAGGAAGGGGCGATGAACCAAAGACAACTGTCCTTCCCTGCCAGCAACATTTGCTCATTCCCCGTCGTGGTTAAGTAACACCATTTCTGCCGAGGTCACCATGGACCAGAGCCCTGCAATTACTAGAAATGTGCCATATTTTGGTTTTCTTTAAAAAATAGCAAATCATACCAAAAATAGGGGGCGGGTTATCATTCGGGGGTGGGGAATTTCTTGCGATATTACGGTGGAGCTTGTTAGCCCCTCAGTGATCTGGATTGCAAACATATATCAAATACTATACTACATATTAAAACTAAATGTTCCCCCGAATTTAGAAAGTTTAAGGGCACATCAACAACCTTGCTACATGTAAGAAGTTGTATATGTTCTCCAGTTCACTACAGTAAACCCCTGTTAACTCGAACACAGATATCTAGAAAAATCAGTTAAATCTAAACTTTTGTGCATTGCGAAATTAATCCCCATAGGTACCATGTATTCTGACATTTTTTATCTCGAAAAGTTTCTGGGACGGGCATCAAGTACGTATCTAAAAATTTTGCATGAAAAAAAAAAAAAAAAAAAAAAAAAAAAAAAATTTTTTTAAAGGATTTATGGTTAAAGGAGAAAGCTTATCTCCATTGCAGACCAAGCGGCCGCAACCTAAAAATAATGCTAACAAAGAGAGAGAAATTCGTTGCAGAAAAATAAACAAAAGGAAGCACCGCGTTCTGGGTGCACAGAATATGACATGCTGAGGGAAGAGAATGATTCAAGGATGCTTGTTTTTTTGCATTTTGCTTTCTCCCTCTCTCCCTGCGACTTCTATTTCTCTTTCTCTCTATGCTTGTCCTGGCTACTGTAGTTCTATTGGCTCTCCCACATGCCGTTGTCGCGTCGCCTTCGTTCAACCCCGTCCACAGCCGACTCCCGTCTCATTTCGACAGTGCGACTGCAGTGGCAGCGTCGTCCGTTTGTTTTCTGTTACATAGTGGCCACCGCGAAGATGACAGAGCCGAGGCAGTGCAAATCGTTGATGTTGGAGCGGAAAGTGGCCCTCATCAAAGGAGTTGAAAAAGGGGGTCGGACAAACTCGAGCATCGACAGGGAATTCAGCATTCCCTTGTCAAGAACAAGGACAAGTCTTCAAAGGACTTCAACAAAGCTTTTTAAGCAAAAGGAAGAGGCAGCGCGACTCCAAGTTTCCTGACGGCGAAGCAGCGGCCCTGCAATGGCTACAGAACGTCCACGTGGCGAACCTTCCAGTGAGCGGCCCAATGATAATGGGAAATGCAGACGCCCTGGCTTTGCAAATAGGCTACACAAACGTCAGCTGCAGCAAGGGCTGGTTTGATCGATTCAAGAAGCGAAACAATGTGGCGTCCATGCCAATACATGGCAAAAGCAGCACTGTTGACAGAGCGGCGGCTGTGGGTAACTCGCACAACCACAAACTAGTCGAGCTGCAGAAGGATTACCACGACAAGGACATCTTTAATCTAGATGAAGCCGCCCTCTTCTATAGGATGCTACCCAGCCGCACCTTTACACCAAAAGGACAAGCATGCACACGCACCAAGCGGTGCAAGGAGAGGATCACAATTCTTTTAGGAGCCAACGCTACTGGGTGAAGAGAAGCTGCCCCTTCTACTTATCGGTAAAGCCAACAAACCCGCACGCTTCTGCCATGCTCGCTTGTCAAAGGAGGTGATCTACTGATCCAACAAGACGGTCTGAATGACAGCAGTGTGCTTTGAGAAATATCTGCATGCACTGGATCGCAAACTGGCGAAGGAAAAGTGCAAAGTACTTTTCATTGTGGACAATTGCCCAGGACATGGGAGAACCGACAACCTCGAGGCGATACAGCTGGAGTTCCTGTCCCTAAACATGACCTCGGTTCTCCAGCCAATGGATCAAGGAGTGATCGAAATAACTCGAAAGCTGTATTGAAAAAGCTTCCTCTGGCGGATTTTGTTGTCCTACAAGACCGGAAAATTGTACGAAGTCGGCCTCCTAGGTGTAGTTCACCTCATCGAGCACTCCTGGAAACAAGTCATGTCAGTGCTGATTGTGAACTGCTTCAGGCATGCAGGGTTCTCTCGCACCCCAAGCCCGCTGGAGACGCAGGCTACGCCGGAGTTCAATGACCGTGATGAACTCTGTGAAGAAGTGCGCCGTCTTACTGGTTGTGCGGACAATGGAGCAGACGGCAACGTTGACTTTGAGGAGTATGCTTTGTACGAGAGAGATGTCCCAGTGACTGGCGACATGACCGATGCTGAAATTATCCAGGCAGCTTTGGGCAATGTGGGTGACGAAGAGGAGGACGACAAACCTCCTCGAGAGATCCCGACGTCGGCCGAGACGTGGAACATGCTGCGTCTACTCCGGAACAAGGTCGAGTGCAGTGGCGGCGAGGAACGAGTGGTGCAATCCTTGAAGGTGCTCGAAGATGCTCTTCTGGCCCCGAATGTGATGCCAAGCAAACGGATATCACAACGTTTTTCAGTGCCCAATAAGTGAGTGGGAGAAATAAAATGTGCAGCCGTGCAATTACCTGCTTCCCGTTTTTATTGCAAAGGCACATCACAACACCTCACAGCTCCATGACGCTCCCATTGCAAGTACCAGGTACGCTTGTTTCTAATTCATTTTTTCTCGTTTTAGTAGGTGATTTCTTGCTTGAAAACTAAGCTGTGATTAGTAAGATTCTCGGAAGCGCTAGATTTCCTAAATTCACAGTTGTTACTTCGGAAATCGGGAAGTAAGATAAACTCCTCTGCTCAGTGGCGTCATGAGGGTCAGCGGCATCCAGGTCAATAGCCCGCCGCAACACGCCCCCCCCCCCCCCTTCCCCGCTCTCGTGGCCCGCCGCAACACCCCCCTAAGCCCTGCACCCCGAACAGTTCCCCCGCCGCCCCCCTTGTGACGCCAATGACTCTGCTTATCTCGAATATTTCGCTTATCTAGAAATTTTTTCCGGTTTTTATGACTACGAGTTAACAGGGGTTCACTGTCCATTCAGAGATCACAATAATGTCTGCCATGTCCAATTAGCGAAAAACGAAAGCAATGAAGACAAAGGCTTCACAAAAAGTGCAGTTGAGAAGGATTCCTCACCATGGCCCCGTCCCTCTCTTCTGCCATGACCCTCTTTTTAGTCCTTGAAAAGTTCTCGAACTGAAAGACCCTGGCGTAGTCAAAGGGCAAGTTTTCCTTGGGGTCCCAGGGGGATGAGTGGAAGCTCTTTAGGCCCCGGTACCTGAGAGCAATGTAGACCAGAAGGACCATTAAGCCACCATACACACAACCCAATAAAGGAGGCGACAGGAATAAAACGATGCGACCACCTCCCAGCCACGTCCTACACTCCATAATTTAAAGGACCCGAGGTTCTGCAAGGCAGAGATCCTCCTGGTTTCCTTCTCTCCTCGATTGTGAGGAGAGTGAAGGATGGAAAGAAGGAAGCAAGGGAGCAGGACATACCTCCGCGCGCCCAGAAATCAAACTCATGGGGTGCTAAGGAAGGGAGAGGGAGGGAGGGAACAAGAGAGAAACGTGCATGTTGACCTTTAAATGTCCTTATATGGTAACACCTTGACCACTTTCTTTTTTCTCTGCCTTGCAGTGAAAACCCTCAAGCAGAAAAATGCATCAAGTAAGATAAACTCCTCTGACATATTAGTAGCATGTTATCCATAGATGTGTATCTCTATATAAAATGTCTAAGGGGTACAGACATGAACTGGGAACGTCAACTTTTGAACCATTCTTTTAAATTGATTCAAACTTTCAGGATGAATTAGGATTGATGACATCTAAAGTTTGTCTTGTAGGCCAATTCTACAACATACTATGCTTAACAAGCTCCAGAAAAAAGTTACTTTATTAGGAAATGTATTTAAGAAAAATAATAATTGCAATCCACAGAATGTTTGGTTTAATGTGAAGTAGAATACCCATAGTGCAAGTTAACATAAAAATTAATTGTAGAAAATGCAATTCTAGAGAAAAACAATACATAACACTCAAAAAGAGCAAAAGATTTGAACAAATTTCTGCGTTTTAAAATATTCAATTTTTGTCGTGAAGAATTTAGCTTTTTCAGATTATGAGTACCTTAACTTGTTCCACAGGAAATTTCAGCCCAGGACACCACTGAATGAAATCTTCACACTTTCAAAATGCCAAATGATACATTTCCTCATACTACCACATTTCCTGACAAAAAGTGAACCTGAGAAAAATGCATTTGAAGTTTCAACTTCAGGTTTCTTTCTTTTCTGTGAGTCCAAGGTAGGCAAAATTCACCTGGAGCATTGTTAGCACCTTCCCCTTTGAGACTTTGTTGTTCCCCTGGCAATAGCTACCAGCTTGTGTCGTTTGTAGGCAAGCAAACTTTTATAGCAGGCATACCTTGACAGATAAACTGGCAGGAACTGAGAGTCAAATCATACTAAGGAAGAGCAGCCAAGCAGGAATAGGATCTCAAGTGGAAGATATTGTAAAAGGGTGTTACTGAAGATGACACAATATCACGTCACTGGGCAGGACCAATCATAAACTCTGTTGTGGGTCTCAACCAATAAAATTGCTCATACCAAATTTTCTGGATTTTTTCTGTTTGGATGTATAGGGTCCTCCTGGCCATTGATACTTTTAAACTTGAAAAGCTTCTACGGGCTAAATTTAGAGTAAATGGCACTTCCTATGAGGGTGAGATGTTCTGGCTATGTTAAATGAGCATGAAGCAGTGTTAAATAAAAAACGCAAAAAACTTGCTCCCTGCTGACTCGGAGGGCTACCGACATCTTTAAAATAATTTATTGCGAGATAAATCCTGCATGTTTATAAATGAAAGTTTCTGAATCCATTCTTCGGAAGTTAATAAACATAAACATATCATTAAAAAAAAAAAGTGTTTTTCTAAAAAATTTTAATTAGAAGCTTTCCAGGGTTACTAAAACTTCCAATTTGTTGAATAGATGATGTCCCGTTAATTCCTACTGGACGGCCAACTGTCGCTAAGCCTTCTCCGTGTGTTTTCTTACCTCTATAACCTCAACGAAGGATTAAGGGTAGTAAGACCGCTAAAGACGCAACTTACCGGGCAAATCGCGTCCGCGCCGGCCCATCGAGGGGCGTGTCCACTTCGTCGGGGAACATCTGATCCATACGCTCCTCTCTGAACTTCACCAGGCTAAAGCAGAGAGAAGCACCAGATTAAAGGAACACTGAGCCCCCCAACAAATGGTGTAAGAAGACTACCCAATCAATATTTTGCTACAGCATCACATTTATTTTTAAGAAAGTAAAAAAATGCAACTGCTTAAAGGGACACTGACACCCCCCAAAATTTTTTTTTTAATTTTTTGCCAGGCGCTTTATTATGGTGTCGGAGGACTACCCAATTAATATTTTGCAACAGAGTAGCATATTTTTTTAATAAAACCAAAAGACGCAACTGCTCGAAACCGAAACCGAAACCCGACGGAGGTCGGAGAAGTGGAGAGAAGAGAGTGAGTGGCGGAAGTCACGTGGCTACACCCGACCGTGTGTTTTTTTGTTTTTTTTTTCTCCTTCCCGGTAGCAGACGACATGCGGCGTATGGGAACTGCTCGCCGTGGGATTCTTTTGCAGTTATGTATGTTCCGCTCGTTGTTCTCTACTCCAAGATGAGTTGTTTTGTACATTGAGGAGTTGGAGATGAGTAGTAAGTGCCTGTGGTGAATTTTGATCGGCTCCGAAAAGAATACACCCAAGATGTTGCGTGAAGAGCTGGCTCACATGTCCCGCGTCCGAAACAGAAGTGGCATTGTGCGACAGAGTTTCCGAAAGATCAACGGGATCGGGACCAATGGCTGGCTGCAATTCCTGTAGACCATTTACGGGCACCTCGGAAAGCGGACGCTACCTGGTTTATATGCTCCTTGCATTTTGTGGAAAGTGATTGATTACATTGAGTTCGTAGGTGTCAAAAAGGATATCCCATACCATCTAATTCAGCGACGTGTCGTCCACAGCATTTGTTTCTTTTTCTTTTTTTGTTTCTTCAGTAATAATTGTAAAAAAAAAAAGAAATGTAAACATCAAAAAATATTTAGAAAAAAAAAAAAGTTTTACGGGGGATCGAACCCGGCTCTACCGGGTGTGAAGGGGACGTCTTTCCCACTGAGCTACTGGGGCATATCGAAATTGGGGTATCTTTTTCCTTAGTAATAATTTAGCCGATAAACTGTAAGTTGGAAAGTTTGCTGCCGATTTTCCTCTAGCAAAAGCACTCCCGGGTCGAAGTCGGGATGCACCACGCATTGGCGACATTCTCACCTAGTAAAGAAATCGTACGCGTGCATATTCCACTCGAAGTAGACACCTCGCGCTTGACGTTTGCGCGAGCGATGTCTTCAGCCACAAGAAGGGAGCGACGGCTCGGCGACGTCTTCGTGCAAATCGGCTTGGTGGTCGGGCGTGTCGTACGGGATGAATACCAATTCTTTTGATCAGTCCCAAATTTCTCTTTTAAAAGTAGACAGAATTCGCCGGTACCGCGAACGACAGTTCTGAAATAGAGGTCCCACGCCCGTCGTCCGCTGCCATCGCCGTCCCCGCGAGTCCCACGATACGCGAAACGACGCACGCACAGAATGCTTCCGGTTGTCTGTGGAACTTTTTTTTTCAATCAACGTATTTGCAGCTTTTTAGAAGCCACAAAAAATGGGTTTTATATTTTTTTCGATTTTTAATATTGAGTGTGTGCTTTCAGTGACCCACGACTTTGATTAAATTTGGTGGTCGCATCGATACCTTAGAAAACGGCCCGTGACCGCGGAAAAGAGAGTGAGCGAGACTCGAACCGGCGAGTTCTTGATCGGCGGTTTTCGGGCGGAAAAAAACCGAATTTCGAGCCGCAAATTCTGTTCTGGGTAGTTGAGCTCTCATATGTCACGTACAACTAAAAACCTCGGCGAGCATAAATACCCTGTCAGTGTCCCTTTAACACTGAAACTAGACTGGGGAGGAAGAAGAAATAGAGAGGAGGAGAAAGTTACAAAAAATCAAATGCCTGTGCCATTTTTTCCTTCTTTTTTCAATCAACGTATTTGCAGCTTTTTAGAAGCCACAAAAATGGGTATCATACCTTTTTGTCTATATTTAGTATTGAGTGGATGCCTTCAATGACCCACAACTATGATTATCTTTGGTGGTTGTGTCTAAACCATACGAAACGGCACGTGACAGCAGAGAAGAGAGTGAGCGCGACTCAAACGGGCCAGTTCTTGATCCACAGTTTTCGGGCGGAAAGAAGACGAATTTCGAGCAGCAAATTGTGTTCTGGGTAGTTGGGCTCTCATATGTCATGTACAAATAAAAACCTTGGCGAGCATAAATACCCTGTCAGTGTCCCTTTAATGAGGGAACATCTAAATTACGACAACCCAATGATCTTTCACATCTTTCACACTTCTTGATTCCACTATATAGCTATAGGCCACAGTATATAGGGAAGTTTCACGAAATACAATCATACTCCCGGCAAACCATGTGTGGTGTGCCCATGAACACCTTCCACCATTTTTAGGGGTGAAGCTCCTAAAAATGGTGGAACGTGGTCTTGTCTGTCCGGCGTCCGTGCTCACATCGACCTTGCTGGTGCTCGTGAGCTCATGTGCTCACGAGCACGTGCTCGTGTACAAAAAAAAAAAAAAAGTTTGCGCAGCCGACAGGATTTGAACTTGTGCGGGGAGACCCCAATGGATTTCTAGTCCATCGCCTTAACTACTCGGCCACGACTGCGGGACGAGTAGGGGGCTCTGAGATGTGGTAGTAACTCAAGAGCTGGGGATGTCATGGATGAAACGTTGCATGTAGCCGCTCAACGTCTATACAGGAGAGGGTGCTGCGGTCAAATGCGTATATAATCGCGTTAAACTTTGCACGCATTGGCTCAACGTTTATAGACGAGAGGGTGCTGCGGTCAAATGTTCAAATGCGTACATAACCACGTTCCATACCACACATTCTCTTTCTGACATAAATGAAAACGAACGAAAGGCTTGGCATGCTGCTGCTCAGCGTCTACGCAGACAAGCACCACCAGAGCTTCGCCCCAATCAACATCATTCACCACGTGGAGATGCGGTCAATTTTTTTTTTTACTCTCCATTTTTAATGAATTGTTGCTTATATCAATTTGTTTTAAAGTCCCGTTTGCTTCGTTACAAGGAATTACTGTACCTCTACTTCACAAGGCTCCTTTTGTAGATTACAATGATCACCTCTCTGTGCTGTCTGTGGAAAGCTAGACGCAGATGTTTTAATCACCGAGAAGCTGACCCACATTTGAGCAAATGCAATACTCTTTTTACATTTCAGGTTGTTTTCAATTCTGTGGTCATGTGTATACTTATGTGCAGAGAAATTTATATGCATTTATTTCTCTGTAAAACTGTGCAGACAAAGTCTTTGCCCCAATAATGTGTCCCATGATGACAAACGAGGCTACCATCGCAAATAAATCAGCAAAAACAGAACTAAGAGTGGCCAACTCACGTTGCCTTCTCTTCTTCCAGGTCGAGTGTGTCGTCGTATGCTTCTTTGTTTGCTCCAGCAACCGACACCTAATGAGAGGGGGAAGATTTTCAAGGCAAGGACTGCAAAGGTAGAGTGCAGAAGCTTGCTAGACGGTAGTGAACTACCGTAGAATACCGTGCATCTGCCCATACCACATTAAGCGCCCATTCCCAATTTTTTAAAATCTGAGAAAATAGGCACAGTACATTGATATGTAGAATTGATGACCGGACAAGCGCCCATCCCCCATTTTTTCATGATTATCTCAAAATCTTGAGTGGGCGCTTGCCCGGTATTTTACGGTATGCTTCCTTCCACAAGTTTAGCATCCTAGTCAACAAAATACACCACCGCACTTTAGAATGAGGAATACGCATACTTTTGCGTTAACAGCCCAAGCAAAAAACTAACAAGCAAGTGAACGTGCATTGTGGCTATCAATCCAAAACAAAATGAAACAATATGAGATTATGTTAAAAATGTCATGTTGCACATGTTTCTGTCCTAAACAGGCTAAGAGATCTGGTTCTGTCTTAAACAATATCATATATGCTAACATACAAATATCATAAATTTTTGTTTTTTTATAAACCTTCTAAAATTGGTATTAACTACAGTCGAACCTGGTTATAACGAACTTGCGTCGGGAGCAGAAATATGTTTGCTATATGCGATATTCGTAATAAAAGTACACACAAAAATTGACGCGAACATTCCCGCAATTGAACCCGTGCAAGAACGTGCCACAGCACTAAAATATAGAAACGCACAATCGTTGACCACGAGATCCTTACCTGTCACTAAGCAGCATTAAAAAATGGATCGGAGCATGAGGATATCAATTTGCAACACGAGAAACAATGTTAGCTGGATCTATTATTCCCTTTATTTGAAGACGTGATTTTGGGCTGGTGCCTCTTCACCTGGAGCCACCGCGCTGGAGCCAACCGCTGCTCGCGCTGAAATCATCATGCTCTAACAGACACGCCAGACTGGTCGCTTTCGTTTGAAGAAGCTGGCCAGACACCGACAAATTTCGGTCCGTTAAGTCCTTTAACCACGAGAACAGAGCCTCTTCCACGTCCAGGTCGGGGCAAAGCCTAAGGCCCGCTTCAGACGGGGCAACTTCCTCAGCAATTTCAGGGTTGCTGGGGGTTATTCCCTAGCTTTCCCTAGATCGACATGAATTGCTGAGATCAGGTCCGGCTCGAAACGGACGAGCAACTCGGACAACTCGGAGACATTTAAAGTGGCAGCAGCCAATCAGGGATGTGATATTTTCACGTGACACCCCTGTGGTGGTGACGATGACAACTAAAGACTTGGTTCTGGTTTGAAATGGATCGTTTTTGGAAATACACTGTTTTAGAAAGATGAGCTAGTATTCTCAACGCAATTTAAAGATATAAAAACATGTTTTTAGCATGTAACTCTGCGTCCAAATAGTTCAAGAAAAATAAGATTTCATGATGATGATGGCAAGCCGTAGCAATTTGGTTGCTGCGTGTGAATGCGGGCGGCCCGTGTTGCTACGTCAAGTTGCTGGGTGAAATTGCCCCGTTTGAAGCGAGCCTAAGACTCTTTCGGTCAGTCTTTACGATGTTGTTTGCATAGCAGACTTCGATCCTCTTCCTTGCACTCAGGATGGTAGATATCGTGCTTGATGCAAGCTTGAAATTCGCAGTGATGTCTTTTTTCTTTCGACCGCTGTCCACCGCCTTCAAAACCTTCCCTTTTGTATCCAAAGAGCAGAGGTCGGCATTTTAGGTCGCCCTCACTCACCCTCACACTCACAGCCATACTCATCTAAGCCCCTCACTCACCCTCACCCTCACAGCTACACTCACCTTCAGCCCCGCAGTCACCCTCATCCTCACAGTCACACTTACCTTCAGCCCTTCACTCACCCTCACGGAACCGCACGCCCCTCACTCACTCATGGCCCTCACGCCCCTCACGCACTCATCGCCCTCACGCACAATACCCCTCACACCCCTCACGCACTCATGGCCCTCACGCCCCTCACCGCCCTCATGGCCCTAACGCACTCATAGCCCTCACATCCCTCACGCACTCATGGCCCTCACGCCCATAACCACCCTCACGCACTCATACCCCTCACGCCACTCACCGCCCCTCACTCACTCATGACCCTCACCGCCCTCGCGGCCCTCACGCACTCATAGCCCTGACACCCCTCACGCACTCACCGCCCCTCACGCACTCACCGCCCTCATGGCCCTCACGCACTCATACCCCTCATGCCCCTCATGCCCCTCACGCGCTCATGGCCCTCACGCCACTCAGGCCCACTTCAGATGGGGCAATTGCGCCCAGAAACTTGACGTCGCAACACCAGCAACACGGGCTGCCCACATTCACACGCAGCAACCAATTGCTGCAATTTGCCATCATCATAAAATTTTATTTTTCTCGCACTATTTAGACACACAATTACACACTATAAACATGTTTTTATGCATTTAAATCTTGTTGAGAATACTAATGCATTATTCTGAAACAGATTATTTCCAAAAACGATAAATTTCAAACCAGAACCATGTCCTCTGTTGTCAACATCACCGGCACGAGGTATCACGTGAAAATACTGCGTCCCTGATTGGATGCAGCCGCTTCAAACGTCTTTAAATTGCTCTGAGTTGCTCGCTTGTTTCGAGCCGGACCCGATCTCAGAAATTCGTGTCGATCTAGGGCACGGTGATCTAGGGAACAACTCACCAGCAACTCCAAAATTGCTGAGAAAGTTGCTCCGTATGAAGGGGGCCTCACGCACTCATGGCCCTCACGCCACTCACATGCTCACTGCCCTCACGGCTCTCACATCCCTCACGCCCCTCACGCACTTACCGCCCTCACGTCCCTCATACCCCTCACGCACTCATGGCCCTCATGCCAATCACCGCCCTCACGCCACTCACAGCCCTCACGGTCCTCACTCACACTCACATTCATGAATTTTCTTGATTCAGAAACTCACTCACCCTCACCTCACCTGTGAAGATGAGGGTGAGTAAGGGTGAGTGAGGGCCCTCATGAGTGAGGTTTGCCGAGGTATGCCAGAGAGACAGCTTTTTGCTTCGTCGCCATTTGCAGCTCCACTACATGTGGCATGGTTGGCTTTAATCTGCACTGGTTCTTGATGCCTAGCATTGAGGCCAGCAGTGGCACAGCTGCCGTAATTCGCTTGGTTCATAGGTGGCGCTACCTCCCAAATGTGCATTTTTGCATATCGGGCGATCTAAACTTTCGGGATTTTTCGTTTAGAAATTACTTCTTGTATTTTTTCAACTTTTTAATAACATTCATAGTATTTTGTGACGCAAGAAAAGCAGGAACTGCTTCGGTATAACCGATAGCGCGTCAGATTTCGCGGTTTCAGTTTCATTATATAACTAGAACTCCCATCCAAATAAAGCATGACCAACCAAACTTCGTGATTAGTTCGCTATATCGAATAATTCGCTATATGTATCAGTGTTCGTTATAAAGAGGTTCAACTAAAGTAGGTATTCGATAGCAATTAAGAAACAGCATGCACTAAAAAAAACTGCACCATGTTTTTGGCATTCTTAAAATACTTGCAAGCTGACTTTGGCTGGACATTTCCAGCCATAGTACTTACGCTGACGGATTCCGTGTCGTCTGCTATCGTGGCGTTGTCTGCGTCGGAGTCTCCTTCCTCGCTCATGGCCTCAAAGCCCTCTCCCTCCTCCCCGCTGTCCTCCGATTCCTCGTTATCGGAATTCCCTTCGTCGTCGTCGAGGATCCAACAGGCCTGGTATTCAGAAGTGCCCTTGGGAACTTTCTTCACCACCTTCTTCTTGGGAGTACCCTGGGGACCTGAGAGCAACGTAGACGAGTGTTGCGTAAATTCCCTCTACAGTATAGACCACTTACAACGTAACCGCTTATAGTGCAGGACCGGGTATAACGCGGTTTTTCTAAACCACCGGTTCGCCTCCCATAGAACTCCATGTAATTACATACCGCTTAAAATGCAGGCGCGCGAAGGGAAATACCGGTTATAGTGCGGTTTGTGGAACAGCCCGCCGATTGCGGCGACGACCGGAGCAGCGAGCACGCTTCCCTGTGTGACACTACATAATGGCGCTGATAGCGCTAGCTGCAAGCGGCACTCGTGGGGCAAGGAGGTTGCTCGAAGAAGCGGGGAGAAGCGAAGAGAGAACGGAGGGACGCACGCACGTGTCGTTCACGTGCGTGCGTCCCTCCGCTGCGTTGGAAAACAACCGCAACGACAGACCAATCGCAGGTCGAGGAGAAGTGTTCGCGCGCGCTGCATGCCGGTCGCGGGCCGGCTTCAGCTTCTATCCGCAAACATGACGTCGGTTGTGATCGTCGTTGTAGACGGCATGGTTGAAGCTCATCGTTCCGCGTAAAAGCGCTATCCTTGACTGTGAATTTTCGTTGTGTGTAGCTATGATAACCCAGCACATACTAGAAGGGAAGATCCACCTACTCATGCGGCGATGTCGTGGCGGCGCTCTCAAGACGGCAGAAACGCCAGTGTCGTCGTGTTTGTTTGCTTCGACTACAGTGGTGATTTTTAAGCATTTGTGTCCTCGAACATCGCCCGGATTTCTTATTTGGCGCATTTCATGCGTGTGCTCAAGTTGAAGGTATTACTGGCGCGTACCGTATGAAGGATGCGAATTTTCAAGCGTTTTCATCACTGGAGAAAAGTGATTAGGGTTAGCAATCCTGAACGCTCGCTACGTCCGTCCGCAACCCGCGACGCCGTTAAAAGGCTGCGCCACGCAAAAGCCGCTCATTTCTTTCAAAATGTGTGACACGCTTGAGAGAGAAGTGTACTAGTCTGGTGAAATAAAGACTTTCCTCAAACTAAGCTTTATTTTTCATCTAACATAAAATAAATTCTTTTACAAAGGTAAGTTGTCTCATGGCTTGTATTTTGGCCTGAAAACTTAATGTTTTGGTTATAGCGCGGTACCGTTTTGCGGATTTTCGCGACTCCCACGACATACGTTATATGCGGTCTACACTGTACTATACTCCGTTGCATGTTAAGAGAAACAGGACAAGCTCCCCTCACCATACCCTTCCCTCTTTCCACTTAAGCAGCAAATGCCGAGGAGGTGAGTGAACTCGCCTCGGCTCCTCTCCGGCATTCACTCTTTGTTAAAGTGGAAAGAAGGAAGGGCTTCGTGAGAGGAGCTTCTCTTGCTTTTCTTAATGTGCAACAGAACGTAAACAAGAGATGGTCCAGCCTTAGGCGCAGAGTCATAACCGTTCCAATGAAAATCGGGCTCGACTCCACAAGGCCATACAAGAGTTCCAACTCTGATGAAAATACAGTTTTTTTTAGTTGCAGGGTGCATCAACGTAGACGCGGTTCAATCATGTTCTGCTCATCCAACACTCACAACACCAACCTCCGCTAAACTTGTAGGCTAAAAAAAATTTCAGCTTCTTTTTGGTTTTATGCTAGCTGAAAATACAAACAAATGCCATGGCACGTAACCAAAATAGGAACATGAAAACACCAAGCTCAACAACAAGAACGACAAACGCAGACAAACAGCCGTACCTTCGGCTTGTGCCAATTCCTCGGCGGTAGGCCAGGTTTGCTCGGCGTCCATGGAGTCCGGAATGTTCTCGGACTGCAGGGACTCTTGCTTGAGGGGGTCCGCTTTTTCCAGCACCTTAGGCGACTGCTCTGCCATTTCCACAGAATTCTGTAATGTGTAACAGAGTCACGGTTCCTCAACGACATATTTCGTACGACGAAGCATAATCGACAGCGTGCATGGTTCAGACTCCAGCTAATCCACCAATGTCTCTATTATGACTTGCCAAAACTTATTTTTGCTTTATATTGGAACAGGGGTGACCAGACAGACATATTCAAAGAACCTTAAAGGGCAACTCCGGCCAAAACTCAAAATGAAATAAATTACTGGTATTGCTGTAGTGACACAAAATACGACCACAGCCAAAATATTACGTCCGTGGGACGCCGCATTCTCAACTAATGCCGATAATAAAAATGCGACCCGCCGCGAGCCGCTGCTCCTTAGCGGCCGGCCAGCGCGTTGCCGATCACTAAAGCATCATTGGGCCGTGGTGTCAATATCGTTCTCTTTTCTTCCTCCGGTCCGGGCGTTGCGTGGAGTGCGCTTCTTTGAGCCGCTACCACCGCTTCTTCGGCTTGTGATTGGCGTGTTCGGTATAGCCTTTTGTTTATTTGCTTGTGAGGACAACAAGACTCTTAGCGAGCAACTCAGTACGCCTAAGACTGCCCAGCTGTTCCTCGAAAGATTACGAGTACAACTCAAAGTGCTGTGGGTAGCTCAAACAACCCGCTGCGCAACACGGAGGTGCTTTTTTACAAGTTTCCAACGGACCAGAAATTGGAGAAGGTGTGGGTGAATGCTGTTTGACGAGTGGACTTTGGACTTCGGCTTTTACATGCCCTAGGCAAAAAACAAAAAAAACAACAGACATGTACAGCCCAGCACACGTGTGTTCGGGCGCCGCGGCCCATGCCGGAGAGCCTCAAAGCTTTGTGTTTGGAACTGACCCGCAGCGCGAAAGCGAGAGGGCCCCCAGTACTGTACGTCACTGGCAGCACAGCGTAGAGCAACGCCGCTTTATCCACGGAGCCGCGATGACAATTTAGGCCTACCGACCAGTACGGAAGACCGCACACACAGCGACAACCACCGAGAACGGCACCGAACGAGTTCGCTCGTTTTTCAGTCGCTACCTTTGGGTATACAAGTGATGAGTACGGCACAGCGCACGCACGGCGGCGTCCGCCGAATACGGCACCGTACGAGTTCACGGGTTTTACAGTCGCTAGTTTCTGGGTATACAAGAGCACTAACTCTTGCTACATATGCTGGATAACTACGAAGTATACAGAATTAAAACAAAATCAGCTTACCTCCTATCTTTAGACGGCTAGCGCAACAGAGGTAGGTGCCGCTCGGCCTGCGTACTTGTTGAATGAGAACGATCCTGACGTCACGTTCACATAGCGGCTGATTTCCAGTGTTGCCGGGGCCTCGAGCGGCTAGTTTCGGTTTTGTTGGCCGCGCCCCAAACAAAACTTTGAGGCGTCGATATCTTTAAAACTACGCACAATAACAAAAAGAAAATTACACCTTGCAATTCAGGGTCGCTGACTGCACTAAAAACGGTCGTAATCCCAAAATCAAAAGTATGGACCGGAGTTGCCTTTTAAAAAGGAAGAGCAACTTTAAAAAAAATACAGCACAACCCTTTTTTTTTAACTTTTTGTCTTCTCAGTTGATGGCTATGGTGAATTCCACCCATAAAGCGATTGCTCAGTATGTTGCTTTAGTGTGAGTCCCCTTTTGTAAAACAAGGACCTTGTCCAATGTGCATATGACGGCACAAAGCCGACAAAATTCAAGCTGCCTTTTTAACACAGAATGTGTTATATGGCTGGCACCTAACCATATCCAGTATTCAACCTGAAACAAAGGTTAATAAGTCAATAAGCCTTCACTTCACTGATTGGACACTAGTGCCAGCCGACCGCCTTGCTCGAGTGCATCAGTGTTACTCCCAGCGGCGGGAAAAACATCACATGTTCAGACATACACCGGCATTCTGCTCACTGAAGGGAGTGCATTCCGAGCGTCCACAGCGAAAGAGCGCAAAAAAAAAAGCGACAGAAAAGCGGAAAAAGGAAAGGCAGACACTACGTCAAATGCATTCAGTTTTCCGCAACGGGTTGAGGTAGTTCGAGAATTTGGTTGTCTCTTGTCGTGAGCTATTGCCAAGGTTTTGCTCGGAGCTGCTGTGTTCCCATTGCCCCGTTTCCTGCAGGCTCCAACTACCGTGCCTCGCACTCTAACAGGCTCCGAGAAAGTAGCGCTTACAATGACGCCGCAGAAGATGGCACCCTCAGGTAAGACATTCACGAAGCATTCCCGCACTTACCGTGCATGACTCGGGGCTGCTTTGCGCCATCCAGTCTCCACAAGTGTACCCAATTTCTCCACACTAACACATCACATTTTGTGTTATCGTTGCCTTTGTCACGCTAGTACGGGAAAAGGGCGACTTTTTTCCACATGTCATTCCTCTTGATCTTGTATTTGGGAGGGGGGAGTTTTAACAGGTAGCCACGAGCGGCACTTGGGCCCCCGAAGAGCTGCATGAGGGTCGCGAGCTGCGGTTTGGCCACCCCATACTACAGCCTGCCACATTATGGTTTCGCTGTACAGGCGCATAACTTGCACACCCAAACTAAAGTATCACTGCGAAGCAACTTACAGAACTATCCCGGGTCTTCAGCACTAGGGGATGTGGGTCGTCGGGCGCGTCAATCTGCACCATCTGGAAATCCCCGTGGCCGGGAATGTGGACTAGAGAGTTGACGCTGAGCTGCTGTCCCCTCAGGTAGCCAGACACCTTCAGAGTCCCCAGCAGATTCTGGAAGAACGGGAGATTCAACAAAAGGGGTTGAGGCGGAATGTAAACGAGAGTTCGGTCGAGAGACAAGCCCAGGAAGGATTTCTCTGTACCTGATCATCTCTGTGGCAGAACTCTAAGCTTTCGGCCAGCAGGTGTGGACGAGCATCTCTGTAAGAAACTGGGCGCCTCTTCTGATTTGCAATCTGCCTCAGCAGCAGGATGGCATCTTCCTTTTTGTCGACAGAGTGTATCTTATCTCCCGGAAATCTGACAAGAAAAAAGTAGTCAAAACATGAACAAACGTCCTATTTTTATGACCCTCCTATTTTACTCGCAGCTCCTGCCAGTGTCCCTTGTGGTACATGAAAACAATGTTGCAAAGATTTGCACCTCTAAGCTCCATAGGCCACGTGAAGACATCACAGTCCTCTAAAATCCCTTGGCTCACCCAAGTAGTTTAGTCTATTCCTCTCATCATATGTTCTATCTCTCTTGATTTGCACATGCTTATTATCTGTCTCGTGAATACCAAAGTCCACGCATTAATGAAGACTCTTTCCACACATGCCAAATGATTTCAATGAATACACCACCAAAACGCATGCACCACACCACCCTTCAGCATTGTTTTCGAGGCATGCTGGGATCATGCCAGCAAAATGCTTTGCCAAGTCATGTCTCACCTAGATTCCAGAATTTTTGTTATTTGCTTCTTGGCCTCTGACCGCTGCTTCACTGCAATGGCCTCAAGACCCTGTGTCGAGAAGAAAAACCTGATCTGAAAACTTGGAGGACGAGCCTCCTGGAAGTCTGAGAATGGTGGCTGCCACAGCTTCTTTCCACCACCTTCAACTACCTTTGTGCTTTTGTCTAGCTTAATAACGCGTGCCTGCCCAACTGCAAGTTAAAATACTACACGACAAGAAAAAGAGGTGAATGTAAAAACGTGATTTGCTACAGTAAAATATGTCTTAATCCAATATACCATTTCAAAAAGGCTCGAGGTACACCTAAACACTTCTTATGAGTTGTGAATGCAAAAGCATGAATGTCGCTCTTTGCACCACGACCGCTTCTGATTCTCTCAGCACCAAGGCTGCTTCTGATCTTCTCGGTGCTGCAGCCGCATGCGATCCTCTCGGTGCCTCGGCCGTTTCTGCTCTGGCGCGGGCACGCAGTGCCATGGCGTGGCGCTAATTGAAACTGACGCGCGTCGGCTTCATATCATTGCTGTTTTGCGTGGCTTTTTACGTGGTTTCAAGGCTGGGATACCTCAGATTACGGCTTCAGTAATTTATCTGCCGTTTGGCACAGCTGATGACATCGGCTCGCTCCATGGGACCAGTTAATGCTTTTACATTAAAGCCTATTAAGGACCACAATATGAGGTGAGCAGTTGATTGGGGGCTTCATATCTAGCTTCGCTCTATCTCACCTAATTAAATTAATTTCTGTTCTTGCACCTGCAACATGTCATGCCCTGCAGCTGCGCTGCCAGGCAAGCCTGATGCAGATTATGAAATGATGCCTGATATAATTGGCCACTAAGCTCTTTCATTCTTGGCCTTTTCGTTAGGGCTAATTTTACTACAGTTCTGCTTTTATACCACTTGAAGCCGCATTTACGAGAATGTCAAAGAAATACTGCAATGTCAGTGCGCTCAGTAGTCATGATGTGGTTGCTGCAAGAGCACTGTATACTGTGGATAATGACTTAAATTGTGCAAATAAAAAACTAATTTAAAAAACTTTATTTCTTCAATATGTCACAACTCGTGGGAATCACAATCTACCTCAATTGCAAAATTCAGTTCTCATGTTTTAAAATGTGGCACCTTTGCAAAACATTATGTCTATGAGTGTACCACTGTTTAGAGTCGACTAATATGCTGTTTAGAGTAGCTGACTAACATCTGTCTTGTGTCTAGCTCCACACCTCATCATCCTGAGCTTCAGGTTCCAAAATATGTTGAAGTACCTTATTCTTCATTTGCCAGAATAATATTCCCCATTGTAGTTTCACAAGGGCCGTAATAAAGTCTATGTGATGAAACATATACTGAAAGACAATGGTATTCAGGACTAAATATACTGGTCAATCAAAGCTTTTTAAAGGGAGAAGACTAAAACATACACAAGTCCCTATTTTCAGTAAAAACTTGAGGCAAGAGAAACAATGGGGTTATTGTGTGCAACACTGCTGACCGATTGAGAGATAGTCTTGTTACTGGAAACTTTGTAAAATGGTATTTGGCACTGTTCTTAGATTCTAGCGTTTAACTCCCAAGATGTGTTGTCGAGATCATTTTTGTAGTAGATATTTTGACACATGAGAAAAAATGTATAATGTTCCCAAAGGAGCCTACCTGAATCACATGAATAGGTGATGGCAAACCCTGGGCAAACAACACCGACAAAATGGTGTCACCAACATCGTCAAAGCCGCTGTCCAGTGAGTACAGTAACACCACTGTGTCAGCGACCTAGAAGAGGAAAGCCAAAGCACTCTATGACAAAAAAATAAGTGCTTAGATGACGAAGCAAGACAAATATTTCACTTTTTTCTCGCAGATCCTGTTCACTCAATAGTCGGCTTAAAGAGTTACCACGAATGAAGGAGTGGCATTCACCTTTGTGGCATCGAGGATTGAGTAGATGTCTCCCTGTTGAGGTAGCACAAAGGAATACCGCTTCTTGAATCGAGGCAAGCTGAGAATGAGTAGAAATATGAAATAAGTAATTGTTGAAGTCAAAGTAGGCTGTTAACTCCCCAAATGCAAAGAAAAAGTTTTTTTTGGTACATTATCAGCATACAGTATAAAAGTGCAACACCATCATATTTATTAAAGCAAGTGTACCATGGAGATTGCTAAAAAAATCTGGCTTTAATTTTTTTTATTTATTTTAAATTTTACTTAGTGAGACAAAGCTAGTTTTGCAACATAATTTGAAATTTCATAAAGCTGTCCTAAAGAGAGGAAGAAAGATGGTGATTTAACTAGAAAGATAAGACGATAAGCACAGACAGGTGACAATACATCCAATAACCAGCTAGAGTTATCATGGCAAGGCTGTGGTACCGTAGTATAAAAGGGCTTCAGAAGTTGCTGCAGAGACCCAGCATACGCTTTAGAAGTACCTGGTACTTACAAGGGTATTCTTAAAATCGTTACAATGCATGTATCAAGATCTTGGAGGGATCTGGATATTTCTTTTACCCACTGCAATTGGCATTTAAATGACTGGACCCTTCTAACCACACCAATTAAAAAAAAAATGAACTGTTAATATTTTTGTTTATGAATTTCCCAGTTCCTGTACTTGAACAGAACAAATAATGAGACTGTAAACATGCTGGTGTAGACAACACATCATAGGAACATCGCAGACAACAGTAGTGATGAAACCAGCCTTTGACCTTTTGTGGCAGGTTCTGTAGCAGGCAAAATATTGGTTTGGAGTAGCCACTGATGTTTTTGGAGCTGATGCCAACATCTGTTAGCACATCACTTGATGAAAAAGTGATTGCACTGCCAAATGAGTTTGATAATGATTAAGAGTTCCTCTTTGATACTAGAGAATATTACTTATTACCTTGTGTAATAAGAATAGAAAAGGCACGAAAGGAACACAGTGCCATCTTTCTAAAAATAAGGCTCTGGTCAGAGTAAGGTCGATTTACAATCGGTACTAAAAATATTTGAAAAATGAATCGAAGCACACCACATCAGTTGGAATAAAGCCTCTCTCCTCTCTGCTTTGTACACCCAGTATTTTATTTAGCCTGTCAATATAATTTCTGTAAAATGCCAGCAAAAGCCAGCATATCTGCTAGCATGCCTATGAATAAAAATGTGTCCCCTTAAAGGGCCTGTGAAAAGAAAAAGAATGTTTTTTTTTAAACAGTCTGCTTGGGACACACATGTTAAAAAAAAAATTTTATGTGAAAAAAAAACAACAACATTCAGAGCAATATTGACGGCGAGAGTTTTTTTTTTAAATTCTGCATGCAAAGTCTATGACGTCAGAGAATGGTCTTTCGCTGAACGAGATGGTCATTCGGACATTCACTCTTTCCACCTCAATGTGAAGGTGAAGCCGATCCACCTCTCCTCCACAAGCCCGAAATGTCAGGAGAAGGAACAAGTGGAAAGGAGGTGACTACCAACTAAATCGCGTCTCGCGCCGTCAATATTGCTCTAAAACTTTTTTTTTTTTTTCAGGAGCCTTTTAAGTTTTAAGAACCTACGAAATTCAAGACCCTAATATTATAAACTTAGAAAACAATCATCCACAAATATTATGAAAACCTACAGTTGAGCTTTAAAAGTGACATTGCACTTCAGTGGTGTTGGATACAGAATGAAGGCAAAGTTTGCTGCTTTCTCAATTAACAGCTGCACAGCAACTACCTCGACTACCGTATTCATTCAAATATAGATGCACAACTTTTTCAATTTTTCTCGGCAAGGTTTATAAAAATTAGGGATCAACCTACAGGGTGAAACAAGGAGACGGCAGGCTCTTTAAATCGACCGCAAAATTCGGTTTCTTAACCTATCACGCTACGACTTTGTGCAGCGTTGCCCACAGATGTTGCATTTTTTTTGTAAAATTTGCAAAGAGCGAATTAACCTGAGGAAAAAGTAAAGAAAGAAAAAGGCTTAGCTCCTATGGAAACGCAGCGACGCCACCGGTCTTCAAACAACACGGCGTCGTTTCGCACGGGAGACAAGAGATGGCGCAAGCGGTCGCGGCGCCAACTGCCGCCAACGAACGAGCAGACGACGCCGAGAGTCGGCTCTTCAGCAGACAAGGTGTTACCGTGCCTGTCACTGCGACTGTCGCCGCCTGCGGAACGCGTGCCGCTTTTGAGTAAAAAAAATTGTCTGCTAAAAACGCTGGCTCTCGGCACCGTATGCTCGTTCGTTGGCGGCGTTCGTTGCGCCATCTCTTGTGTCCCGTGCGAAACGGCGCCGTGTTGTTTGAAGACCGGTGGCGTCGTCACGTTTCCATAGGAGCTAAGCCTTTTTCTTTCTTTACTTTTTCCTCAGGTAAGTTCGCTCTTTGCAAATTTTACAAAAAAAAATGCACCATCTGTGGGCAACGCTGCACAAAGTCAAAGCGTGATAGGTTAAGAAACCGAATTTTGCGGTCAATTTAAAGAGCCTGCCGTCTCCTTGTTTCACCCTGTACAATCAAGACCACAGAGGGCAGACCTGTAAAAGTACTGAGCGTAATTTACGAGCCTAACGCGCCAACCCAGGTAATCACGCATGCCAGCCGCTGCTTTCAGCACTCCGGTGCCAAGCGGTAAAGCTCAAGGCGCACGCGCTGGGGGAGAGGCATCACGGAGGCATGTGGCAGACATGATAATCAAGTGATCTCACCAGGAGTACAAAACCCAGGTTCTGTCATATCACAGTAGCCACCATCCTACCTTTTGGAACATTTTCTCGTGACTTTCAGCTACTGACATCGTCTGGAATTCGAGACGATGTCGGCAATCAACTTGCCAGCACATTAACTGGCCAAGCGGCTGACCAGCAATTTCTATACTTCGTTTCCCCTTAATTCAAAGCGCAGCCGACACTATGAGCCAATGCGACCAACCAAACAGCGTCAAAGCACGACATTGTGGCATTCGTCCATCTTTCTGTACGTGTTTTTCCATCGGCTAAACCAAATCAAGTGCAGCAAGTGCCCCTTGACTTGAGGTTTTAAAAGGGCACTGACACCCCAAAGGTTGTATTTTTTTTTATTGTCTAAAATGATGCAGGTTGTAGTCATAGAGATGCAAAAAGAACTGCACCGCAAAAAAAACTTCCCCGCGCGCGCGCGTTTTTTTTATTTTTGGCGTTTTTCTCTCCCGCTTTTTACCTCCTTGCTTCTTTTGATCGGTGACACCAAAAATCACGAAATTTAGAAGCATTGTAGGCGACATTGCTAAAACATTTAAAAACGGCAATCGTAAAACATGTTTTTTAACGCAACTGCGAACGCACTATGGCCCTTCTTTTTGAAATACCAAAAAAGTCCGGTGTGATGTCGCCTCCTGGATTTGTATCCTCCCTCAGAAAACTTGGCAGCGCTTGACGCACATAGCAGAGGATGATCGGCGAGTTGGGGAATCTGACAAAGAAACCGGTTTTTCCCGGTCTGCCGGCGCCCCTCTCTCCCGCTCCTCATCTCCTCGCTTCGGGTCACAGTGGTTCGGAGGCGCGAAAGAAAGTCGACTTGCAGGATTCCGCAATATTTGACATCACCGCACTAGCGCGATTGCGCGGGAACTTCAAATTAGGCATTTGGAAATCTTTTTTTTTTTTTACTTCACGAATACTGAATTTTCAAGTTTCGAAATTTGAGGGTAATGTCCCGGCATCGTTTTCAATCGTTTCGGATAATAAAAAAAAAAAAAAAAAGATTTTGATGTGTCAGTGCCCCTTTAATATACCGTAGAATACCGCACATTTGTCCATTCCACATTAAGCGCCCATTACCAAATTTGTGAGATCTGAGAAAACACGCACAGTGCATTTATACGTAAAATTGACGACCGGACAAGCGCCCATCCCCCATTTTTTTTGTGATTATCTCCGAAGTTTGAGTGGGCGCTTGCCCGGTATTTTACGGTATGTGTTTGTGCTTGTATGTGTTCGAGCCTTGGACTGTGCTCTGGCCTAAGATGAAAAACTATACGGTGCATAGAGACACTGTGAAATATTATTTGTACCGTTTCTCATCCCTCCTAATTCTCTGCAAATTAGGGCCAACCAATAATAAAGTATATATATATTCTTTTTTGCTTTTCAGTCCATTTTGTCCCTGGTGTGGCATAATTATTAGTAAAAATGGCACTTTGGCGCAAGACGTAGACAACTTTTGTTCTTGGCGCAATTTGGTGCTAATAACACAGCACTTCCATCACTGCAATAGAGAAATAACATTTCTGTGCCTTTTTTTTTATTTGTCATTGTCTTTTTACTGTCATCTGCAGGTATATTCACATCTTTAGCCTCATATTATTTGAAATGTTATCTGAGCTTAGAAACAAGAACAGAAGTTTTACCTGATGTGGCAATAGCCTTGACTGCTGTGAGTGACAATGGCACTGTCGTCACAGCCCTTCAGAACCTCGAGAAACTTGAGGGGGTCCTCTGTGGCACTCACAGAAACAACCGCCTGGAAGTGATTAGAGTGAGAAATGGTGCTTTTAATGCACTATCGGTACCTAATAAAATGTGAATGGCGGAGCGCGTGGATTTTTGTACATGCTGCACTGCCTAGGGGGTCACCGGGAACACATATAAATGTGCAGTAGAAATCGGGGCTCCTACTGCACATTTTTACGAGTTCCCAGAGGCGCTCCAAATAGCGCAGCGTACGACAAAAGCCACGCGCCCTGCCGTTCCTGTTTTGTTAGGGCCTGATAGTACACCGAGTATACTGACGTCATCCGAGCAGGAACCAGTTATTAGCTGAAAGGTTTATCTAGTCCGTCATGACATAATTGAAGATGGCAACGAGGGTTCTTACTGTGAGAAACGGAGGTGCTCCAAACCCTCCGAGGGATCGCTTCCTTTCGGTGGCTTCCTCTCGCTTCAATTTCCTCAATTGTTGTAACTAGAAAGAAAAAAGAAAAAAAAAAAGAAAAAGGTTTTGGGAAAGCAAGTAGGGGGATTGTCTAGATTGAAGCTGATCACCGGCAATAACACAACATAAAAAGAACACTCACAGCATCCATAGGTATGTGCCGATTTTGTTCTCGCCAAACTATGGCCAAAGTAAACGAAAGAAGGAACATGCTAGGCAATGTACTTTTATGTCCTGTAGCAGATCATTGCAAATAGGTACCGATAAGGTAGTTGATCTTTTGTTTACAAACAGGTGGGTACACAATTCACCTACTAGTCGTTCGGTACTCACTGTAAAGGTGTCACAAACTACTTCAAGAATTACAACACTTTTACGGTAACGGTGCCAACATATATAAAACAAAAAAGAAGACGACTGCAGCAATACTTTATCAACAAACCTCTATGACACAACCGGGATGCGTCCATCTCGGCCCTTCGCACGGGACTCACCTGATTTCGTCGTTCCATCTTCTTTAACAGGTGCTGCTTTTTTGTGGTGAAGGCCTTAATGTTAACCTTCCCTGCAAAGTAGGAGTGCGAAAAGTAAGGTTAAACATAGGTGTTCGCCTATCGGTAGTTATCGAGCACGGGTAGCGGACATTTCATCGAAAGCCGTTTTATCGAATCGCTAAGGGCCGTTTCATCGAATTTCTTTGTATCGAGTTTTGGGGCATAAAGGTACTTTATAGATGTTTTACCTTACATTTGTTAAGACTAAGGTAGTCACTTGTGAAACTGTCTTTAGGGTGAAGCCAAATTACTAGAAATAAAAACCATTGGTATAAACACAAATGGGTATGCGACTTACTGAAAAGTTTTACTCATGTACCTGAGAGAAAACATGACACTGGAGGTAAAGGACCGACACTTAAAACACTTTTGAATGTCTTTGTCGTTTTTTTTTTACCGGCTGTCCGGGGGTTTCGGTAATGTGCCATTCACACCAGCTCATTTGCACACTTACGCTTAGTTGAAGGTTTATTCACGAAAAGCATTTAACTGCCAGGGCAGCACGCTTATAATAAAACGATACTCTGCCAGGAGAGCACACAAAATGAAATATAATGATACTCTGATTATCAGCTTTATGCTCAGATTGAACGTTTCTGCTTTTTTTTTTTTTTAGTTTTTAAACTCTACAGAGTCAAAAGCTGCACAAAGTGTCAGCCAACATGGTTTCGGGCTACACCTGGACTGGAACCACCTCCCCTTAACTGTCAACTTTATTACCGACCCTTTTGCCTATGAATCATCTTCAGGACGCTTTCTTAGGAAGGCCGACCCGCACCAGACAATAGTAAAGCCCTGGGTGTACTCTGTCACCCAAGAAGACAAAACCCTTTCGGATCCTCACATAACCCAAGGTTACAGGTACACGCTGTCAAACAATAAAACACTACCCGCTTCCCAGGAAGCACATCGTGCTTTCTGTTGCTTTCTTTTTTTTTGGTCTTATTTTTAATTGTTTCATGCGACATGGAGAGGGGTCATTGTTTCATGGAGGCTTCTCGAAGCAGGACATGTTCACAATGGAACTTATCTCGTCACTGCATACTGTGATTTAAAAAAAGGGAGAATTAGATGACGTTATGTATAAAAATCAAAATAAAGTGCAAAAATATAGCAGGCTGTAACAGCGTTCGATGAAAAGGCGTTCGATGAGACGGCTTCGATGAAACGGCGTTCGATGAAACGGCGTTCGATGAAACGGTGTTCGATGAAACGGCTTCGATGAAACGGCGTTCGATGAAACGGTGTTCGATGAAACGGTGTTCGATGAAACGGCTTCGATGAAACGGCGTTCGACGAAATGTCCGGACCCAATCGAGCACATGGTCCTACGCAGTTAGCCACGAAACACGTAGAATACAAGCGGAACAATCAGATTAGACGGCATTCGCAGACTCACCCTTATTTACCGACTCGAGCGACCTGTTGCTCTTGTGTCGCCCGTGTTTATGAGTTTTGTTTTGCTGTTTAAATGCGCCAGCCCTGTGAGTCACATTTTCACCGCGCAGCGCCATGTTTGCCTGCACGCTACCAATTCAGTCACCATTCTGCAGCCAAGTCATTGGTTTCGTATCGAAAACGAGATAACGTAAAATATTCTAGAAAACAAACTAAAAATTTTAAAAATACGTCATATTTAACATTGAGGCTAAAATTTAAATATTGTCAGAGAAAGTACGTTTGTTATTTTAAGAAAAATAATATACGGTAGTGCGGGAAACAAAACAAACTTGATCGCTGTTGAAAGTGGCGTTTAAACATGGCTACCGCTCTGCCGCCCGTCCCCGATCGCCTAAAAGCGGTCGCCCCGTACGTAAAAATAGCGGCAGAGCACGATGCAAGGGATCCAGTGATCGCCTATTGGTGTAAGTATCAAACCGCGCAGTAATTTTGCTTTGTCACGTTTAATTTTTTGCACGAGAGATCCGGGTAGTCTTGAGACGCTGGGGCTGGTCCGGCCAGGTCCGAATCGCTTGTTTTCGATTTGCCTTTTGAATGCCAAAGTTCATCGAGCGATCGATGCCATCTACGCGTCTTCTGTGGCATTCGCGCCAGTTATGGTCACCGAAGCGAGAAATATTCGTGAGAACGGGCCAGTGATATGTGACAGGGTCCGGTTGGTCGTCCACGGTTGACGCCAACGTTGGTTGACGATTTCCAGAGCGGACACGCGTTGACAGCTAGCTAGTTGCGCAACGAATTTAACATGAGTGTTGCGTTTCTTCTCGCAGGTCGCCTCTACGCCCTGCAGAACGGCATGAAAGTTGACAGATCTTCGTCGGACTGCCGGGTCTTTCTGATGGCATACATGGATTGGCTGGAAAAGGTGAGCACTTCGACAGCGCAGCAGGTAATGACTCTGCGATCGCTTAAATGAATTGTTGCTTTGGCCAAACGCAGAGTCGATGGTAATACAACTTGGCACCTTTCATGGCATTTTCTCTGGCCTTGGTACCACTTCTCGTCACCTCGAGTTTGTTGACCGTGATAAACGGGTATCTCGCTGAGAAAATGCCGTGCGCACACGAAAGCGAGCGTTAGTCATTTTTCAAAGAAATGCCAATCGTTAGGCATACACTTCAGTTACTTTCGATTGGAAACCAGCCAGTGCTTCAACGCCCCACCAATGCGTATATACTTTCTTTTTTAAGCACATCTTTGTAAATTCACTTTTATTCAAGTGCAAGTTTGGTTTCATAAAAGTGAATATACTTTTATACACTTGTTAGTGAGCGCGTTGGTAATGATATAGGTTTAGAAAGAGTTATATACGTAAAGACAGGGGACAACACCGTCCCTTGTCTTTACGTATATAACTCTTTCTAAACCTACATACTTTTATATTTGCAAGTTTATTGTAACATGCTTTTGCTACGTAAGGATATACACATAGCAACTCACCAGCTTGTGCTCGCAATTTTTGTAGATGGAGGTGCACATCACACCAGTCATAGCATTTAAAGGGACACTGACACCCCCCAAAATATTTTTTAAAATTTTTGCCAGGCGATTATTATGGTGTTAGAAGACCACGCAATCAGTATTTTGCTACAGCGTCACAAATTTCTGATAAAGTAAAAAAAAAAACACAACTGCCCAAATCAGAAACTGGTGTGGGGAGGAAGAAGAAATATAGAGGGTGAGTGTGCAAAAGACAGAGGGAGGAGAGAGTGTGCAAAAGTCAAGTGGCTGTGCAACTTTTTTTTTTTAATCAACATATCTGCAGTTCTTTAGAAGCCACAAGAAGTGAGTATCATATTTCTTTTCTATATTTAATATTAAGTGTGTGCCTTCAATTATCCGTGACTAATTATATTTGGTGGTTGTGTCTAAACCATAGAAAACGGCACGTGACCATGGACAAGAGAGTGAGCGCGACTCAAATTGGCCAGTTTTTGATCAGTGGTTTTCGGGCGGAAAGAAAACTAATTTTGAGCCGCAAACTGTGTTCTGGGTAGTTGGGCTCTCATATGTCATGTGCAAATAAAAACCTTGGCGAGCATAAATACCCTGTAAGTGTCCCCTTAAAGGGATACTACAACGAAATTTCGGCGCTAATATTTTGGTCTATATGTGCTTGAAGGAGCAGTCTCATATTGAACACACCAATATCTTGTTAAAAAAGTCACAAAAAGGAATTTTAAAACAAATTAAACGATTAGCAAAGAGCACCTGGTGGATGTTGCTAACGCCTCGTTTGTAATGCCCGTCTAGGGACCTTGACAGCTAGTGACGGTGAGTGTCTCGCCTCTGGCCACAACGAGAAAAGAGGGGATGAAGGAATTCCCCTCTTCCCGAGGATCCCTCTTGTGTGTCCCAGAAGTCGCTATTGTTCCCCTACAAGATTACAGAAGATTAACCCTTCACTCTAAATTCATACAAAAGCAGCCGCTTCAATGGCTGGAACGACTAGGCCATCCTCTCGACGTCAGCCTTGCCGTAGCTTTGCTCGTCATGAGACGACCTACGTCACGATTGCGTTGGATGTCACATGCTCTCCGCTGACTGTTCTTCGAGCGCTTGCCAGAGTGGGCCGTTCATAACGAAAAATACAGCCACCAGGCTCAAAATACAAACGTGCAATTGTCATTTACAGATATTGTGGATCATATTCAACCTGTTTTTGAACACGACGGCTATATTTCCAATTTCGTTCAAGTATCCCTTTACAAGGTTGAGGGGAGCTCTGAACTCTATCGGCAGCCAAAACAGTTGTCAAAAAAATGATAATCATTCAGATAATGATCAATCACTGGAGGCATATGATGACCATACATACCATAACCAACTTTATTTTTTCCTCTAGGAAAAATCGCTGAGGAAAGATGATGAAGCCATCAGCAGTGACGTCGTCGCCCAAGCTCACATAGAAAATCGTGCTCTAAAGTTGTTTCTTTGGGCAGACGGCGAAGATAGGGCAGCTCGCTTCAACAAGTGAGTCGCAGCCTTCCGTGGTAGTCTATCTAGGTTTTGCATGAGTAGCAAACCTCCTTCCCTGCTCATTGCGTGCGTACGTTGGCCATAGGGAGCCACTCTAGTGTAAAAAGAATGTGCATAATTGTCATGCCACAATGTGGGGGTGTGCATGGTTAGGATCATATTAGCCCAATTTTGAACATTAAATAGCAATATCGCCCCAAGAAACAACATCCTGGAAGTCACTAACAGAAGGTGGGGCAAGGGCAAGGAGCATTGCAAATTGAATGGAATGCTTAAAAATACGGCCAAAAAATGTGGAAATCAAACAGTGTCTAAAACCTGCATTCGAGATTGTCTTCTCATGCTAAGCCCCACACAGAGTGTTTGAGAACGGGAAACAGTCAAACCGGCAGCCTCGAAGAGTTAGGAGCTGTTAAATTTTCTAACTTTAATATCTAAATGGTTTTCAAAATTCAAGTATATCAAAACCAAACCCCTCGAATGTTTTCAATTTTCAAACTGCTTCAAATTGCATGAAATCAAATTGGAAATTTTGTAGCTATTGATTTTGAACCTCAAGAAAATTGCAACATTTCCTATGATAACCATCCAATGCTATCCGCTCATTCTCACGGCACTTTCTTCATTGCATTTTAGTTCTGCAGGCAAACAACTTCATTGGCTGCCTGTAAAGAGCAAAGAAGGAAAAAAAAAAAATCTGACTATAGTGTGTTTTTTTTTAAAAACCAGGGACATTATATTTTTTGTTTTTTATTTTTTTTCTTCAGAAATGTCGTCAAGGCATTCTACACAGCTGGATTCCTTTTTGACATTCTGACCACCTTCGGGGAACTGACAGAGGAGGTAAAGAAAGTTCTTTAGTATTTCAGCACCTGACATTCTGGACATCTAGATGAAACCACTTCCCTTGTCGCCGGTTATCCGAACAGTTAGGAAGGAAGGTTATCAGTTCTCTACTGGACTGTTTGAAGGGCCTCCTGGTTCTCTCACAGATCTAAACTTGTTTTTTCATGAATTTTTACCCTGGGAAGATGTAACTAACTTGAAGCTTAATATTGTGGCGAATGCAAATGACGACTGTCGTCGTCATTGGTAGCACTCAAGCTGATAGACTGAGCTCATGTCATTCGTTTTGTTCAAGCTGGTAACCTAAAAACAGGCCATGCCTCTTCGGCGTGCTGTACAGTGGGCCTGCTGTACAGTGCATAGGTTAGAGGGGCACCTAAATGAACAAAAAGATCATGGACTTATTGTGTTTTATAATGGGTGATAAGCTCTTGCCCTACTAAAGTTGATGTTGTCTGGCTTCACAGTTGTTCATGACTGAAGCGATACTCTTTCAGATCACAAACCACCGAAAGTATGCTAGGTGGAAGGCAGCCTACATCCACAGGTGCCTCAAAAATGGAGAACAGCCAATTCCAGGGCCTTTGAAAGGAGACGACGAGGGATTCGAAGAGGATGCAGGAGGTACGCCACGTTTGCGCAATCATTCGCACCCTAAAAGGGTTAAATCTCAGAATAGCAACCAATGCTTTGCTAAGTAATTCGAATTTTCTTAGTGCACACCTTAAACCCCCCCCCCCCCCCCCCCCCAAAAAAAAAAAAAAAAAAAATTTAACTACTGTATTTACTTGCGTATAGGTCGACCTGTTTTTCAAAAATCGCCTCATCAAAACTGGGGGGTCGACCAATACGTGAATCCCGGTATTATATTTTTCAACTTTTTTTTTTTTTCGGGGGTCCCGAAGTTAAAGGGTCGACCTATACGACGTATCGACCAATATGCGAGTAAATACGGTAGTTTGTTGGTACACCCTTGACAAAAAATAAATTTTACTCGAAAAAAAAAAAAAAAATTCTTTAGAGCAATATTGATGGCGAGAGATTTACTTGAAATTCTCCGCACAAAGTCCATAACATCACGGAATGGTCATTCGCTTAAGGAGATGGTAATTCGCTCTCTCCACCTCAACGTGAAGGCGAAGCCGATCCACCTCTCCTCCACGCACCTGAAATGCCGAGAAAGAAAACAAGTGGATAGGAAATGATTACCGACTAAATCATGTCTCGCGCCGTAAATATTGCTCTAAATAAATTTTTTTCCCCGTGAAATTGATGTGTGAAAAATTGACATGAAAAACAAGCAACGTGATGTCACCAAACTGTTAAAAAAAAAAAAATTTTTTTTTGGGTTTTTTTTAAGGTGAACTTATTTTCATGCTTGTCCTGTATATATTCCAAATGTCCATAACTTGTACAAGGACAAGGTTTGCAAATCAAGAGACTGAGACTGGGATCCCTAATATCACAGGTGTGCCAGGGCGGGGTTGCAAAACCTTATAAGTCCCAAGCTAGTAGAGCAGTGCCACTCTACAACAAAGTTGCATGCACTAAAACTAAATTGTGGTACACTTTAGTGCTGATAAAGAAAAAGTGGTGATGTTAAAAACTACTGCAGTAGCGCTTGGACTGTGAAAATTAGTTCACTGCGTAGTGAGCCTTAATTCAATGGTAGTACAGTTGAGCAGAGAGCATTTCAACATCTTTTTTTTAGATTAATACTGTAAACAGTTGCTTTCTGTTCCATTCCTTCATTTTTTTTAATCTTTTCCTCTTTATGGCAGTTTTGTGTAAATAATGCTTACTATTCTTGCCCCATGTAATACCTCTGAATTGCCTTGACCACAATGCTTCCCAGCATAGGCATAGACTATGGGGGAGCATCGGGGCTCGTGCCCTCCCCTGGTGAAATCCAGGGGGGCCAGAGCCCCCCCAGGCCCGGGCCATGATTTTTACCGAGACACTGTTTACGTGCCATGTAACGAGCTTCTAGTAGTGGCATGTAAAAAAAATAACACCCACGTTGCCTTTATTGACAAAATACATGGGAAATGGAATACCAGCGTGTTTTCGTTAGCTTCAATCTCCAGTTCTGTCGAGAAGGTAACGCCCAGCACCATCCCCCCCCCCCCGCCCCCCCCCCGTTAAAATGGAAAGTTTACGCCGCTGCTTCCCACACACTTCTTTGGATCAGCGAGCTAAGGTTTGCCAAAAAAAAAGAATGCCCGGTCTGCGGTTCCAGCGCTTCACGGTTGTGACTCGGAAAAGTTTGCGCACCTCTGCTTTCGTGCCGACATTGCATGTCAGAAATGGTTGTGCGCCTCTGTTTCCGTACTGACGTTGCACAGTGCGCATCACTGTTAGTGCTAACATGACTTTTTTCACTTTGACGGCGAAAGCCTCACTTGTCCCATTGAGCGAAAAAGCGTAGAAAAGCCAATAAAAATAAGTTTGAGCGGCACACTGCTCAATGGCTTGTTATCTTGGCGTCGTCCTAGAAATCGTCCTAGACCTCTAGGAGGACCTCACTTGTCGCATTACGTGAAAAACAAACGGCGTTGTTGTTGTGCCCGAAAGACTGCCATAAAAATATGTCATCAGGGCGATGTCACCGCCGGAGCGCTGTGTGCAAAAGGTGCGCTTTGGACTTCATCTGTGCGTGTGTGCTCCGTGCGATGTACTGTGAGGCGACCGCATCTACATCTACGGCCTTGACATTGGCAGCAGCGTCTACATCTACGGGGGCTTCCGTAGACAAATGTGGTTACCCAAGCAAATGTGCCACAGCCTCTCTAAGTGTCCTCCTCTAGGCATTATTCTCGACATGGGTGGTGCCCGACAGAGGCTCAGGAACTACATTCAACATGACAGTTTAAACATTTTATTAAGAATGCATCGCTTCATTAAGAAAGCACAAAGTAAAGCAAAAAGCAATGGCAGAAAATATCAGTCACGGTATCAATACTGATATACCGCAGTGAATGTCAATAACGAATATATATTCAACGGGCAAACCTTTCCTCTGTTCTCCTTCATGTCAATGGAAGAAGGAGCCAAGGAGCTAGGCAGCGCGGAAGAGACGCGACAAAATGGCTCGTGCTCTGATGCCACAACCACTTATAAACTAGCGCGCTCGAGAAAACAATGGTTTTGCACAAAACAAATATTACGCTTTTTCTTTTAGGGAGGGGGGGGGGTGCCCTCAGAACAAACTGGAGAGGGGGGGGGGGTGTACACACGAGTACACACCCCCTAGGGGGTGGGTAGTGAAATCACTGCACCTGGGTGCCGTGAGAACAGGACACTTTTTTTTTTTTTTTGTTATACTTTCTTTTTTCGTCAGTTGCATTGGCTGGATGGCAGAGACGCCGTCTGCCCAGGCTACTCAGGAGCGCGCCAATGGGTCTTCTGGTTGATCGCGTCGCAGCCCTCACTGTGCTGTGTGTCCTCACCTATATTTATCTTACACTGTGGTTTGTGCAAAAAGTCTTGTGGAGTGTACCTCAGAAATGTTTGTGCACCTCTTCTTCCGTGCCGACGTTGTAACCGACAATTTCCGATCTCGTCCCCCAGTGGTAGGAGGCATGGGGGGCCCCAGCCCGTCCAACGGCCCCGAGGGAGAGGCATCTGGGAGCGACGACCCCTTCGTCCCCAGCTTCCCCCAGATGGGCGGTGCCCACGCGCCCGGATTCGTCCTGCCCCCGGTGCAGCCGGCGGGAGGGGCCACGGGAGGACCCCGTCTGTCGTACGGGGACGGCCAGCCGGGCCTGGTGTCCCTGCCCGTGCCCACCCCAGGATCCCAGGCCCCGCCTTCGACCCCCAGTGGGTCTGCGCAGCCCTCGCCCTCCATGACTCCCCTCGACCTGCCCCGTGCTGCCAGTGAGTCGCGCGTCCTTCCTGCTACGGTCATTGAGTCATTGATGGCCTGAGAGAGGCAGGCTTGTCACCTTCACTCGTCTTGCTCCGTGATTGGTTCCTCGGCATTCTTGTCGGCTAATGCCTCAATCTCATTGGCTGCGGAGCGGTAATGAGATGCTTGGGACTTGTCGCTGCCCGCATTTTTAAGCTGTCGGTGACAACATTCTAGAACGTTTGGAGTGTGTTAAACCACCCCTCTTATTTGTGAAGCTTTATAGACCACCACACGGCCCTGACGTCATGCAGCTGCGGTGGCACTGTCGACGGCACTGCACATGCGCAGACGCTTCGCTTAAAGGGACACTGACACCCCCCAAAAGTTTTTTTTTCATATTTTGCCAGGCTCTTCATTATGGTGTCGGAGGACTACCCAATTAATATTTTAATATTAATATTAATATTTTAATAAAGCCAAAAGACGCAACTGCTCGAAACCGAAACCAAATCCCGACGGAGGTCGGAGAAGTGGAGAGAAGAGAGTGGAGTGGCGGAAGTCACGTGGCTACACCCAACCGTGCTTTTTTTTTTCTCCTTTCCGTAGCAGACGACACGACATGCGGCTTGCGATGCGGCGTGCGGGAACTGTTCGCCGTGCGATTCTTTGTTCTGTACTCCAAGATGAGTTGTTTTGTACATTGAGAAGTTGGAGATGAGTAGTGAGTGCCCTTGGTGAATTTCCATGATCGGCTCCGAAAAGAATACACCCAAGATGTTACGTGAAGAGCTGGCTCACATGTCCTGCGTCCGAAAAAAAAGGGGCATTGTGCGACAGAGTTTCCGATAGATCAACGGGATCGGGACCAATGGCTGGCTGCGGTTCCTGTAGAACATATACGGACACCTCGGAAAGCGGACGCTACCTGATTTATATGTCCCTTGCATTTTGTGGTAAGTGATTACATTGAGTTCGCAGGTGTCAAAAAGGAAATCCCATACCATTTAATTCAGCGAAGTGTCGTCCACAACATTTGTTTGTTATTTTTTTGTTTGTTTCTTCAGTGATAATTGTAAAAAAAAAAGATATTTAAACATCGAAAAATGTTAAAAAAAAAGAAAAAGAAGTTTCACGGGGGATCGAACCCGGTCCTAACGCGTGTGAAGCGGACGTCTTTCCCACTAAGCTACTGGGGCATTTTTTTTTTCTCAACTTTCCAACGGTAAGTTGGAAAGTTTGCTGTCGATTTTCTTTTAGCAAAAGCACTCCCGGGTCGAAGTGGGGAAGCACCACGCATTGCCAACATTCGCACCTTGTAAAGAAATCGTACGCGTGCATATTCAACTCGAAGTACACACGTCGTGCTTGACGTTTGCGCGAGCGATGTCTTCAGCCACGAGAAGGGAGCGACGGCTCGGCGACGTCTTCCTGCAAGTCGGCTTGGTGGTCGGGCGTGTCGTACGGGATGAATACCAATTCTTTTGATCAGTCCCAAATTTCTCTTTTAAAAGTAGACAGAATTCGCCGGTACCGCGAACGACAGTTCTGAAATAAAGGTCCCATGCCCGTCGTCCGCTGCCACCGCCGTCCCCGCGAGTCCCACGATACGCGAAAAGACGAACGCACAGAATGCATCCGGTTGTCTGTGGAACTTTCTTTTCAAACAACGTATTTGCAGCTTTTTAGAAGCCACAAAAAATTGGTTTCATATTTTTTCTATTTTTAATATTGAGTGTGTGCGTTCAGTGACCTACGACTTTGATTAAATTTGGTAATCGCATCGATACCTTAGAAAACGGCCCGTGACCGCGGAAAAGAGAGTGAGCGAGACTCGAACCGGCCGGTTCTTGATCGGCGGTTTTCGGGCGGAAAGAAACCGAATTTCGAGCCGCAAATTCTGTTCTGGGTAGTTGAGCTCTCATATGTCACGTACAAATAAAAACCTCGGCGAGCATAAATACCCTGTCAGTGTCCCTTTAATGCAAATTCGGTTTCTGCGCATGCGCAGTGCCCACACCTAGTGTGGGCAAATGCGGGCTTGTTTGTAAACAGCGTGTCGGTCTATAATGGGTTAAGTAATGGAAGACAAATCGAAAATAGTTTCACTATGATGCTGACTACAAGAATGGGTAGCGTTTTATGTTACGCAATTTGGGGTAGAACATCTCCAAGCAGAGAACACGCGTGAGTTTACATGTATATCCATCTGTGCCTGCATTTTTTGTGGCATAATATTTTGAGCCTGCAGGTGCTGGAGTGAATTGAGAGTTTGATTTTGTTCTTAGCCCGAAAAGAGGAAAGTTTCAAAGTGGAAGAGAAATGAACAGTCGAGGACACGTCTCTAACACAGCTACTCTAACACAGCGTCTCTAACACAGCTAAGTAGCTGTGTTAGAGACGTGTCCTCGACTGTTCATTTTTCTTCTACTTTGAAACTTTCCTCTTTTCCTGCCTCAGTCTCGGGCTAAGAACAAAATGGTTAACATCCACCAGCTCACCTGCGCAATCACTACATTATCGAGAGTTCCATGTTTGCAAGTTTAATACGAGCATACATCGTAGCATCCTTCTATTTAATTATTTTACGTAACATCTCTAGACGCCTAACTCGTCCATATGTTCAATCAAAATCTTTTTCCCTCGTCTCCATAAAATTTTTGTTGCCACGGATGTCAAATTTTATATGTAGATTGACTCCCCGTGCTTTCGTGATAAAGAAGGCTTGCTTTTCGGTGGCCCACATTCCACGCTCGCTTGGTGCACCATATACAGTGTAGACCGCATATAACGTATGTCGCGGGAGTCGCGAAAATCCGCACTATAAGCGGTACCGCGCTATAACCAAAACATCAATTTTTCAGGCCAAAATACATGCCATGAGACAACTTACCTTTGGAAAAGAATTTATTTTATGTTAAATGAAAAATAAAGCTTAGTTTGCGGAAAGTCTTTATGTCACCAGACTAGTACAGTTCTGTCTCAAGTGTGTCACACATTTTGAAAGAAATGAGCGGCTTTTGCCTGGCGCAGCCTTTTAACGGCGTCGCGGGTTGCGGACGGATGTTGCGAGCGTTCAGGATTGCTAACCCTAATCACTTTTCTCCGGTGATGAAAACGCGTAAAAATTCGCATCCTTCATAAGGTACGTGCCAGTAATACTTTGAACTTAAGCACACGCATGAAATGCGCCAAATAAGAAATTCGGGCGATGTTCGAGGACACAAATACTTAGAAATCACCACTGTAGTCGAAGTAAACAAACACAACAACACGGGCGTTTCTGCCGTCTTGAGAGCGCCGCCACGACATCACCGCATGAGTAGGTGGATCTTCCCTTCTAGTACGTGCTGGGTTATCATAGCGTCACACAACGAAAATTCACAGTCAAGGATAGCGCTTTTACGCAGAACGATGAGATGAACGCCGTCTACGACGACGATCACAACCGACGCCATGTTTACGGATAGATGCAGCCGGCCCGCGACCGACATGCAACGCGCGCGAACACTTTTCCTCGACCTGCGATTGGTCTGTCGTTGCGGTGGTTTCTTTCTTTGTTTCCAACGCAGCGGAGGGACGCACGCACGTGAATGACACATGCGTGCGTCCCTCCGTCGCTATGGCAACTGAAGCCTCTCTCTTCGCTTCTCCCCGTTTCTTCGAGCAACCTCCTTGCCCCGCGAGTGCTGCTTGCGACTCGTGCCGTCGGCGCCGTTATCTAGTGTCGCACAGGGGAGCGTGCTCGGTGCTCCGGTCGTCGGCGCGGTCGGCGGGCTGTGCCGGAAACCGCACTATAACCGGTATTTCCCTTCACACGCCTGCATTTTAAGCGGTATGTAATTACATGGAGTTCTATAAGAGGCGAAGCGGTGGTTTAAAAAAACTGCGTTATACCCGGCCCTGCACTATAAGCGTTTGCGTTGTAAGTGGTCTATACTGTACTGCTACATCTACTGGAGCAGCGTTTCTCTAACAACTGAAAGAACTGGTACGCCGATTATGCGGTTAGGCAGTATTGGTGGTATTAACTTACCGGATCTCGAAGTAATCAGTAGGTTGACAGCACCAACATCATTCTGTGCATACCAGTATTCCTAGGGAGTACCAGAGATGCACTTAGGAAGAAAACCAGCAGTATCGGAGCCTAGAGAAACACCGAGATATTCTCTACTTTCAGACGGTGTGAGCCTGCAGCCCGACGACTTCCACAAGGCGCAGAAGTACTGCAAGTACGCCGGGAGCGCCCTGCAGTACGAAGACGTGCCCACTGCCATTGACAACCTCCAGAAGGCTCTCAGGTTACTCACCACTGGCTCTGAGGGGCTTTGAGGACATGCAGGGGCCCCTTCTCTGTGCTCACTTGGGGCACCCTCCTTCCCCTTCGGTGTGCGTGAAGGTTCAGTGTTTGTTTCAAGGAGTGTGTCCACCCGCTGTCCCACATTGACGACGTCTCGAATGGTGCCGGGAAGCACCGCTCGTGTGTCCGGGCCGAAGCGTTTGCCGGCCAGCTTAAATAAACGGTTCCTGTAGTCCACACAATGCCAACACCGTGGCAGGTTAGTTGTGCACCTTCCTGCGTGATTGCAACAATCAGTGCAGTCACGCTCTACTAGTAAGTGTTCCCCTGTTTTTCGGGTTTTATATTTAGAATATTACGAGGGAAAGGGGATTGATAATGGGTGCCCTTTTCTAGATTGAAATTCTAACAGGCATGTGATATAATTTTTTTCTGGGACACAAAAACATTCACTTTGTTTCGTTGCACCAGGTGAACGAGAAGATCAAATGGAGGAAACTTCCGACAATACAGGTATATTTGAGAATGTGTTTCTTGGGGGACCAACTTTTTTCGTAAAGGAGGTATTTCAAGCACAAAGTGCCACACTTTCCGTTCTTGCGGATCCTACACGTGGATTTGGGAGGAACGGGGTTTTGGTTTTCTGGTATAATCTGGGTTCTGTACAATATTTCAAGAGCCTTTTCAGAATGAAAGCGTAAGGCAAAATTGAGCCTCAATGGACCTTGTCCAAAATCTTAGGAGCCGCTTTTTATTGCATTGGAATGCTAGCAGGAGTCTTCTCGCTAAGGGTGTGGTTTTCAACCAGAAAAGCGACACCAATTTATTGACGAACCTTGAGTGCCTGCCTAGTCGAAAGGGAACCCAAGACCCCAGGAGGGAACTGAATGCTCCTAATTTTTGGCTACATTCTATTTTTCCTTTAGTAGTTAATGCAATGTCATATTGTTTGCAAATAAACCAAGCTGCTTTACTTTCGTTCATTCCTGTTTGTTGAACTTCTGTTTGTATTGCTCATATTTGGCCAGTACAAACGCAGCACGAAAGAGTGCTCGATAAAAGAATCTTCAGTGGACCCTTGCAATGACGGCCAACATTGGAGTATGCGACCTAAAGGCCGACTTTCAAACTCCACGTCGAGGAGAAGGGGGCAGACAGAAAAGCGAGTAAGAGTGGAAAGTGCAAACTGTATGTCTGCTTTTAAAGGCTGGTTCACACACCCCACTTTGGTTGCAAACGAGCTCTTTGTGCAGTTCGCGTTGCCTTACGACGAGCGGGCATGCTGGCACTGTCTGAGGTAGCCCTGGAACTGCATTTAAACGGAGTGGAGGTTTTGCGGTATAAGTGATGCTGCACGCAAACCATGTTCTCGATCTACAACTGTTGAAGAGGACCGGCTGCTAGTTGCTGCTCTGGCAGCAAATCCTTTCCACTTTCCACACTTTATTAACTGAAAGAAATGGCTGTAAAGAAATAAATTGCTTTATCTAATGCAGTGTGAAAGCATACTTTAATCAGCGTTTTGAAACCAGATTGGGAAGCATTTGAAAGAAGAAAAAAACCATCAACAGCCGTCAGTATATGAAAGCATTTAGGCTACCGTCATACCTAGGTTACATTATCCGCAGCCTGGTAGATTACGGTCACTAGTTGTTTACAGACACGTTTTTGTGAGTCGGAATCATCGACAGTGCAAGATGCGTCGTGAAACCGTGTTCAGCGAACATCGGCAAGTGCTGTGGCGTCGTCTGTTCTGCGCTTTGCAGACGACAAAGCGAGCGGAGTTTTGGACGGCGCCTGCTATGTGGCGCTGGGGGTACGGGACGGCTGCCGCTGCCCTGTTACAGCTAACAGTGTCCACGATAGTACATCCAAAGCACGATCCAAAGTAAAGTACAAGTACTTTTAATGCAATCTTTCGCAATGTCCTTTCATTCCCTTATACAGTGTTTTGTTTTTTAAACTGGTATGCATTGCCCCAGGGGTAATCGAGTTATGCATCAGTTGTTTTCGGAAATGGCGGTGAATATTGGATGAAGTTAAGTGGCCGCAGAGTAGTTGTTTTAGTTTCTCTGACAAACTATTTAACGCAATCAACTTATAAGGCACTTATTTCTGTCTGTCTTATAGCGACCATTACTTTACTTGGAGAAATGACCACATGACATCTCAAAAGACATGTTTTTTTACACGACGATGCACACTTTTTTTGTTTTCAAGTTTGGGGAGTGTATTTTGAAGTCAAAAGTTGAACCTTTCCCAGAATTTACCCGAAAAATACTGTAAATAAAGTACAAGTACATACTCGGAGGATGTTCTTTAAGTAAGGTACAAGTTTTCATTGTACTTTAAGTACAATGTAGTTAAGGTTTTCCCAACTCTGTTTATGAGCAATGGTCATTTATAACATGCTCAAAAGTTTCTCAAGTTGATGGTGAAAGAATGATGAGCAAAAGTGATAAGAAATTTAGGCAAAGGTAGAGTGTTCCAGCGCTACGTTATAGATAGCACCAGTGTAATCTCGTAGGCGATCTGCATGGGCGTACCAACTGGGGGGGCAAGGGGGGCACTTGCCCCCCCAGTTCTCAGAGTGGGGGGGGGGGGGGGGGGCAAGGCATGTGTTCTGCCCTCTCCCTGAAACAACAGCCACTGGGCAGGCCAAACACTGTCTGGCGGCGCCCAAGGAATACCCTTGGGCGCCGCCGGACAGTGGGGGGGGGGAAGGTCTGGTTTGCCCCCCCACTCAAGTTGGTACGCCACTGGGGATCTGCACACTGTAACCAACTGTGCAACAAACTGCACAGTCGGTTGCAATCAGACGTGAGTGCGTGGACCAGCTTTTAGAAGCGAGGGTTCTTGTTGAGGCGTCGGCTGCCATCCCGAGGTTCTCCGGGAGATTGTTTCATTGGGTGGGGTCGTATTCGACAAAAGTGCGGGGAAGAGGGTCATGTCCTTCTTCCTGTCAAGGCAGAAACAAAAACAATGGCTTTTTATCTCGAATAAACATAACAAAGAACAACCCATATCTAAAACAAAAAAAAAAAAAAGATTGAACAGCATTGAACTCTACTTGTGATTGAAAAGAGCTATCGTCAGAAATCGAACGGTGCACAAAAGTGACGCACAAAGGTGCCGAAGTGATCTTCCTTGAGTATGTTTCATTGTCGGCTAATATATTTGGTTGAGCTATTCTAGAAAATGCCAGTTTTCGTTCTTAAAATGATGCAGAAAGTATACCTGTTGAGATGAACCCTGGTATCATTTGCATGGAAGCGTTTAGAAATTTTACAAGGAGGAGGAGGAGTAGATGAGGGACGAGGAGAGGCATACCGTTCCCTCAGTACCCTCCCCTCCTCCTCAAGAGCTGTGCTCTAATTCGGCATTACAGGGAGTTGTAAACGTCTCTTTTTTAAACCGTTATCCTTGTGGAAACTATGGTTTTTAACCAGGGGATATCAGCATTGTAATATTGTGTGCAACTTTGATTTAAATGTAAGTACATGTTGAGGAAGTTTGAGTAGTATCTTTTATGTAGACAAATACAGTCGAGCCTGGCTGCATCACACTCGAGTATTTTGAATTATTGGTTATATCGAACAGTTCGAATGTCACCTTGAAAATCACATGGAATTGAATTGGAGCGTTGTTTTTAAAGGGGTCATGAAACGCTTTTCCAACTTTTTCCTGTTTAGCTTTCCTCCTCAACTCATAAGTCGCGCATTCTATCAAACAGTTCAAGAAGACGAAAAGGGGGGAGTCCCCTCTTGGTTGGAATCTCGCTTGTATACCCGGACAGAGCCATTGTCCCCCTAGAAAGAAGATCAGCCCGTCGCTCAAAATTCAGACAAAAGTTGCTTTCCCACCCCGTTCACCCCGAAGATGACAGTACTGTGGAAGCTACGTGCTCGTTGGGCCAGCCACGCTTTTGCCACGTGATCACGCTCTCGCGCATACCCACGCGCAGAGAATGAGATCAGGTGATGAAAGGGAGGCGGCTGATTGGTCGGGCAAGCGCGTAGCTTCCACCACAATGTCAGCTTAGGGATGAAGTGAATAAGGGAGGTCCGGTGTCGTGTGACGTGCGTTTGGACCCGGTGACGTGCTTTGGGAACCGCGGATGTATCACAGTGAAAAGGCAGATAGCTTACGAAGGGGAGGAGGTACGAAATAGCCTGCTGTGTTTTCAGATTTTCGCGCTGAAAGTCAGGCTTTTGACTTTCTACCTTTTTTCTTTTGGCCCACTGAACGATGTACTATTAGTAAAATCCCAATCTAAAGCGATTTATACCAGCCCAACATTTGCTTCATGGGCCCTTTAATGCGAAACCAATAACTGTCTCATGGGACGAGCTGACGGCATCAGTCTGAAGCGCGAAAACGGCAGATAGTTTCCTTCGGCTCCATTGGCTGGCGCGCGTCGACGGGGCTCCCATCGGCCTCTGCGCTCGTCAGTTTCCACGACTGCTCACCCCATGGCGCTACATGTCCATCAGCGCGGAGCGTCCAAGGTCACCAGGGGAGCACACGCGCTGACCGGCGACGAAAAGTACGCAACAGACGAAAAAGGGAGCGGACGAGCGGCTTGCATGCTTTCGCATTCACAACTCATAAGGAATGCTTAGGTGTACCTCGATCTTTTTTTTTTTCTCTGTATCGAACTCCTATGGCGGGGACACTCGAAAGAGCGAACAAAGCACGGCGGCCCGTCGCTTCTCCCACGGTCGGATTGCGACTGCGGCGAGCCTATAGCTCGCGTTGCGGGGCCATGGCAGATACGCGCACGGGGATACGCAACAAATAAAAACAACAGTTAAAAAAAAAAAAAAAAACTTTAGGAAAAGAAAAGTGGAGGATGGCAGGGCGAAGGGCGCGCGCTTTTGTAGGGAGGGCAGGGGGTGTTTGGGCTGTTGGAGAGGCAGCGTGCGCTCTTTCCCAAGCGCGCTCGCTTTGCGCGAGACGTAGCAGCCACTGTGGCGATTCCACGCGCAGAGCAAAAGCCGTCGGGCAAAATTCGTCGACTTTTCGCAGCATATTCGTCCCATGGAGTTCAGCGTTTTTGTGCACGCGCAGGTTGTGCGCTTCCCGGATATTGCGTATCTCGTCACGTACGGCACTGATTCCTTGAGCCTTCCGGGCGCGCATAAGAAAGTTGGATGATTTGGACTTTTTCTGAACGCGCACAAAAACGCGCTGTGACGTAGTAGTGCGCTCCTCTCCCATATCCTCTCCTGGCCAATCGGCGGAAGGCACCAGTCCCGGCTCCGCGCTTTTTCGCCGTCGGGCGCATATGCTTTCCACTCGCCCGAAAGCGCACTGTCCTAAAGGCGCATTCACACGCAGCAAAAAAAAACGTGCGTTGCGGCCGACGTCGACGCCAGCGTCGTAAAATACGAAGCAGTCACACAGGGCCACCCGACGGCGGCGTCTTCTCGGGTAATCTCGCGTTTGTCGAGAGAACACGGAATTTTTTTATTCGTCTGCTTCGCACGATTGTTGTTGCCTTGCCTTCGCGATTGTATATGCAGTGGGAGACAGCCGTCTTCACTGAATGGACAACGGCGATGATTACATATACCGTATTTTCCGGACTATAGTCCGCACCCGGTGAATAGTCCGCAGGGGGAAATTTGGGGTCAAAAATAAAAGATTTTGCTTAGATAGCCCGCACCCGGTGCATAGCCCGCACCCGGTGCATAGTCCGCACCTGGTGCTTAGTCGACACGAAAATCTTCTCATAGACGGCACACGTTTACAAATGTCTGCTTTTTAGCTCACAATAAAGCCTATAATGTGCATAGATCATCATTAACATACACTTTCGTGCACAAAATTCGTCACGTCTCGTCATAATAAACGATCTTGAAAAACATAATTCCTGTATAGTCCGCACGCGTAGATAGTCCGCACAGCCAGAAATTTCAACTTTTAAACATGTATAGTCCGCGGACTATAGCCCGGAAAATACGGTACGTTTACACTCCGGTTATATGCAGCATTGGCGAAAGGCACGAACTCGAACGGGCAGCTTCTAAAGGTACGTGCTCTTTTGCCGCGTTTTTGTGCAAACAAAAGCACGGTGGTACGCCGGCGCGTCCCAGAGTCTTCGCAGCTTGTGCGAGAGTGTTTTCGATGGAGAACTGTTGTATTCCGTAGTGGTGGGTGCACACAAAGACTACAAAACACATCGGGAGTGATCGCTCCCGCACAGTCGGAGGTAGGAACACACCGCGAACTTCGGTGGCAGCTTTCGCGCGAACGATGAAGAATAGTTTCACGGCGTCGTACACGCACATAAAACACTGCCACGGTGTAGGAAGGCTCTTCCTACACCGTGAACACTGCTCACAGTCAGATGTTCCAATCACTTGCTTCTTTCCACGCTGAAACGCTTCCATCCACGTTTGGCGACTGCATGTCTCCCTCGAACCCTCTGGCCTTTCGCCTTCATTGTGGGCCGAAAAATTGTCCTAACCGGAGAAGGGCGACACGTCACGTCCGGACGATCACTGATTGGCTGAAGCGCGCGGTTCCGAGGCGTCGTCTCCCTGCATCGTCGTCCTCGGCGCGTGACTTTTTAGAGCGCAGCTCTTAGGCGCCCGTTCCCAGCTTGAGCGGCGTCGGCGTCGGCGTCGCCGTCGGCATCGGCGTAACCGCAACCCTCGTAACCCTCGTGAGGGTTACGAGGGTTATGAGGGTTAATCTCATGAGGGTTACCCTCAGGAGGATCACGAGGGCCACGAGGGTTACTTACCCTCGTAACCCTCACGAGGGTTACGAGGGTTAGTTACCCTCAAAAGGGTTACCTTCATGAGGGTTACCCTCACGAGGGTTACTTACCCTCGTAACCCTCGTGAGGGTTACGAGGGTTATGAGGGTTAATCTCATGAGGGTTACCCTCAGGAGGATCACGAGGGCCACGAGGGTTACTTACCCTCAAAAGGGTTACCTTCACGAGGGTTACCCTCACGAGGGTTACTTACCCTCGTAACCCTCACGAGGGTTACGAGGGTTAGTAACCCTCAAAAGGGTTACCTTCACAAGGGTTACCCTCACGAGGGTCACGAGGGTTATGAGAGTTACCCCCACGAGGGTCACGAGAGTTACCCTCACGAGGGTCACGAGAGTTGCCCTCACGAGGGTCACGAGAGTTGCTCTCACAAGGGCTACTAGGGTTAGCCTCACGAGGGTCACGATAGTTACCCAGGTCACGTGACCCCCCCGGGGTCACGTGACCTGGGGATACCCCCCGAGGTCACGTGACCCCCCGTTGACGTCATCGCCACTGATGACGTCATCAGTGACGTCACTGATGACGTCACCGGCATCCCCATCGTCATCGTCATCATGACTGGTGACGTCATCAGTGACGTCACAGATGGCGTCACCGGCATCCGCATCGTCATCATCATCATCACTGATGGCGTCATCAGTGACGTCACTGATGACGTCATCGGCATCGTCACGTGGCCCCAGGTCACGTGACCCCCTTGACGTCACGTGACGCCCCAAGGTCACGTGACTCCCACAAGGTCACGTGAGCCCCAAAGTCACGTGACCCCCCCCCCGCCCTCCGAGGTCACTTGACCATCCCCCAGTACCTTTCCCTCCTCCTCCTCAAGAGCTGCGCTCTAATTCGGCGTTACAGGGAGTTGTAAACGGCTTTCAATTTTCAATACAAAAATAAGCAAAAAAAAAAAAATCACCCCACGACGCGCGTTTTTCCGCTGTGTGAATTTAAAGGCGCATTCGCAGAGCGGAAAGACGCGCTTGACGAAATATTGACACAATATTTCGTCAGATGTAACCAGTCTCGAAAAAGGTCTGTCTCGAACCGAAACGTCGACGAACTTTACGAAGAATATGTTTTAAAAACTCCAACGGTCTCAAGTGCGTTTTCTGCCGTATATATATATATATATATATATATATATATATATATATATATATATATATATATATATATATATATATATATATATATATATATATATAATCTTTCTCACATTTGGGGGGGAGGGGGTTTAGCACGGTGGTGGTGGTGGTAAAACATTTATTGCCAAAGCAAAAGGGGAAGAGAACGGGGTCTTCGGTTCGGTGAGTGGAATCCTCTAGTCCGGGATCCCTTGGGAGCTTGCTGCTAGCTTGGTCCGGTTGATCAGGTGTACCTGGATCTTGTAGACCTCGCTGCGCAGCATCTTTTCCCACCTTCGGTCGTCAATAGTGTCGCCAAGCCCTGGAGTGTCCGGGCATGCCCGCACCATGTGCGAGAAAGTGGCTCTTTGCCCGCAGTATTTGCAGGCTTCGTCGTCTCTGCGCCCCATGTGTTTCAGGAGCACCGGGTTAGTGTAGTTGCCCGCCTGGATCCTTCGCCAGGCAGTACTCTCGGCTTTGCTTAGCTCCCGGCACGGGAGCCCGTACTGTCTCCTCTGGGCCTTGAAGTGGTCCAGCATGTCTGAGTACACCCACTGCCTCGCTTCTGCCCGATCGACATATCCACGGGCCCGAAGGTCTGCAGCCTGGTTACCTGGAATACCCTCGTGCCCCGGGACCCAGATAATTTCGAAAGTTGACGAACCGTTTACGGCTCTCTCTAGGATTTTCGCGGCAGTAGCGCACACTCTGCCTCTCATATAATTCCTGCACGCATTCTGCGAGTCTGTCAGAATGTACGTGTGCCCCTTTCCCGCTCTCATCGCCATTGCGATCGCCGCTTCCTCTGCTTCGTCATTGTCGCGTCTTTCAGTGACAAACTGTCCAGCTCTTTTCCGTCATGCCCGACGCAAACCGCGACTTTGTTGCTACCATACGCCGCAGCATCGGTGTACATGACGTTCTCTCTTCCTTCCATCTTTACTCTGTAGTAGTCAGCTCTTGCCTTTCTCCGTTCCTTGTGTATTTTTGGGTGCATGTGCCGCGGTATGGGGCTGACTCTTTATCGTTTCACCAAACTTTGGGTCAGCTGCCTTTCTTTCAGGTTTCTCGTCCTTATATCGCCGTAGCCGAGCCGGACTCCGGTCTCCCTTCCGACCTTGCTGAACCTCCATCGCTCCTTTTGTCCCAATATGACCGCGTCTCTCAATTCCCGGAAAGTGTTCGTGATTCCCATCTTTTCGAGCTTCTCTGTCGGCGTGCACGCCGGTAGATGCAGCGCAGTTTTGTAAGATTCCCGTAGTATGCAGTCCACCCTGTTCTCATCTGCCTTCGTCATGTTGTAGTATGGAAGGCAGTATCTCATTTTGCTTACGATTAGCGCGTCTACTATCCGCAGCGTCTCGGCTTCCTTAAATCCCTTTTTCCTGTTGGCGATCCGCTTGATCATACCGCAGATCTGTTTCGCCGACGTCTTGATCTTATCGATCATCGTGCTCGGCTTTCCGTTGGATTGCAGCCACATACCGAATATTCGGATGCAGTCCTTCTCCGGTACCATTTTCCCGCCGACCGTGATTTCGATCGGGACACTCTTGTCGTATCCTGCACCGTGTAACCGAAGTATCTCCGCCCGCACTTCTTTACGTGTTCTTGGACTCGCTTCACCGCTTGCCGGAGAATTTCCACTTTCCTTCCTAGCTTCAGTTCTTTGCTTCCGACCCACAGCGTGACGTCATCCGCGTAGAACGCGAAGCCGAGGCCGTCTATGTCGTCGAGTTTTTTCGGTAGTTTCATCATGGCGATGTTGAACAGTAGCGGCGATATTACCGCTCCCTGTGGCGTTCCCTTATTTGTGAGTCCCACCAGTTTGGGATGCAAATCTCCAACGTGTATTCTTCCTTTCCGGTCTCTCAGGAAGTCCCTCACGTAGTTGTAAGTACGCTCGCCACAATTCATCGCCGCCAGCCTTTCCATCACGTATTCGTGATCGACGTTATCAAACGCCGCCTTCAGGTCTATCGCCATGACCACTCGCTTGGTGTTCCTGCCCTTAGGAAATTCATCCAGTACGTTTTCTTTTAAAAGCGCAAAAATGTCCTGCGTACTAAGGTAAGGCCTGAACCCAAACATTGCGTTGTGGAAAAAGCCGTTCTCCTCGATGTACGGTTGCAGCCTGTTCTTGACGACTCTTTCCATTAGCTTCCCAACCGCCGAAGTCAGAGAGATCGGCCTCAGGTTTTCGAGTCCGATATTCTTCCCCGGTTTCGAAATAAACTTTATGTCGGACTGCTTCCACTCATCCGGCAGCTTTCCTTGCTTCCAGACTTCGTTGAACATATCGGTGAGTCTCCTGTACTCCTTCTCTGGTAGGTTTTTTAATGCTCCGTTGGTGACTCCATCTCTGCCTGGCGTGCTGTTTCTCGCTTCCCTCGCCGCAGCCTTGACTTCGCCAATTCTAATCTCCTCGTCCAATTCCAATTCCTTGTTTGGTCTGCCTGAATACTCCGACAGGTCTTTGCCTCTCGTCCCGTCCGGGATGTATCTTTGTCGCACGTACTCCATGAGTTCGTGATCGCTTCCCTTAAATTGGTGAATGATTCTTTGCATCGTCTTGCTTCCTTCGCTCCTCATCTTGGTCGGATCCACGAGGTAGTTGAGCAAAGCCCACGTATCCTTGTTCCCGAGTCCCTTGCCTTTCTTCATATCTTCACACCGCTGTTCCCAGTTGTGCCGGGCAAGTTGCTGCGCGTACTCTTCTATTTGTCGGTCCATTTCCGCCACTCTCTTTCCGATCTTGCGGTTGTATCGCTGCCGCTTCCATCTCCTCGTAATCTTCCGACGTTCGTCCCACGTCGCCATGAGCTTGTTATCCGCCGCGGGGTACTTGGGCGTCAGCTTTACCTCGCTGGTGTTCTTCATCACTTCCTTGATCTTTTTCGCCCAGACGACCGGGTCCGTAACGCCATCGAGCTCCGCGTCCTTTCTAAAGTCTTCCCAGTTTGTGTGTCTGGTCTTGCCTATGCTCCTTTCCCTGAGGTCCGTTTCCATCTCTATCTCTATGATATAGTGACCGCTTCCCAAATTTTCGCATGTGTTTGACCATTTTACTTTTACGTTCTTGCAGATCGTCAAGTCCGGACTCGTGTCGCTGGTTCGCCCGCCGCCCGTCCTCGTCGGGTTCCATACTTCGTTCTCTATCGAAAGCCCCTCCTCTTCAATTGTTTCCAAGAGTTTCTTCCCCTTGTCATTGCTGTATTTGTAACCCCAGCTTTCGTGTGCGGCGTTGAAGTCCCCGAAAATAAGCAGTGCGTTGTCTCCCGCGGCCTTAATCGCTTCTTTGAAGAGTTCCTCGAAAACGTCCTTTTGTTTCCTCGGGTATACATTCAAAATGAAAACGCTCTCGTTTCTTCCTCTTCTTTTAGGCACAAGTTCTATAAGAATGTTCTCGATGTCTTGTTCCGTATCGTGCACGATCGCCGTATAGTTCTTACTGACGAGCGTAGCTACCGCCGGTTTCTCCATGCTATTGATGTACGCGTCATACCCCGTTACCTTCGCTATTGTCTTGACTTCCTGCAGCGCCATCACTGCCGGCCCGTCACCGTTTATGAAGAACTGCAGATTCTTAGCTTTGGGTCCTAAGCCTCTACAATTCCATTGCCATATTTTGATTTCCCTGTGCTTAGACTTGGCCATGTTTACCGGCCTTGATTTTCATTGCTTCCATGATTTGCTCCATAAATAGGCTTAGTCTCTGTTCAATCGCATTCTGACATTGTTCCATAAACACATTTATTCTCTGCTCCATTCTATCGAGGCGCTCCTGCATGTTTCCAGTATTGCTCGGCTCTCCCCCTGTAACACACCACATATTTGTCTCACAATTCGTTCTCCTCTCCAGTATGACCGGCCTTCTGTCCCCCTGCCCGGCTCTTGCCTGCTTCTCCCTCTCAGCTCTCCTTTTTGCCTGCAGCTTCTCTCTTTCCGCTTGCTCGGCTTTCCTCTGTTCCGCCTCCCGCAGTTCTTTCACTCTTTTCGCCTCTGCGCGCTTTTTTTCCTCTATTGCATGCTGCTTGCGCCCTTCTGCCGCAAGCTCCTCACTTTTCCTGACCACTTCTAGTAAAGCCGTCGTTCCTCCGTTCATTAGGTTCTCTATTTGTTGTACTATTTCATGCATCTTGCTTGTCTCTGTCGTCCGCACATTGTGCTCTATGTTTGCCGCTTGTTCTGTTCTGTTACCGGCCCAAGTACTGGCTTTTGGTAAGTTTCTGAACCGCCGATCAGGCGGCGCCTTGTACTTCTTTTCGCATTCTCTGTCTCCGGTGCGATGACCCTTCCCGCACAGTACGCACTTGATGACGCACCCTTCCTCCTTCGCGTGCGTCTTTCCGCAGTCTCTGCAAGCTGCCTCGTACGGACATACGTCGGCGCGATGCCCCGCTCACATGCATCTATAGCGCACCTGTCGTCTGGGTGTGTACTCGTACACTCTGTATGCGCCACCGTAGAAGTACATGTTCCTCGGCTTGACATTTCCGCTGAATGTCAATAATACGACCTTCGACTTAGGCGCCGTGCCGCTATGAGCTCTACGCCGGTCTTTGTTCTCGTATTTTCCAGAATTTCTTGTTCTTTGCATTCTGCGCCCACGTTGTGGATTACACCTCTCGTCACGTTCTGCAGTACTTGGTGAACGTTGAACTTAACCGTTCTTCCCTCTTCTAGCTTTAGCGCCTGAATTTCATTAATTTCCTTCGCGGTATCTTCCCGTTCCGTCATGAGAAAAATCGAGTTCGATCCACCCATGACTTGAAAAGAAAGGTCGCTCACCGTGCAGATGCGCTTCTCACCGACTGCGTCTACGATGGCCCGCCCGTAGACGTGCGTCCCATACTTGTCCAGTTTGATCCCTTGCTCGGGCCTCAGCGTGAACTTGAACTGGGTGCCCTGCGCCGCCATGACTCTGGGCTTGGGCTTAGCCTTCCAAGCCGGGCTCTCCGTAGAAACGTCTTCTCTCGATTCGGAGAAAACTCGCCTTCGACGCTTTCTTCCCTGGGTTCTCCACTCCTCTTCGTCCGCAATGGTCCCGGTGGTATTCCCCCGAAAATCGGGGGTCCCCGGTGCCTCCAGTGTCGCCTCGTGATCCGTTAGGCTTCGTACAATAGCCGACTGGCAAAGCGCGCCGATGAACGTCCGCCCCCTTCGGCTGCTCCGCAGGAATCTTTAGCACGGTATATCGCAAAATCGAAATACCTCGAGAGGAAGAGGAGGAAAGGAGGAGGGGCATACCCTTCTCTTCCACCCCTCCCCCCCTCCTCCTCAAGAGCTGCGCTCTAATTCGGCATTACAGGGAGTTGTAAACGTCTTTCATTTTTTTCTTACACGCTCTTATTCCTGCGTTGCTAGCAGTCGGGCCAGGCGTCACTGAAAAGACCACGGCCATCCGCGGGCGGCCGGAAGGCCTTCGCGGGCCGGGGTTTGGAGACTCCTGGTATAGTTTGTTTCATCTTAGGCCATAGCATAGTCGAAGGCTCGAATACGTACAAGCGCGAACACACACACTAAAAGCGCAAGTCATGGGGCACTCGATTGGTTAACACGTACAGGAAGATGGACGAATGCCACGATGTCGGACTTTGACGCTGTTCGATTGGTACCCTTGGCTCGTAGCGTCGGCTGCGCTTTGACGTACGGTGAAACGAAGTATAGAGATCGCTAGTCAACCGCGCTGACCGCTTGATCGCCGACGTCGTCGAAATTTCCGGACCGTGTCGGCGATGTCAGGAGCAGAACGTCGCAAGAAAACTTTGCAAACTGATAGGATAGCGGCTATTGTGATAAGACAGAACCAGTTTTGTTTTTTACTCGTGACGAGAGCACTAGGTTTTCATGTCTGCAACCTGCCTCCGTGCCGTGGTTACAGTGTACCGTGGCACCTGCGCCGCTCGCGTCAACCTTCACCGCCTCTCACCATCAGGTGCACGTCGAGCTTCAGCGCCTTGCACCAGAGTGCTAGGAGCAGCGGCTGACCTGGGGGAGCGCCGGGGTTAGCTCGATGGGAAGGGAAATCATGCGAAGTATTAATTACGGGTCGACCTTCTTTAATCTTGATTGTAGGTTGATTCTAATTTTAGAAAGCTGCGCCGAGAAACAAAAATAACCACAAGAAAAGTTCCTGTGCAGCCGTCGGTCGAAAGAACGGCAAAGTTTGAGTTATAACTCCTGGTTGCAACGCCGCTAACTAAAGAGCAACGTCACTTTGTGGGCTTTTATAATACTTGTGGGTGGTTATTTTTGCAGTTCATAATCTTAAAAATGAAAGACGTTTGCAATTCTCCGTAATGCCGAATTAGAGCGCAGCTCTTGAGGAGGAGGGGAGGGTACAGAGAGAAGAGTATGCCCCTCCTCCGCCGTGCCCCTTCCCCCTCCTCCTCATCCTCCCTCTACCTCATGACGTTACTCGTGAAGGCCTCGTGACGTCACGTTTGACGTCATTATGGGAAACGTCCCATAATGCAACGCGCGGTTGCGAGTGACGCCACTCGTGACCCTCGTGACGTCACGTGTGACGCCATTATGGGAAACGTTCCATAATGCAATGCGCGGTTACGCCGACGGCGACGCCGCTCAAGCCGGAGACGGGCGCCTAAGAGCTGGGCTCTAAAACTTGGGGGACGCATTTTTATCGATGTATAGCGGATACGCTACTTTTTGCTGGCATTTCACAGATATTATATTTACATGCTAAATAAGCTACCGAGTGTAGAAGGGGGAAGGAGAGAGGCTTTATCCCAACTAAAAACCTTTTTTTTTTATACCCATTGTAAATGGGACCTACTCTGACCAGAACCTTGCCGACGGAGGACGAGAACCCTATTACCGCACGTCTAACCGCCAGTGCCGATGCTGTAAGGCTAGAGCAACATTGACATGGCAAAATAAAGTCGTTAAACAAAATCTAGAAAGAAGGCTCTGGGTTTCGTTTGCGCCCTATCTGTTCTTCTTACTAAAGGTAATAAGTAATGTGCTCCAGTATCAAAGAGGAACCCTCAATAATTATAATTGATTAACATTAAGTTATTTGGCGACGCAATCCCCTTTTCATTTGATGTGCTAACAGATGCTTGGCACCTGCTCCAGAAAGGTCAGTGGCTGCTTCAAGTCCAAACTAATGCTACAGAACCTGGTACAGAACCTGGTACAAAAGACCAAATGCCACTTCCATCACTGCTATTGGTTTAAGTTTATGTTGCCCGTCGTTTGTCACCCCAATACAGGCATCACACTTTGTGAGGTCACCGTTTATAAATATAGCTTGACTTAATTTAGATTAAAGGTGTACACTCTCCGGCAATATGAAAGACCCACTGGGAGCGCGTGGCCGAGGCGGTGGCTGGCGAGGGCACTGCGAGCGCTCCGGGCAGTTCCATTCTGCTTCGAGGGGAGGACGCTCACTCGGGGCTCAGCGGAAACGCAGAAACTGATAAGCGCGCGCTTTAGCTGAGCCCCGAGTTAGCGTCCTCCCCTCGAAGCAGAATGGAACTGCCCGGAGGGCTCGCAGCGCCCCCGCCAGCCACCGCCTCGGCCACGCGCTCCCAGTGGGTCTTTCATATTGCCGGAGACTGTACAGGTGGAAGCTTGGGAACATCCTTCAGCTGGGTTTTCATTTAAGCATGGCGCAGCCGTTGTGTGTTGGGATTTTTGGCCACTTTGAGCGCAGCTCTTAGGCACCCGTTTTCGGGTTGAGCGGCGTCGACGTTGGCGTCGGCGTAAACGCGCGTTGCATTTTGGGACGTTTCCCATAATGACGTAACACATGACGTCACGTGTGACATCACTAGGGTAAAAATTTCCCGCTAACTCTTGTGGGAAAAGTTTTCGCTAAATTTGGCGGGAAATGCTTTCGCTAAATTTAGTGGAATGTTTCCCATAATAGGAAGCTTTCGTAGGTGATATTCGCCGTCCCGCAGCGCCCTCCGCAACCCGCTACGAGAACCCGGAACTCTACAGTCAACGTTACTAAAACCGCCAGTTGGGAAACTCAACCCTTGAAGCATGGGCCGCTGCCTTCCACCGAGACCGAGCTAAATACGATAACAGCGCCACCCTTTAGTGACGAGTTGAAGCATAAAAGTTTTACCATGGCCTCCGAGATCCCGAAGCGCGCGCGCGGTTTTCGGAGGCCATGGTTTTACATAGCTACTGCGAGATGGCCCTGCGAGATGGCGCCACCGGCCCTTGCCCGACTCGACGTGCAGCCGTGCAGTTCCCGGAGTGGACGCTGCGGGAGAAATGGCGGCGTTGCGATCGCCATTAGCTCGGTTCTGGAGTACGGATCAGAGCCACTTTTTTCAAGCAGGCCCTATGGCACTTTCCCAACTGAGGGGTTCTAGTAACGTTGTCTACAGTCAAGGCCATCGGCGCGCAGGCGCAGTAGCGGCTTCTTCGTTGCGGAGGGCTTAGTGGAGGGGGCAGTGCGGTCTACGAAAACTCCCTAATGACGTCACACGTGACGTCACGTATGTTTGACGCCACCAGGGTAAAATTTTCCCGCTAAAATTGGCGGGAAAAATTACCGGCTAAATTTAGCTGAAAAATTTCCCCGCTAAACTTAGCGCAAAAACTTCACAACTAATTTAGCGAAAAAAAATTCCCCGCTAAATTTAGCGGAAAATATTCACCGCTAAACTTAGCAAAAAAAAATTGTCCGCTATATTTAGCGGAGAAATTTTTCCTTAATGGGAGGGGTGCAGGAGAGGGGGAGCGTACCCTCCCCTAGTCCTCCTGAGCTGCGCTCCAATTCGGCATTACAGAGTATTGTAAACGTCTTTCTTTTTTTAATGCGCAAATCGGCCGGGCATGAATGTAATTTCGGCTTTTTCTTAGGATGCTTAGAGCTTGTAGATTTAATTATAAAAGAAAAAGATTTAAAAAAGTGCCCCTAGTTTTTTTTTTTTGAATAATGTGCATATCTGCCTGGCAAAGCCATTTTCCTCTCTTATAGAATGACAAGTAAAATTTTGTCATAAATAAACATATCTTTTATTTTTATGTAAAAATGTGTACAGTCATATGTGTGATGTAGTACACTTGTGAGACTCGTAAAACAAACCAATATGACAACCGTTTCTGCAACGGTGGCGGCAGTATTGAGTTGAGACACAGCAAGAGAAAGAGATGCCTTCACGCTATGTACATGGTGCAGGATTTTTTTTCTAATTTCCTCTGTATTTCAATTTATTCTGCTTCCGGTCGCCACATGCGCCTCTCTTGCTTCATACAAATCAGATCTTGTTCGTCTCTTTCCTCCGCGCTCTGTCGAATTCGACAATGTATCTATTCTTGCACGATATCTTTGCAGCAGTGAGCTGCGATCATGTCGGCGGAGGAGCGGCGTGACTTGTACATTTACCGCCGAGCGCCTGCAGTTATTATCTTTGGTATTAAAAAACAAACAGTGTGCAGTAGTTGTGTCTTTGATGAGATACGATGTCCCAGAGAACACTCACACGCAACAAAACAACTTCAAATGAACGCGACAATGACGATGAAAGGTGGAAGAAAACGCTGGAGTTCAAAAAATGCTATGTACAATCTAAACTTGTTCTTCAAGGCAACCACTTTGAATAAAAATGAACAAACAAAAACATTCGAGACAGTGATGAATATTGCACACTAGCCACTTTGCTGTATAATCTGCACCCCTCGCAATTCATTTTTTTTTTCGACAGACAATTTTTGACGGTCAAAGAGTGGCAATTGATTGCTCTTTGGTTGCGCGGGGACCCGAGATGCGTAGCAGTGTGAAACGCGACTGGACATGGATGAAGTGACACAGCCTTTTTGGTGGGTCTCCGGAGTGACCTGAAGAGAGGGGATGGGTCCGCCCACTCGGGGGTTGCACAGACGATGGGAGGATAAAAAAGGTCCAATAAAACCTGCATCTTTTTTTTTTTTTTTCTTCTCGTAACTATGGTTCGACGAGCGTAACATCAGCGTGAAATTCTTTATACAGTTGTAGACGCGCGAAGGAATGTCGTGGCCTCTGTGCTCCAGGAAAGAAAAATGACCGCCAGTATAGAAAAACGAAAGCCTCGTCGTGACACATTCTCTACGGCTAAGATCTGCCTCTCCTACTGTTTCCTCCTCTTTGCTGAAAATGGGACGGCACATTGCAAACGTTTTCCTGATGCTCGTTAAAACTAGACACGAACGGTGCTGATGTATGGGGGCATTTCGGTTGTGCTGCGACAACAAAATTGCAGACAGACTTCGCTACGAGGTGTGTGTGTGGGTGTGACCATGAACAGAACAATCACTAGTGCTAGTGCAAAGATGACCTGCTGCTGACTAGAGAAGTTTCTCGCTGGAGGGCTAGAAAAGCGCGTTTCCAAAGACACCTGCGGGAACAGCAGCCACGCTAAAGTACACAGAAAGCGGTCCAAATTACAAGCAACGAAAACAAAAAAAAAAAAGAAGTGCGACTCGCTCTAGGACCAGCAGTCCTCGCTGCGTGAACAACGAGGACTAATTCCGCCTCCGATGGTACTAACTTGACTAGCCGTATCAGCAAAGGCTACCAGTGACTAGCGAATTGCTAAAACAGTGACCCAGTTCCATGCTTATAAAGCAGATGGCTCGCTCGTTTAGAAGAGGAGTCAGTTTGACTGTTCCAAGTCAAATCGCCCGTGTCCCGAAACCTTTTCTCGCGTCCGACAAACGCTGGTCGCTTTTGATCGAGTTCAGCCAGACACACACACGCACGCTCACACATATACAAGAACACTAGCTGGAGACGCGGGACGCCCACCACAGAAGACACTCATCGACTTGTCCATTGCATCGTGTCCGCGGGGGGGCACGTCACCTGTGTCTTTCGTCTCGGGGCACACAACAAGAGCGACGCGACGCAGATAGTCCACACTAGACCTGGGTGATGTTCCTCGTGACACCGCCCCCGGTCTTGTCCAAGGAGTGCTGCGAGGACGAGTAGACGGCGTTGTAGCTGGGGGCCACGGTCTCCTGACTCGGACCCCGGTGTTTGGGCCTGGGGGCCGTCACGCCGCCGTAGTCGCTCTTGGAGTAGAGCGACGGCGTCGAGGAGTTGAGGGACACGCCGTCTTCGACCATCATGATGGGTGGCGGCTCGTGCCTCTGCTTGGCCTGCTGCACCTTGTTGTAGTGGTCCAGGAGCACGCTGGCGGGCCACGAGTTGACGGGGCTGATGGAGCTGTCCAGTCTTCCTGGCGGAGTCTGTTTGGAGTCCTCGTCCGCGATCGGCGTCACCTGGGGCGGCAGGTCGTCGCGCGGAATCTTGGCCGGAAGTGGCGGCGGCTGCTGCGCGTTCCCGTTTTCCGCGGACTTCTTGGGCGGCGGTGCTTTTCGGCGTCGGGCCATCAGGAGGATGATGACGATGATGCCCACCAAGAGTACCGCCAGCGGGACGGCGATGATAAGTGCGAGCTGCGCTGCGTTCAACTTGTCCCGGCTGCTTCGCGTGCCGCTGGAGTGTTCCTGAGTTCCGGCGGTTCCGCCGCTGCCCCATGATGAAGACGGCTGCGTAGAGGTTGACGTGGTCGTGGGCGGTGGGATCACGACCACCTCGACCACATTGGAGACCGGACCGGCATTTCCCTCGTCGTCGACGGCTCGGATGGCGAAGTAGAGCGGGCTCTGGTTGCTCTTGAGACGTACCGTGGCCGTCTGAGTGGTGCCGAAGGGCCGCGGAGGTTCGTAGAAAGGTCCGTCGACGTCCCACTGGCTAACCTGCTGGCCATGACTCGAGAAGCGCTGTCGCGCGTTCAGCTTGTCCTTGAAGCTCTTCAACTCGTACCGACTCGCTGAGGAGGAATAGGACAGAAGACTACGTCAGAAATACATTTCTTGCCTATAACGCCTGTTACGAAATTAGGATTTCCAATTCTCACATGGTGCATAACGGGTTTAATAGAGTTTTTAAGTATCATAAAAAAAAAATAAGGAAAATGAGGAAACTGGAAAGGACATTTAACATGCTATAAAGTGATACCTCTTCCTTTTTCTTCTTGTTCTCTACCTCTAGATGTCATTTTTTTTTCTTTTTCCGGGACACAAGAACAGTCTTCGTTCTTTCTGAGCCTTCGTCGAATCCGCCGGTTATTTGAAGGCCACGAAATAACTAATTCGGATAAAATCGTCTGGTTTCCGTGTTTTCGGATCAATCCGATAAACTCCGAAAAACACCTCGCCGGTAAATTTTCGACAATTCGGCTGTATCCTAAAAACTCCACATTTCAAGGTCTCAATGGCAAAATAAAAGCCAGAAAAGGGTGCATTTTACGAACAAAGCTTGTGGGAGAACAGTGTTAGTGATCCTGAAAAAAGACCGATCCAATTTCATTTTTAATCTTATAGACTATTGACAAAAGCGAGTATCGCTTATCTCGTCAAGGTTCGTCCAGCGCAATGAGCCAATGTACTTCTGGACCACGACAAAAGCGATTGTTGCGGTTTCCCATTTGAACCATACTATTTGCACGTTTTAGAGGGAGGATAAGTTTTGTTTTTGTAAAAGTGAAAGATGTGAACCCGTAAATTTCATAAGGTGGAGAGGGAGGAAAGCTGAAGGTTTTATGCGACCAGGGGGTTAGGCTATTTCAAAGTACCGACGTTTCTTGAATAACGCTAGTTCAAGATTTGTCGCGGTACAGTACAGTTGGTAGTGCCAATTACAAGGGTGTCAGTGTCACATATGCAGCTACGGAAATATATTTTGATACCGGTGATTCTTCTGTTGTTTTTTTATTGTTTTTTTTGTGAATTTAGCGTACGTTTTTGTCCCGACATTATTTATTTGTATTAAAAAATAAAGACAGAGTAAAATTAATATTAATTGAAAACTAGCGTGTTGGTGAATAGATAGGAATACATGAAAGGATAAAACGTCGAGGGCGGGGATGGAAAAAGGACTTCTTTCAAAAAGGACTTTTTGAAAGAAGTCCTGTTTCCGTTCCTGGCCTCGACGTTTTATCCTTTCATGTATTTGTAGAGTAAAATTAAACTCCGTATTTCGGAGAATTGGGAGTCTAATAAAAATGAACTCCGATAAACCTCCAATTTCCCTTCCAAAATAAACTCCGAAACACACACTCCGAATACACAAAAAATAAACTCCAAAAACACGGAATCCTACATATAATGTATACACCAGAAAGAAAACAAAAAGTGATTAAAGTACAAAACCAGACTTTCTCACTATATATCATAGCAGTTCTTTTTGTGTTTGTCGAGGTTTCAATCGTCTCACTTCTCATCCAAGAGCGATCTTAATTGTGGAACCGATAGAGCGACAATGTCAGTACAAGCCACAAGAGATGGGCTTCACGCCGCCGCTGGCGAGCATTGCCCCGAAGGTATACGTTTCAGAGCTTTTATTATTTTTGCCTGTAATCTTTTAATGCTCTCTAATCCTTTCAAAGCGGGTGACTCAGGTCTGAAAGCAGTGCGCGTAGAATAGAAAGTGTCGGCATTCGACTGCTTCTAAAACTTGAAAATACATGGTTTCTTTCGGTTTTTTTGTTTTTTTGTTTTGTTTTGTTTCCGAACAATGGTTAAGCTTCGCGCTTACTAAAAGCGCGGATCTTGTCAAGTGACTTCAACACTTATTGCATTGAAGAACCAACCTTCGTTTATTTAAGATTTCAGATTTTTTATTTGCTGACCGACTGACTCGCATTCGGTGGTATTGAAATATATATTTTTTTCTTTCTCTTTTATGCTATCATAGCGTTTAGACAAATCTTTCATTAAGACGTTAGGACAGCGTGATCTCCATCGTATGCGTACGACACTCGCTGGAGGAACCTGCGTTGTTTCTGTTGTTTTACGTTTGTACCGGTCTAACGACGTACAATAAATCGAACGTTGGCTGCATTAAGCCTAGATAATACTTGGTCAGGGCACGGTGGAAGAGGTGTTTGAAGGGCGCTGCCTCACAATGAAACAAGTCTGTGGAAGGTTTGTTAGTATTTCTGCCAAACACTGAGATGCTCATTATGACTAGGGGCTCGAGGAACCGTCATCTTTTGTGCACACATCTTCGAGTCCGCGCGACCGCGCCATGCGCGAAGGACTTTATCCGACAGTGCCCCAGTCGAAAGGCGCACGAAGTCCGAGCGAAATTTTACCTTCTTGACTGGAATTGTTTAGACATATTTCTCTGCTTCCACCGTAGTCGGAGAGTTGTTTAAATACAAAAAAAAAGGCGTAATTTGCGCCAATGTGCCCGTGTCACAAACCGGGCGTCCCAACCTGAATTGGAGTTGTGAGACTGTTGTATAGAAGAGATGGAACTCACAACAGCGCAATATTTTTCTTTAGTACAGGTACAAAAAAAAAAAAAAGAAACAAATTACGATAAAAATTCCCGGAGAAGGGGAACAAAATACAGAAACAAATATCCAAGCAGAGCTAGGTGACTAGCTGTGTTTGGTAATAACACTGAAAATAAAAGTAGTGTGAAATCCCGAAAGTACGCCCACCTTCGAAAGATCGCCCACCTCATATTTTACACTTTCATCTCCACCGTGGGTGAGCGTCTACTGGAAACCTTAACGTAAACATATCTAAAGAGAAAAAAAAGATTCTCTCGATTTTTTTTGTTTGCAACCTGCCGGCAACCAACGCGCCTAAAAGGAGAAAGGGACGGGGGGAACAGGCGTCGGCGTACCTTGACCCTCGTCGAAGTCATCGCCTGGCGCTGTCCAGTTGAAGGTGACGGCCATCCGCAGGTTGTCCGTGGACACGACGCGGAGGTCCGTGATGCGGCTCGGCGGCAGCACGTCCTTGCTCGCCTTCTCCGTGGTCACGAAGAAGGAGCCGTAGTGGTCGGTGCGCGTGAACCGGTTCGTCTTCTGCGAGTAGCTGTCCGACACCCGGCTGCCGCAGCACGACGGGTACTCTGCGCCGCCGCCGGAGAACGCCAAGTGCGTCAGTCATCCATCGGTTATATACTAAGGTTCCGTGTTTTTGGTAAATATCGATAAAGCCCAAAAGCTAACCCCTGAGCCGGTTTTATCAAAACTGCAAAAAAAAAAAAAAAAAAAAAAAAAGCTTTCCTTAAAAAAAATTGTACAGTTGCGTTAAATTGTCCACGAGGCTACTTTATTCTTCGGAAACCAGGCCCCTTATCTCGTTTCTTTCTTTTATTGGTACCGGGACGTTTTCTCAAGTATTCTGAGCGGGGGCATGTTCTCTGGGGGTTAAGGGATTCCATGCCCGTATTCTGTCTCTTCAACATGAGGCCCCATAAACACCACTTTCTTATCCGACACTAAAAGTTGACACTCCAAAACACCGACTCTTTTGGGGAAAAATTGCAAACGACCACAAAGTGTGCTGCACTCGACAGCGCTAGCTGCTGCGTTGTGGAAAAGCATGGTGAAGGAAATTTGCCGTCACCCAGTGTACTGTACACTGTTTGCACTGCGTTCTTTGCTTTCAGTAGAATTGATATAGGAGACATGTGTGAGATGTGAGCTTTGGTAGAACGATTGTGCGAGAAGTTGCGGATGTTAAAAAAAAACACAAAAAAACACAGACGTGTTTTTTTTTTTTTTGGGGGGGGGGGGGGGGGGGGTTTAGAACGGGGGTGGCCGGGACCGTGGAGAACGGAACCCGGGTGGCGGCACTGGGGAGGCGAGGGAGCGTGTGAGCACAGCGCGATCGCGTGGGTATTTCGCGTGGGTATTTGACGACGTCGGCAGCCGGAGGGGTGGGGAGGGGGGACGGCGTCGCGGGACGGTACGTGGATGCAGCAGGAACGGTGGGGAGGCGAAGAAACCGTGGCGGCCTACAGTGAGGAAGGGGAGCGAGGGAGAGCCTTTCCCGTTTGAGGAACGACGGGAAGAGGGAGAGTAGTGTGGTTTTGCGTTCGTACATGATCATGCTTTTCCCGGAAGATGCATTAACAGCTATCGCTGTAAAATAAACTCCGAAAAAAAAATAACACCATTGAAAGAAAAATAAACCCCGAAAACACAGAACCCTAGTTATTGCAAGTTGCATGTCAACATGGTGTTTAAACAAGTCGTAGGAACCAGATTCGCGGGACGTGTCTTCACACGCGCCGTGCCGCATCAGCACGTCAGCCCACTGGAGCGACGGGCACTGCGCAGGCGCAGATGCTTGAAAGAGCGAAACGTTTGCGCATGCTTTGTTGTTCATCGAGCGCCACCGCCTTGGCGTGACGCCGCTCGCGTGAAGGCCGGCGTCGTCAAAAGGCACAAAAGCTGGGTCAAGACGGAACATTAGACGCCCGATGGTCTGTCGCTTGCGCCATGAAGCCGAGTGACGTTGGCGAGCGAGCACACATCTCTTTGTGTATTTTGGTTCCTTTTTGTCCACGTTAGTTATAACCGTTCTAAGTGATGATAACGCACGCACGCACGCACGCACGCACATATACCGATTTTTTTTGCGACAGAAAAGTGTGATGTTTAACGCGCATCCATTATTATAACAGCTTTTTACAAACACCAATAATAACGATGCTTCCGCGTTGTCGTGCCAGCATCTTTTACAGACACCTTTCGTTCTCTGTATTGCAAACAAACGTGAGTTAGAAAGCAATTGATCTTTTTAACTCCGATGATGATGACTATGAGGAGATTAGTGGCACAGCAGCAATGAAGCTGCGCCAACCTAACTAAAACTCCGAACGAACAGAATATTCTACACAAGCACTTCTGCTCTGTCAGATGGCGGCTTCACGCAGCGCTGTAGCACGCGCGGAGAAGCCCCTCTAAAAAAATAACCATACAATAATTCCATACTAAAAAAAAAAAGTTTTTTGGATGTGAATTTAATGCCCCCAATCCAATTCTTATATATATATATATATAATATAGCTTTTGTATGCGAAGTTCAGCTATAACGAAATACAGATAGAGGGGAGCGATTTCCAGTTCCCCGTCGGCTAGCTCTTTATAAGCGCCCCGTATCTCGCTCTAACGACACTATGGAGGACCCACGCGGGACGTGACCGAGGCACGACTCACCGGCCCCCTCGGGAAATCTGCTCTCGAAGTCTCCGTCCGAGGCGCCGATGATGACGGCCGAGACGTCGTTGTCGTTGGCCACCACGGTCAGGTCGTAGCGACCCGTGCCCGTGAAGTCGGTGAAGTATCGGCAGTAGACGCCGTCGTTCTCCGTCAGGTCAGGGTCTGAAACGGAGGGCGAAGAGGAGGAGCTTGATCAGCTTTGTACATCGTATAACTTGTGCGAGGGAATGTCGGGGAGAAAGCCCTTCATCAGATGGCGGTACCTTGCTGTAACTTAAAATTCCACTCGCTTGTTGGCGCGATACGTAGCCCAATACAACATACACAGCCAGTCACCTAGCTGTGCTTGGAGATTTGCGTTTGTCCTTTGTCCCTACTGTTCCCTTTTTTCAGGGATTGTTTTCGTCATTCTTGTCCAGCTGGCTTGCACCTTTGCATTTAATTGCCTTGCTGGTGTTAGACTGTTGGCAGCCGATAAAACCCGTTTGTTCTACTAACGTCTAACCCCCCCTTAGCTCAGTTGGTAGAGCGCTCCACTGGAAATGGAGAGGTCCCGGGATCGATACCGAGACCCGGCGGATTTTTTCGGTCTCGTATCAGCGTAACAACTTGACGATGCATGGATTGTACGTAAACTGGGTTCGAACACCACGTGGCCAACCCTAACCGAAAGCGAAACCGGGAACATCGGTCGACAAAGCTGAACTTCATACCGTACGCACAGACGAACACGCGGTTCTGACGCTGCAGTTCTGACGTTCTAACGCTGCTGCTTGCTTCTAAACAGTGCGTTCTTGCGTATAAAACACAAAGGGCGATTAGTAAGTTTTGCCTCCTAGGCTGTAACTTTTTTAATTCAGTAATAGAATTTGGAGATGTTACATTCGAATTATATTTGTTGAATCTTCTCTTTCCCGGGAGCACACAACTTCTCAACATAGTCCCCACCGGCGGCGATGCACTTCCGGTGCACGACTATCCGGATGCCGTAGTAGATAATAGACGGTGTCTGCTGACGAGACCAACTCCGTGCAGGAGGAGCTGTAATTCCAAGATGTTCTACCCGATTCACCTTACAGCCCGGACGTCGCTCCGGGCTTTCGGCTGTTTCCCGAGATAAAGGAACATCTGAAGGGTACAAAGTTTGCGTCCGACGACGAGGTTGCCGATGCAGTGCGACGTTATACAGCCGGCAGTTAGTCAGCCTCAATGGGCATCTGGTGTGTCAGCTGACGATGAGCAATTTAGCCAGTGCGGTACAACCGCCAGCCTGGGGTTTTTAACGTGCACCACGCAGTAGTGACAAGCGGCCGCACGCCGGTACGATGCTGATCCAGATCGAAACGGGCGAGGGACTGAACCCAGGATCCGTGGGTTCTGCAGCGGCGGGACGCCAAAGTCGCGTGTTCGTGTATGGATAGTACGAACCTCCCGCGCCGTTGTCGATGAGGTGTACGCGGGACACGATGTCGGTGTCGGGACGGCGGACAAAAGCTGTCACCAGGGCCTTGGCCACCGGGTGGGAGCCCTTCTTGAGTTCCGCGTAGATGATGAACTTCTCCGACGAGTTCACCTGCGAATGAAAATTCGCGCATGTAGACCAGGGGTATCCAAACTTTATGGCTAGAAGGCCGGATTAGGTCTCTGTCGCAGTCTCGAGGGCCAGAAAATAAACATATATATATATATATATATATATAACCTAAATAAATAGACCTATAATACGGATTTAAATATAGGGAATCAAAGTGGAAACAAATTAAGAGAAATAAATACAAGGTGTATCGATAGAAAACCTACACGAGAATAACAAACTTGCGAGTAGTGCAGTTCAATATATAGCATATTTTTGCATTATGCACTAATGGACACTTTTCGAAATGATGCATAGATCATGTGCGCCCGCCATTAGTTGGTCATGTACTATAAACCCGCATTGGACTCGAGCGCTTCGTCAGCATTCGGAGTGTACTCGTGTCGAAAGGCATTCCACACGAGTGCTGTCTTAGAGCTCGGCGCGAACAACCAATCACAGGCTTCACGCCGGAAGCGACGAGAGCAACTAATGGCGGCTTCTACACATTATTTCAGTTTCGGAAAGGGTCTTTTGTAGCCCAGAAAACTCACCGGGCATAAATAAAAGCGCGCACGAACGTTGCCATATTCGCAGAGGGCGGAAGAGTAATTAGAATGGTTCGACTGATGATGGCAAATCGCGATACTTACGACACAGTACACTAGGTATGTTGTACATGATTGATTGATTGATTGATTGGGGTTTAATGGCGCAGCAGCGACCAAGGCTATAATGCGCCAACAACTAGGACTATTGCTGAATCAAGGTTGAAGAGAAGAAAGAGCTATAGTAGCTTGTAATTTAATAAAACAATGATCATGAAAGTACAAGCGCATAAGATGTGGCAATGAATACGATGAACTATTAAAATTATAGCTGGTCCAGGAGTCTTATATCCTTAAGAAAGTTGAAAACACACTTGTGTGGAATCAACGGCTCATCACTGAGTAAAAGGGCGAGATGTAATGGTGTATGCTCTTGGTAAACCTTAGCAAAGTGTCTGTGGCGTTCTTGGTCATACAAAGGGCATACAAGTAAGATATGTAGGATGCTTAACGGAATGTAGCAGTGTTCACACTCCGGAGCATCCTCCCCACGCAAAAGATGCCCATGGGTTAGACGGGTATGACCAATTCGCAGTCGGCACAAAACCACCTCATAAAAACGCTCGCGGTGACGTGCACTCCCCCATTCCTGAAGTAGTGGTTTTACTGCGCGCAACTTATTGTTTATTTCTCGGTCCCATTCCTCTTGCCACTTGCGTCTTATGGAAAATTTCAGAACATGCCTATAGTCTCTGTAAGGTATTTTCCACAGGTCGACTTCTCGATCCTTAGCAGTACTTGCTGCTCTGTCAGCATCCTCATTTCCGGCAATTCCGACATGTGAAGGAACCCAGCATAGTATTATTTTCTTTTTCCGTTTTGCGGCTGAAATTAGCCTGTTCCTTATTTCTATTACGAGTGGATTGCGATCATTTCCCACTCTGGCAAGAGCTCGTAAAGCACTAAGTGAGTCGGTGTAAACAATTGACTTGTGAAGCTTTTGTTTAAGGATCTTATCTGTGGCGAGGAGTAAGCCATAGAGCTCTGCCGTAAAACTACAGGCACTGTCATTTATTCTCCGGACAAGCTGCATCCCAGGCCCGATCACTGCGCAACCCACAGAGGAATCAGTTTTACTACCATCAGTGTAAAAGCTTATAAAGTCGTGATACTGTACTTGGAGCTCAAGGAATTCTTGTCTCAGGACTTCGCGAGGAGTGTCCTTTTTGTTGAATTTCATTAGCTCCAGTTCGCACTGAATGGGAACTAGGTCCCAAGGGGCTGCCGAACTCAAACACTGTACAACTGGAGGCAACACGTCCAGTCCTACAGACTCCGCAGAATTGCGAACCCTCATAGCAAGAGGTGGAACAACTGAAGGCTTGTTACTGAAGGTTCGCTCGTAGCGTATTCGTTCCATACAGTGTAAGGTTGGATGGTTAGGAACCGATCTAATTCGCATAAAATATGTGAAGCCCAGTTCAGATCTTCTTTTCTCTAGAGAGAGCTCGTTTGCTTCTGCGTATAGACTAAGAACAGGAGATGTGCGAAAAGCACCGGTAGCAAGCCGCAACCCCTGATGATGAACAGGGTCCAGCATTTTGAGAACCGATGTCCGGGCAGAACCATACACAATACAACCGTAATCAAGGCGGGATCGAACGACCGACCGATAGATAGATACGCAAGAGACAAAGACGGTCAGCACCCCAGGACACATGCGACAGGACCTTAAGTATATTAAGCGATTTAAAACATTTCATCTTCAGGCTCTTGACATGCGGAACAAAAGTCAATTTGGAATCAAATATAAGACCTAAAAACTTGTGTTCAGTTTTCACTGGGATAGGAACATCATACATAGTCAAAGAAGGTTCGTGCAAAACTCCGCGGCGACGTGAGAAACTCACACAGACGGTCTTCTCAGGAGAAAATTTAAAACCGTTGACATCAGCCCATTTGACCAAGTTGTTGATTGTGAGCTGGAGCCGACGTTCACATATGGATGGATTACAAGACGATACAGAAATCTGCAGATCATCGACGTACAGTGAGTAATGAACAGATGGAGCTATTGCGCGGACAATCGAGTTCATCTTCACAATAAAAAGAGTAACGCTAAGTACACCACCTTGAGGTACTCCATTTTGCTGCGAAAATTCTCTAGAAAAAGTTGTCCCAAGCTTCACGCGAAAAGTCCGGTTTTGAAGATAACTCTGAATGCCACTTAACATTCGGCCCTGTACACCTAAGCTGAACAGATCCTGCAGTATGCCATGGCGCCAGGTTGTATCAAATGCCTTTTCCAGGTCAAAAAAGACAGAGACACAATGCTGCTTATTTACAAATGCCTCTCGCACAACAGTCTCAAAACGAACTAGGTGGTCGACCGTGGATCGTCCTGAACGAAAGCCACATTGGTACCTGTCAAGAAGATTATTACTCTCCAAATAAAACATCAGCCTTCTGTTGATCATCCTTTCTAATGTCTTCGAAAGACAGCTAGTTAGTGCTATAGGCCTGAAGCTGGAGGCACAGGCAGGATCTTTTCCTGGCTTTAAAAGGGGGATAATAACGGCAGCCTTCCAGGACAATGGGAAAAGACCCTCGACCCAAACTCGGTTGAAAAGATACAAGATGAGCTCTAGAGTAGATGGATGAAGGTGCTGAAGCATTTGATAGTGGATACCGTCCGGTCCAGGGGCAGTCTGTCCGGACGAATCGAGAGCCATCTGCAGTTCGTGCAGCATGAAAAGAGAGTTATAAGGCTCTTGCAAACCACCGGTCGTAGGCACAATCTTTTTTTCTGCATGTAGCTTATGCCGCCTAAATGATTGCGTATAGTGTTCGGAACTAGAAACAAATTCGAAGTGCTCACCAAGAATGTCAGCCTGTTCGTCAAGGCTTGCAGGACATATTCCATTCCGGCACAAGAGTGGGACAGAGAAAGCGCCGTAGGAACCCTGAATTTTATGCACGCGGTCCCAAACTTCCTTTATAGATGCACTGCTATTGATTGAAGAGGCATATCCTCTAAAGCTTTGCCGCTTGGCTCGTCTTCGAATAAACCTTGCCTGGGCCCTTTTTCTTTTAAAACCAATCAGATTACTTGAAGTAGGGTAACGCCTAAAGATACCCCATGCACGATTCTGTTCCTTTTTTGCCTGGCGGCAGTCTTTATTCCACCACGCCTTCGGCCTTTTTGGGAGATGCGAGGACGTCATGGGAATGGCGATGATTGCGGCCTGTAATATGTGTCGAGTGATATGCAGAGTGACATCATCGATGGAAAGATCATCAAGTGATGAACAAGCTAAAACTGAAGAGCTGCTAAAAGTTGCCCAGTCAGCCCTCTCAAACTTCCAACGAGGGGTACGCGTTTGAAGACCAGCAGGAGGACTGTTAAACTCTAAAATAATTGGAAAATGGTCACTTCCATATGGGTTTGGGATGACCCTCCATGAAAACAGCGAGTATAGTGAAGGATGGCAGATAGAAAGGTCGATGGAAGTAAAAGTCCTGGTTGCTGAACTAAAGTGTGTGGCTTCTTTAGTGTTAAGTAAGCACAGTCCCGTGGAAAGAAGAAAACGTTCAACAAGTGCTCCTCTAGCATCCCGTTTACCACTCCCCCACAATGGGTTGTGTGCATTAAAATCGCCTAAAATTAAGTATGGAGCCGGGAGCTGACTAACAAGATCCTCTAGCTCTTCGTACTGCAGCTGGTATCCCGGTGATATGTACACTGAACAAACAGTAATCACCCGGTCTAGCAGTATTCGGGCAGCCACAGCCTCGAGAGTGGTGTAGAGAGCCACTTCGGCAGATGGGGTTGTGCGCTGGGCAACTACAGCAACACCACCAGACGCCACAGAGGAGTGCAACCTATCTTGTCTAAACACTTGATAATGGCGGAGTACATTTGACCTAGTTTCTTTAAGATGCGTCTCCTGCAGACAGAAGGCAGCAGGGCGGTGTTCGTCTAATAAAAAAGTGACATCATCATAATTACAAAAAAGCCCACGACAGTTCCACTGTAAAAACAGAGACATGGTGAAGATTAAAACTGGAAATTAAAATTAAAATTATAACTGGCCTTTAGGACACCGCAAGATAACTAAGTGGACACTTGCTTATGATTCATTTCTAAAGGGACTACGGTCCCTTTGGGGGCAAAATTCTAGGAAGTTTATTTTTCTTTTTCTTTTCTACGACCTGAAAAGGTACTGATGACTCAGCACCTGAAGGGACCAGGTCGTCGTCAGAGGGTGGCATGCTCTCATCCATCATTTCATCTACTGACTGCTGGCTTGCGGTCGAGTATGCCTCGTCCAGCTGGCCAGGCTTTCGAGAGCTGGTCGAGGCGGGAGTGGGCAAAGCCCTGCCTCGGCCTGAAGAGCGAGCAGACGACGAGGGTGTCCGCTCCAGCTCCTTAGAGGAGGTGGTCTGCGACGGACCCTCTTTAAGGACTGAGGGTGGTGCGAGAGGCACCACCCCTGATGCCTTTGGAGGGGATACCTCCTTTGGTGCCATGGTGTCCATTGCCTCCTTTAAGAGAGGCGCGGCAGCACCATTCAGGCACCGTGAACCTTTTGGCTCCAACGACAAACGTGGTCGTGGAGCCGACCTTGGGGGGGCAGGGGGTGTCGGCGGGACTGCCAGGTCTTTGGGACAGACCTGGGTTCCCACCGAGGTTTTCGGTGACACGCCCCCTGTGCGTGTTACCGTAGCAAAGGATCCTTTCTGTAGAAAAGAAAGTCGCTTCCTGGCCTCAGGAAACGAGATGTTTTCTTTTACTTTGAGGGTAATTACTTCCTTCTCTTCTTTCCATTTTTTACAAGAACGGGAGTAAGCGGCGTGTGGTTCGCCGCAGTTGACGCAGTGTGGTGGGTTTGCGCAGTTGTCCGACGGGTGATCGTTCTGACCGCACTTGGCGCACGTGGTCTTGCCCCTGCAGCTCTGGGCACTATGGCCGAACCTCTGGCAATGGAAACATCTCCTGGGGTTCGGCACATATGGCCGTACTCTACAGTTCAAGTACCCAGCCTTGATTGACTCGGGAACTTTGCTCAACTCGAAAGTCAAAATAACATGTTTTGTTTTGATCTCTTGCCCCTCTCGACGAAGGGAGATTCGCTTTGCAGCGACAACTCCTTGGTCACTGAGGCCATTTACGAGTTCATCTTCTGTACTTTCGAGGAGGTCATCTTCAGAAATCACACCTTTTACTGTGTTCAATGTACGGTGGGGAGTGACTGTCACTTTATAGTCAGAAACTGAATTTAGTGATAGGAGTGCTGTGCTCTGTTCACTGGTTTTAATTTCAACGAGCAGATCTCCGGATGTCATTTTTTTGGCAGAGAAGTTCTTTCCAACAATGGACTCAAGTGTTTTGGAAACAAGGAATGGTGACATTTTCGCCAAAGGTTTCTCACTCTCAGAGTGCATCACAAGGAATCTTGAAAATTTTTCTGCAGATCTAGTAGTATTAATCGCATGTACTTCGGTGCGGCCCCTTTTGGGGGGCCGATCAAGAAAGGTTTTTTGTTTAGTACCCATAGAGATGGGAGAGAATTTCGGTGCCCCGGGTGCACCACCCACCACGGAGCCCAACACGGGGGTAGGCAATGTGCCATAACAAATATGGCTTTGCTGACAACATTACACTACCAGTGCTGCCCAGGCACTATAACCTAGTGTGGATCCGGACAAGGGGTCTATCGCCACCCAAGGTTAGCCCTTGCCGCCAAAGAAGGTGAAAAGGAATAAAAGAAGAGCAGAGAAAAGAGAAAGATAAGAGGGGATAGTAGAAGATGTGGCGACTGACTGAATCATCCTGGTCGGGCCAAGCCAGGACACCCGTCTATAGGAAGCAGGGGCCAAAGTGGTGTGTTGCCTCGCCCGGGGGGCCCCGAAGGGTCCAAACCTACCCCGGGCTCAGCTCAACCACCAGGATGCCCTTTTCCCTGGACACGGGCTCGCCACGCACAGCCAGACGTGGGTGGGTCTTAGCCACTTTTACTCAGGGTCTGTGGTGTCGCCAAAGTGGCTGGGGTCCGTGGTGACGCTACTCACCAAGCACCTAGCACCTAAGGTGCAGGCGCCCCCTGCGGAGCTCGGGGTCCGTGGAGACGCCACTCTCCAAACACCTGCTTTCACAGGTGCCCCCTGCGGGGATGTTGTACATGAGAAGGCAAAATAATTTTAACGTCGTTACAAAGACACAAAACGGTGGACCAGGAGTGGAGATGCCGGTGATGACAATGCGCCAGAAATATGACACGCAGCTACCAGAGGGATAAGAGCCAGAAAGGATACAAAGCGTTTGGTGAGCGGCGCGGCGCTGTTTTTTTACACGCGCTTATTTTTGCGCCAGCGGGCCTACTGGAAACAAGCCGTGGGCCGGGCGTCGCTGCAAGAACGACAGCCAGCCCCGGGCCGGTGGGAAGGCCCGCGGAGGCCTACATCAGGTCTACATCAGGGGAAATAACCCCCCTGATGTAGACCATTCCAACAAACGCCCTCCGCGCGATGCCATCTTCGTCTAGATGGCTGTGGATCACCTTCTGAACGCGGGATATCATACGCCGTGCATGCGCCCACTGCCCAATGACTCGGCACTTTTCGCCTGGAAGACAAGCGCATGGAAAAGTACACTGGCACGGAAGAATGCGCAGCGCTGCAGTCACCGTCATCGATAGCTTCAGACATGCACAGCGTGGCCAGCTCCTATACTCTTTCAGTTGTCATTGCAGGATGCACTGCTACGCGCGTCGTATCGGCGCTCCATTCCCGGATTTTCTTGTGGGCGACGCCGTTTCGGTGTCCAGAGGGGGCGCAATAGACCCCCTGCAAAACCACGCGCCATCTATATATAGTAGCTGCAGCGCCAATTATCCGAATCGCTTCTTTTTTTTTTTTCAACGATCGCCAGTTGCTTTCGGTCTGCACGAAGCACCAAAATGGCGGCGCCCACAAGAATATCGGGGAATGGGGTACCGCGGTACTCGCTCATTTAGCGGATGTTTTCACATCCAGTCACAGCTCGGCTTGCCTAAGAACATGCACGAGCACACGCGCAATCCCCACGCGCGCGATATTAGAGCCTCGACGAGCCCATTTCTGCTAAAGTACGGGCCGAGGTCACGAGATACACACGTACTGATTTACACCGTCCGTCCGCGGCGCCCCATCGATCCTGATTTTAGCAGTGCGCAGAAATGCGGCGGACGGCGTGCGCACTTCCAATTTTTATGAGGCCATTTATTGCGCTTTCTTGCTCGGAGGGAAACGTATCGCCGACTCGCCGATGATTAAGCTCGCGGAAGAGCCTCTTCGAAACTTTGCTCGGAACGCACACACGTAAAAGATGCAAGCATATTCCCCAGTGCTCATCGTTCCCTAGGGCGTCAACGCCGCGAGAACACCGATGTGAAGCAAGATTGGAGCGTAATTATAATAGTAATAATAATAATAATAGTAATAATAATAATAATAACGAAGGAACGCTCACACACAAAAAAAAAGCAAAAACGAAAAACCATCAACACCAACCAAGATAATTGTCGATACTCAGATACCGCTGCCATAGATGTGAAATGACCAGAGATTAAAGGAAACATCATTTAGGCATGGGTGGGCAACAGGCGCGTAGCCAGGATTTTGTTGCGGGGAGGAGGGGCGGGGCGGGGGGGGGGGGGGGGGCGCTTATGGGAAAATGCTGTATGACGGGGAGAGGAGGTCCCAGCAAACTGGAAGATTTCAGGGGGGGAAAGCCCGGGACCTATGCCCCCCCCCCCCCCCCCCCCCCCTCCCTGGCTACGTGCCTGGTGGGCATGCCTACCAAAGTCATGCCTAACGTGTAGTTATCGGAGTTAAGCTGGAGTTTAGTCGGCGTTGATTTAGCGAAAAGGTGGCGTAATTCGGCGTAAAAGTGGGGGGGGGGGGGGGGGGAAGGCAGTGTTGTATGCGTTAGCGAAGCAAAGTAGCGAAGTGCGTTACTCGTTACTTGCAAATAAAAGTAAAATGCTACCGACTTACGTTACCTAAAAAAAATAAAATAAACGCTGTACCGTTACCGGTAAAACGTAACAGACGTTACTTTTTAAATTATGAATTAACATGTTTTACCCTCCGACATTACAGGTATGCGTGAGCGGCATACCTCAAGAAACATTATGTCCATGCAGAAACTGAACATAAATAGTATAGAGGTTTTTTTTGCGCGACACAGGGGACAATTACAAGCGAGTAGACACGGACAAGCGCAAAAAAACCTCTATACTGCATCATGAACCAACTAGGCCAACAACAAGTTTTAAATGAGCATAATTACCTTAGGTTTTTTAGGGTTCCACCTAAATATTCGCAAGAAAAGATTGAAGCATAATTTATTTAAGTCTTGAGAAGAATATGTAACGAATAACGTAACTACGTTGGCCATTACCATTTTGAAAATGTAACGAGTAGGTGACTACGTTACCGAAGAAAAAAGTGACGTGTTACCGGTAACGCCGTTACTTTAACGCGTTACCGGCAACACTGGGTAGGGGTAAAGTTGGGGTAAATAAAGGCTATTTTGATGTATTTTGTTCTAATTCAGTGTTAGGCTTCTCCCCGCTCCCCTTGACTGGCGTCGATTTCCCCCATGATTGGAGCAAGGTCGCTATAAACTTACGCCATAAAAGTGATCGCGGTGAGATGTCGCAAAAATTACTCCAGAAACAACATCGCACTCGAAACCTGAGTGCAAGTTCGCACCAAAAATGAAGGATCTCAGCACCGGGGACAGTAGATCGCGGGGCAGCACTTACGCCGATGCCCATGGTTTGTTTTCACATTTGTGCATATTGCATATTCTTTTTATTGTACGAGTTCCCCGATGTTTTTTCTTAGTTGCCTGTAAATGCCTAGGACTACATTCATCACACGTACCCTACTGCTGGCGAGGTTTAAGGGCTGTTCCTGACAACGTTTCCCTTTAGTCTCTACGAGCGTTGATTTTGTTGGAAAATAAAGGAATTAATATTATCATAAATGCGACACCTCGTCTCCGCGCATGGCCGTGTAAGAGATATTGACATGTCGTTAGCAGCGCGACATGTAGGTAAAGCAACTTATCGTCTGCCGAGCAATAGTTTTGTCGATGCCAAAGGAATCTGGCGACTGCTCGCTGTCAGCAGCACGCGCTGAACCGCTAATCACGCAGCTATGCCCTCCAGTAAATACTGTACGTCGAATGAAGCGAAGGCTCTTACCGCCGACGAGCGTCCACTGATCCAGACGTCCAGGAGGATGGGCACCTCCTTGACCGCCGGCTTGGCATACACGATGCCGATTACCGGCTGGGCGGTCTTCTTGGTCGGCTCGGCGTGCAGCTCCCACATGCCCACCTTGAAAGGGAGCAGGTGACGGAAGAGACCGTTAACACTCGTCGTTCGCCATACGCAGTGTGCGGTCTTCAGTTTGTCTTGTCTTTGAGCATTTCCTGCGTCTGTTTGCCCGCCAAATACGCACGCGTGCTTAGAGCTGAGGCCACACTGCATCATACGAAAGACAGCCTGCAACCAGATTCGAACGCTAGTCACTACGAGATCCGTGCTTCGAATGCCGCATGGCAACGAGTTTTCAAGGAAAAAACTTGGCACGCAGCATTCGAATCACGGATATCGCAAGGACTGATGTCTGCCAGACTTTTTGTATGATATAAGCAGTGTGATCCCGGCTTAAGCGGCTAGCCATTCTTGAAAGTAGAGGTGTGACGGAATCTGGGTAAGTACTTTATGAGCATGGGTGATAAAGTTTGGTGTTGCGCGTTAACACGCAGAAGCGACGTGTGACAAAGTGGAAATAAGCGATTGCTCTTTTGTTCCCATTAAGATTGCCATCAAAATTATAAAAGGAAAGGGTTCATAGAACTCAATCACTTAAAACGAGTCTGAGATAGAACGGCCTCCTGGATTGCGTTATCGCGCTAAGATTGGGCAGGACTTAGCGGAATTACACGAGACGAACCTCTCTGTTATCTGCCAAAGGCGTCGGGCCGTCATTGTTGGCATCTCCGAGCCAACGTAAAAGCGAGAAAAAGGCCACCTGACACCGACGTCACTTTCGCTAGTTTTTCTTCTTTCTCTTTCCCTCTCCTACGCTTTGCGGAAAGCGAGGGTGAAGTTTCAATTTTGTTAGGTCGCTTCTAGTAACACTATATGCAAAAATACCCATATTATCTTTAAGGTGCCTACATCTAGACCACGGCGAAATAATAGAGAGGTGCCTGAACGGCGCCGCCTCGCCACGGAGCAAGTGTGTTGAAGGTTCGCTCCCATTTTCTGACGAACGCCGTGATATGGCGCAGCATGGCAAGAGCTCGAGGCCGTTCACTTTCTTGCAATCGAGTACGACCGAGAAAGACCAGACCGGTTTTTAAGCCTCTTGCGACCTCTTAGGACCGGATGCACGGCAGCGGAGCTGGTCCTAAGAGGTCGCAAGAGGCTTAAAAACCTGTCTGGTCTCTTACGGTTCTATTCGATTGCAAGAGTGTGAACAGACCTTTAGAGACCGGTCTTGTCTCGGTCGGTCGTACTCGGTTGCAAGTGTGTGAACGGGCATTTATTCGCGCACCACGTTTCCAAGGCCGCAAAGCGAGTGACCGCGCGAAGTCCACGCGGCGCACGATAGCACCTGAGCGTCGAGCCCCGACCCGACAGTGGCCCTGCCGGGGGATGCGCGAAGCCCTCGCCAAATTTCGACCACCTTTATGGCCTTTTTTCGATACCGTGATCCAGGCTCTCAAAGCTTCTTAGATTTCGAAATCGGCTTCAGCTTATACAGTGAACTCCTCGAAATTCTTTTTAACTGACTCGATAAGTACATGAATGTAACTAAGTAACTTCCGCAGAAAAACAAAAAACAAAAAAACACAATGTTTTTTGTTTTGACAAAAGCTCGTTTGTGCGATTTCGAAACATGCTTCCATTTTTCGGGGGTCGATTTCTGGAAATAGAGGTTGCTTCGGAATCGCTCTTATCTCATAATAGTGTGCTACCCAAGCACTTCAAAAGTATTTCTTCCAGTTCAGCGTCCTTCTAAGCGGCACAATTCGGTACCCTTCGGTCTGCGTGAAATGCAAAAAAAAAAAGACAAAGTGCGCACTACCTGTGCCGAATAGTGACCACTCACGCGTCCCATTCAGTGGAGGGAACGTTTTTAGCAGCGTGGAATTTTACGGGATACAAAAGTGCAAGCCTAAATAAAAACAATAATAAAAAACAACAACAATAGGCAAGCTGGAAAATTAACTCATATTTTTCTTCGCATCGGGTTTATTATGGAGCCTAAATATAAGTTGGCGCCGAGCGAGGCCGGTCGGCCGGCCGCGGACCCGTACCACTCGCCGCGCGACGGCACGTCCGGCTCCACCGGGGGAAACAGAAGTCGGGCCCTGATTAATAGGGCTGTTATCGGACCCGGGGTCGGCGCGACGCCACCTTTCAGGGCTCTGCCCGGGACCACGTGTGTCACGCTCGGGGGCCGCCGATCGCGCGGGGAGGCGACGGCGAGAGAGCGCCAAGGGGAAGTTCGCCCCTCTCGCGCAGATAACGAGGAAACGCGATGGGGTCGTCCGTTTGTTCGAGAGTTGGGCTCGTGGTGGCGCGACTCCACGAAAATCGACAGCACGCAGCGTTTGGCGGTCTAAAGACGAAGCCGTGAAACTAGGTTCGAAAACACGCGATGAAAGTCGCCAATAGGCCATTCCAATAGCGTTCTGCGCGCTGCCATCCTTTGTTTCACTCGGCAAGAGCAAGCGTGAATTCTTGCCGCGCGACCGCTCAGCCAATGGCCATTCTTGGTCTCTGATATGAGCAGTTTCTCCTTCACTTCTCCAGTCCCGCTGAACCGCTCCGAATTCGCGGTGATAGCAGGTTCTTGTACACCGAGATTTTGTTGGAGATCTAAAGTCGATTACGTTATCCACACACCGGCAAACTAAGCACGTAGCTTTATATAGCACCACCACGCGCGCTGTCGTTGTTTGACGGCCCTGAAATATTATATTTTTTTCGGTCATTAAATACGCACCATGAACAGTATAATTGCGAGAGGTCCGTAGAGATAAACCGGACTGATAAGTTGACTGTATGTACAGTGCCGAAGACGCCTGACATTGGCGAGGAACACTCTCAGTACCATGACGCGCGACTTCTATCTATAGGAGCAGCTGGTACTTCGAAAGAATCTTCGAATATATTTAAAGGGCCCAAAGTCGCGATTTCCATGCCAGCAGATAACGCACAACCAATTGCCTCGCAAAGTTTTGGTTGTCTTTATATGTTAGTATATCCGTTGTCGTCCAGTTTCCAAGCAGAAAAAGCAATGGGTGCCGCTTTCTTAGGATCTAGTGATTTGAATTCAGGTCGCGGCCCCACACTGGCAAATACATCATACACACAAGCACAGTCCGCAAGAACTCTCTGCCGAAATCTTCGAAGCATACATATGCACGAAGAAAACCTACTTCGAGCATACTTGAAGCGTGTCCCGCACATATTTCCGCCATCCCATATGCAACAAACACCGTGTATTTTTTCTTTTTTTTGACGTATGGGTAGCGGGATTGCGGTCTTTAATGATCACAAAGCTCCACCAACCGCCGTCTTTGGGCAAGTATCGACAACTTTTCGGAAACAACTAGAAGAACAATGACGCTCCACGTGACTCTTTTAATAAACATAGCCCTCGCTTTCCGCGTGTAATTCGCATATACTCCCCCCCCCCCCCCCCCCCCCAAAAAAAAAAAAAAAAAAAAAAGGAAAAGATGATTTGGTTATAATTCGACAATTGAAACAAAATCTGGCCCGTGCAGACGTAGTTACTCACGAGGAGCCCTTAAATATCGAACCTGCCTGCGACACGCTAGAATTCCGCTTTGTTAGAGAGGGCGTTCAACGGAAGGCAGCGATGGTATCGTGGCAGCTTTTTTTTTCCCTCCCCGTTTTATCGATCCAAACATGTTTCGGCACCGGAAACGCGCCCAACGTAAACGTCCATCAGTCCCATTCGATTCAATCACACGTCCCGCTCCGCCTCGTTCAATACGGTCTCGTGCGTGGGCCTCACGCCCTGTTCCCTCGCACTAATACTAACATAATGCGGGGAGCGAAATCTGTCTTCTAATACACAACCAGTTCGATCGTTATTCTTCGGGAAAAACAAAAACAAAACGATCAGAGTGATAGCGATAATAATAATAATAATCATAAAAAAAAATACACGAGGAGCCAAGCAAATGTAGACCAATCAACGGCAAAAACATTTTTGAGCCAGCGTCCCGCATTTGCGCACCTCCTGATTCGACGAACGAAACAAGATAATAACAATAATAATGAAAAAGACATCTAAATAAGAGTGTACAACAAAAAAATAACGGAGAAGAGGTGGACCAGCTGCAGATTTACTAAGGCAAAAATAAAACCAGAGCAAACAGGCGTGGAAGTCCATAGAGTCTATGGTATAGCTCGACATATAAATGGGAAATCGTACACCCGGCGACCCCGGCTTCCGAAAGAACGATTGGTTTGGTGGGAGGTTCGACTCGGACATCGACCGGGTGGCAGACTCTCCCCAGTACGTTAGGTTTCTTTACCTTTCACTCGGACAAGCGAGGAGGAGGAGGAGCGGTAGAAAATAAAGCGTAAACAGGCTCAGTTTGGCGTGCCCGGCAATTACTGCGACCTTTCCCGTCAGTTGTCCGGACAAAAAAGGACACGCGTCGCGGGGGGGGGGTGACAAAGAGACGTGGCGGGTTCGTCGTGTGTCCGCTCGCGAAACTTCGCCACGTTGCCCGCGAAAGAAAAAAAAAAGAACAAACAACAATAACAAACGAACAAAGAAATATGTAAAAAAAAAAGAAGAAGAAAAGGAAAGTCTTCAGCACACTTTCTGATTGGCAGACTTGGAAGTTCCAACGTCCACCCCGATGGTGGTGTGCGACAGAAGGAATTAGTAACAACGAAACAGCAAGCAGAGGTCGAAGAAATAAACGAAGACGAAAGAAAAGAAAAATAAGGAAAAAAGAAAAACGGAGGAAGGCAGCCCTGCCATCTTTATTAGAGACAGACGTCCGACGTATCGAAAATCGAAGCGGTAATAGTTATCTTATTTTGTTTCTCGTCGTTGTCGCTTTCTCATTTGCTCCGCAAATACACACCCGTGCCCGTCGGATGTCACTCGGGCGCCTCGCGTGAGCACGCGACTGGGCAGCATTGCGCGCATGCGCGGCAGGGAGTCGGCTGGACCGTGCGCATACACGACGGAAGAGCAAAGGTGTGACGCCATGCAAGCGTAGGAAAACAGTTTCAAGACTGTCCTGTTTCGTGTGCTTTCTGTTTAGTTTCGTGACACTGCAATCGGTGTTAATGAAATGAATGTGTCCTCAACCGCAAGCTAGCTCCCGCATGTCGTCTGTGCACGCACGGGGGAGAAATTCCTCCCTTTGCTCTTCGGGATGCGCATCACGTAGTAACCGTGTCACGCTTTTGCGCTGCGCTGCGCTGACGTCGACATCACGGGGGGATGGGGGAGCCTCTACTCGGGCAAATGAAAAATTGGGTTGTGTGTACTTTTATACAGCCTAGAACTTGGTCTGCTTCAACGGGCCACGAGTCTCCCAGCTGCAGATGAGAAATTTAGCCAGTGCAGTAGAACCGCTAGCCTGGGGTCTTCAACGTGCATCACGCAGTAGTGGTACACGAGTGCACGCCTGTACGATGCTCATCCGGATCGAAACGGGCAGGGATCGGGATTGAACCCAGGATCCTGGGTTCTGTAGCGCGAGTTTTCGCTCCACGTGCTCCGAGCTGGTTTGCGTTAGCCCACTCGGCCAACGATTCCCCCTTTTGCTCGGGCAGCACAAACGATCGCCGCCTTACCGCTCATTCACACTGGAAGCGGATCCGCGTTCGCAAAGCGGTTGCGAACGCAGTTGTATAAAGATCCAGTACAATTGCACGCGCACTTGATGTCATCGAGTGCGCGTGCAATTGCACTGGATCTTTATACAACCGCGTTCGCAACCGCTTTGCGAACGCGGATCCGCTTCCAGTGTGAATGAGCGGTTAGCGAGGGATCTCTTTACAACTGGCGGTATTTCAATCGCGTGTTTTTCAACCTTACAGATTTTGCCCAGCGAGAGGCCGGCGGTGGTGTCGGGATCGCCTAACTTGTTGTGGCTTGCGCTGTTGCGCATGTTCTCCGAGGTACCCGAAGGAGTCTTCGAGTTTCATCAATGCCGTCCTCAAGTCGATCCTCATACAACTGGTTCTTGATTCATTGTCCCCTGTTTTGTATCCACCCATTCAAAAAGTGCCCTTTGTTTAGCAGGAAGCAGTTCGCCGTCTTCTGCATCTAATAGAGATGCTGACATAATCGCGTATCGCCGTTTCATATACGACTCTATTCTTCTCTCATCTGCGCGTACTGAGCCCTGTTGTCGAGAATACGACCGCCAAATGCGTCTGACAACACTGACATCCCTCTCGGTTTCCGCCGTTCGTGTGTGAATGCTCGAGTCGGGGAAGGAGTCCCTGTACCGCTGGTTCCGCCGATCACTCACGTCACGCACATTCATCCTCGAAAGACATCCCTCGTGTGAATATCCCTTAAGACTAATACGAACTTGCAGATTGAGGCGAAGAATATAACGTATGATAAGACGTAAAAATACACAAGAAAGTGAACGTAGAAACCAGGGTATACACATGCCTTCGCTCTCGTACATTGAGAACAAGAAAGAACGCACCGAAAAGTTGGAAGGCTCCGTAACTTTCTCAAGAAACCCGAAATCAGATCGGACAGCTCTTACAAACTACCTCCAGGTTCTTTTTTTTTTTTTCATAAAGCAAAAAAAGAAGAAACGCAACACGAACACCAGGTGTGTAGGTAGGTATCGCACAGAGTTTCGGCACATTACGAGAACAGTTTTTGGTACAACACTTCTTTGTTCGTGTTCTCAGAAAAAAGTAACAACACACAAATTAGACAAGTAGGGCATGAAAGAGAGCGTGCACGGAGGGAGTGAGGGGAGAAACAGTGCCAAAGATACGCGCGCGTTGTTTTAGCTCTTGTTTCTTTCGGTTTCCTCGGAGTCCTCTCCAGCGAGGCGATAAGCCGGGTCATCCATTGCGAGCCAAATCCGAGTGTCCCCTTCGTTCTCGGTGCTCGCGCATCGCTGTCTAGTGCTTCGCTTCGCCAGCCAGCATCTCCCGCTCTTTTCACACTCCACACTGAGGGCCGGCGTGTGGATGACACGCAGAGTTTGCTTCTGAATAAATAACGCGCTCGCAGGCTTCGCAACTAGGGTACAAACGCGCGTGCGCAGTAAAAAAAGCGAAAAACAAACAAACATTGATAAACACGAGACAGAAATAAAAATACGAAAGTTTGGGAGAAGAAGAAAAGAAAAAAGCGACAAAAGATTGGAAAGCCGAGAATTTGCGGTCGCTCTCCATCCTCCGCGAGTCTTGGCAGCGGAGGTAGATCAGGGATAAAAATGACGCGGAATTTCCGCGGCCGCGAGATTTCTTCTTTTCTTTTTTTTCTTCTCACAATTTTTATCCTCTTCGTGGCCGTCACCACGTCGGTTGCTATTACTCCGTTCCAGCTTAGGATGGACCGCAAAGGGAGCCACGAACCAAGGAAACCAATCCGAAGCGGCGCGAGTGCCACGTGGTTTTCGGGAGTTGCGCAGTTACACCTGCAGGACCGCGCAGTCACGTGACAGCTCTCCCAGGGCGCTGGACTGGCTGGGATAACCCGTAGCGTCTGCAGCGGTTCGTGATGAGATGAAACGGAGCATAGCGGCTCGCCAAGACGCGCAGTGCGTGGCACGATAACGCCCCGGGATTATTGGATTAGCCGAAGGCGTTCGTCCGCTTCGTTCCCGGACTCGAATCATATTAAGAACAAAGCGAAACTAAAATAGTTCGGGACGGCGCTTATTGTCCGCCCATGTCAGTTTTCTGCTTTTGTGGTGGCGTTTCTTTCTTCGTTTCTTTTCAGACTTCGTTCATAAACAACGCCGGGGCAGTTAAGACGTCAGGTTATTTTCTGAGCGAACTTGGAGCCCAGGAAGCGATTGAAATCACTTTACGTTCGTTCGTTTTAGATCCCCGACGCGGTTGGCCATCGATGCCTCCGCCCCGGCGATTTATCGCCACTTTAAGGCAATTGCTGCGGGAGAACGACCCACGGTGACTCTCTAACGGCAGTGGAGTGCAGTTGTCTATACACACACATACTAACGATACAACGAAAAATGAGAATGAAGAGACATCGACAAAGAGAAAGAGAGTGAAAGGAACTAAAGGAGGAGGTCTCTCGGCCACATTCCGTAACAAACGGTAAATAGTTAAAACGGCCCTCACAAGCTTTCGCTGTAATGGTGTCAACTCCGATGGAGAGATCAAGATGTCAATCGAATTCCTTCGTTGTTTTTTTAGAGCGCAATTGAATGGGTCGCATTACTCGACCAGCCGCTTTGGTTTGGGCACAAGGAGCTAACCGACGGAGCGGGTGGCGGGTCAATTCGACCGAAGGAATCATCGCAATCGATTGAGAAATTCTCAAAGAGGTTTCTTTCTAAAGGTCGTACGCGTAATAGAAGAGAGATAGCATCAAATACCAAACATCAGTATCGTTAAAATTTAAGAGAAATAATTCCCCATTGTTTTCGATAATGAAAAAGACAAAACAACTCTTGAGACTGTCTGAACAAAATGAACTACATACATGCAACATCCTGCACGAGTTTGCGAGCTCACCGATCTTTCGGTGGGCCCAGTTCACAATCCCCAATCGGTTAACTGCACGACACCCCCCATCGACAGCTCGCTCTGTAAAGTTTAACCGTAAAGCTGAAGCTATGAGGAGAGAATATATGCGGCAGATAACCGACGAACTTCGCCCGGCCGCGAAACAGCCACTGCTTTGACGCCACGAGCAGAAGGAACGCCGCCGGGCGAAATTAGAACATTTTCGCAGGATTTAGTGAGCTTGCCGCGTTTGTGGTGTACTCCACCGCTCCAAAAGTTGTCAGCGGGAAAAGGTCCCAATCCCAGATGCGAACGTGGAGTCCCTAAACGCGTGAACGCCAAAAAGCAATCAAAAGCGATCGAGTGCGACTGAAAACGTTATCAATTCACCATGCACGCTTAGCGTTTCATGTCTAGTGCGTGTTCGTGGACAGTCCTCTACAAGAAGGGATATTCTTTGCCGTGCAAAATGTCATGACTCTGCAAGTTATATACATATATATATAAAACAACAACAACGTATAGCGGAAGAAGAACAAACTCGAACAGAACATGTACATCCCCAAAGTGTGTTTCATCCTGCTTGTCATTACTTGTAAAAGATAACGTACAGTGTCGAGGCCCAGAGAGCAACAGAAAGTTTTAGGGAGTTGTTTTTGCACACCCGATACGGTACAACGGGCCCTCCGGTACGAACCTGCGCAATCTCTCATAAGTGGACAACGTACACGGTTTCGATCTGGTGTGCTAGCTAACCGTTTTATACCACATTCACACGATTATTAAGCTACCGTAGGTACCGCACCGTGATAAGGGAACAGATATGTACCGTTATGGACTTTGGCGAATAAGTCCGGGGTCCTCTGGGCGTGATGTGTGCTCGCGACATAACTAAGATTGTGGGCCGATTCGTCGATTGCAAAGGGAGCTTTGTTAACTACCTTTATGCTGGCCGAGAGCATGAGGTGTTATATTGAGACTGTTTGACCGATGGGCGAAGCTTGTGGCCCGCTATGAGAGGCCAAAGTCGCGATAACAGACTATGGCGTGTTATCTTATCAAAAGATTGTTGAAGTTTGTTACGCATTAACAAAAAGTGATGAAAAAAAAAAACACGATTTCCCGGTTTCCAGGGTCCCAGCCGAGGTGGCCGGTCTTTCCAAAAACAGTACCAAATTCTGCCAGTATGAAAGGTTCTGGTGCGCTACATGGGGGACCATAGGAAAGGGGCTTACGGCGGGTTCGGCAATCTTGAAGCTATAGCTCCAGAAGGCGTAGTCGAAGTTGAAGACGCTCAGGTCGTTGGCGTTGTAGCCGGGGTTCCCGTTGGGCGCCTTCAGGTGGATCCCTTCCTGGGTGATGGAGGGCAGCGCGATGTTGCTGAAGTCGTAGCCCACAACGACCACGAGCAGTTGCCGGGCGAGGCCAGGGTCCACGTCGAAGCTCAGCGTCAGCGGCGCGCCGCTCTCTTGTTCGGCCTCGCCGAACTCGCGCTTTTCCACCTGCGGACACGCACGAAGGCACGCGCGTTTAGACTCCACGAAGGTCGTGCCGACGTCGACGGAACGTCCGGACGTCTCGTAAACGTGGCTCTTCATTGTGCTTCATCAAAGAGGCGACGAAGAACTTCGAGCGAAAGTAACCACCTGAAAGTTGGAGCGGCAACCGAAATTTCGCCAAGAGACGTGGCTTTTCCGGGGGTAAGTGTCCCATTACCCTGGAGCTGTCTTTTAGCGATACGTCTATCGCCACTTTGATGCTTCCAGGGGCTTTCCTTATAAGTACCCGCGTTATGGGTGGCCAACTGAGACGTGTCAATGCATCAATTTTATTGAAATTCTCAATGAAAGGGGACTATAGTTTGTTGACTTTGATTGCAAGTAGGTGGAATGGAATCTTATAGGCCGAGTCATTCATCCTCTTTCGGTTGTAACTAGCAACTCAAGCGAGGATACTGGGGACAAAAGTTTTAGGACACGCATTCAACTTCCGTAAACCGTCACCGACGACGTTAGAACGACGTGAGAACAAAGATTTGTGCAGGGGCCATTCAATTTACCAACCACGCGTGAAAGCGAATTTTTCCGAATAAAGAGTGAAATTTTGGGCGAGTGGGCCTGTAGCTCCTAAAAAGGGCAAAGAGCGCGCAAAGAATAATGACAAGGAATAAGGCACTGAAGAGAACAAGCGCTATAATGGTGCGGTTGTTCCATTTAGTTCCTCATTCTTAGTTTTCGTTCTTTACGCGCCGGTTACCATTTTTAGCGAATTTACCCGTAAAGCAGGTTCACACATGCTTCGCATGCGCTGTATCGCCAATACTGCGCGAAGTCGCCGCTGCGTCAGCAAGGTCAGCTCGATTTCCAGTGCTGACCAATATAGCCGAGTTGCTGTGGTGTATGGGTGACTGCGATGGAGCCAGTACGGAGACAAACTCAGGGAGAGGAGGAGATGAGAGGGCACGCAGATGTCAGAGTGCCGATCTCTGAATGAAAAGGTAGTGGGTAGACCGTCAAGGCTGGCTGCCCATGTCTTTACCCATTGTTCGAACGCGTTCGAACGCCGGCGTCCAGCATTCGTACGCGAGACACTGCGCGAGGAGCAGGCGACGCTCTCGTTAGCTCTGGCTAAAGGGAGACATTCATTGGGTATAGTCTATCCACTTATCATTCCAATCAGAGCTGAGCGCACCGTCGCCCCCGCGCACTCTCATTTCCTCCTCTCCAGAAATTTCTCTCCGTCTACGCGAGACAAGTTAGGCAGAGGGTGGACCCACCATGACGTAGTTGTCCGTCTCGTCCCAGGAATATCCGCGGAGTACGAGCGAGTAGAAGGCTTCGTACAGCTCGGCCTGGGTGGCCACGCTGCCCTGGAGTTGGTCGGCCACGGCGGCCTCGTGCACGTGCCATGTCCTGCCCCCGGTGTGCTCCACGAGCGCGTCCAGGTGCGGCTCGGGGTGCTCCGACTGCGGGTACACAATGCTCTGGAGCCGCACCTGGGACGCCACCAGCGATTCCTGGAGGCGCTCGGCCACGTCGGCCGCCATGTCGCCGCTGCTCAGGAGCAGGATGACGCCACCGGCGGCCGCTGACCCGTTCACCGTCGGGTACGGGAGCTCGCGGTCTTCCTTCAGCATCTGCGTCAGATTAGGAACTGGGTTAGAATTCTCGCCAAACAAGACACAGCAATTACAGTGTACGGCAAGCATAAAGAAAACGAAGCGCGTTTGTTGAAAAACATAAAAGTTTCGGCACGCGCGTACTTTTTTACTGAGGAAATCTACCACGCAAAGAGCGCGGCTTTCCTCCTCGCTATTGTCTCTTGTTTTCGAGAGATTGGGGGCCGACAAACAGCGGATGCCTTGAGTCCAGTCAGCAGATCGCGTGAATGGTTACGTCCTGCCCTACGTCATGAGCAGGCTCCAAGCCCCTGTTCAGGGACTCAAGCAAAGAATAGCTTTCCCCCCGGCAAGACAGCAACAAAACAGAGACGTGTCAAAGCGGATCGGAACCGGAGGGAAACCTCCACTTCCGGTACAGCAAAAGCCGCGCACGGCATCTTCCGAGCCTTATTTGAACAGCCCCTTAGTTGTCGGTGAGATACAAATGTCGAATTGGGGGGTTTTACGTGTTAGACCACAGAGGTCCACGCCCCAGTAAAGAATTGAGGATTTGGATCCCCTAGGAATCTTATGACGTGCAGCCGAAACGTTGGTACATTGGGGCAGACGCGGCCAGCTAAAGTCGGATGGTTGTCCCACCTACCGCATGATACTCGAAAGTAACTTTAAAAACTTAATAAAAAAGCTAACATAAAAAAAAAATTGCGATAAGTTGAAACGAGGTTTTATTCAAGTTCTTTCTATCTCCCTTCGTACTTTGTTTCGACTTGTGACACATGATACTAGGTTAGGGTCACATGTCGATGAAGGGGAAACAAAAAAAAGAAAATGACATGACATGACATGACAGTGCTGACGTGGCGAATGACATTAGGAAACTGTTTGCATTTTCGATCGGTGCGGCTACTTATGATAATTGCCCACGGAATACGTGCATTCTTCATTAAGTATCGGACTCTGCGATGCCTGGTTCGTCTCCATGTTTTGTAAAGAAGTTGAGAGGCCTGGCCTGCATCTCCGGAATGATGTACAGAGAACTTTTGAGAAAAGTGTGCCCGTAAGTGTTAAGTAAAAAGCGGAACAGGAACAGCATGGTCAAGCTTTCCTATGCGGGCCTGCCGGTTCAAAGTATTTGAGAGACGAAAGCAGCGCTCTCTCTCTCAAGGAAAAAAAAACACAAAAAAACAACACCACCCATGACCCGGTGTAGAACACTGATCCAACTACTCCGCCAGAAACACTACGGTAGTCATTATTCTGTGCGCCTAAACCACTAACAAAGCAGTTGTGAGGTTTCCTGAGCACATGATCCGGCGTGGAGGATACCAGGAAACGGGTCTATCGTGGGTCCGTTGTCTCTTGTGATTCGAGAGCGGGGCGCGCGGTGTGTGCATCTTCGCCAAGACGGATCGGGTTTCGAGTCCAGGAAATCGAGGCCGTCGGGGTCTGTTTTGGGTTGGGCGACGACAACCGAGGAGAGGCGTCCCCCGCACTTCGGAATGTGCGGCCGTCTTTCGTTTGGCGTCCCCTCACCAGATGTGGAGAGTCACTGACCACGAGTCAGTGGGTGGTGTTTTCTTCGGGAGTCGGGTTCGCGGTTCGGGTGGTCTGACCTGCCCGTCGTTGACGGAGACCGCGGGGCTGCTGAGATCTGCGTGTGTATGTGTATGTGTGTGTGTGTGAGTGTGAGTCTTTTTAGGGTGTTTTTATTTGTTTTACGAGTGTTCTCTCTGATTAGCCGGAAAAGACCTTTTGGGATTGGTCGTTGTACACGCGGGAGAGTTGGAGGAACGGCCGGAGGGCTTCTTGGTTCACGGAAAGCGCCATGCAATTTTCTACTGTACACCTGTTGACTTGTGTATATGTTTATCCTTCTCATCGTCGACTGTTGAGTCCCGTCTTGAAATCCCTCGTCTCTACGATCTAACGACCCGCCGCCTCTGCCTTTGGGAATCATCACCGCCGCAATCTTCACGGAAGAGAAACGAACCACCCTCACTGTAGTTTCGGCGTAGGCGAAAGCAACTGGGGCAGTTTTTTTTTCCAGGTACCGTAAAATCACTATCCTCACACGTCAGTGCTGACGGAACGGGTGCCTGTCAAATCTGGTTTCACAGAACGATACGAACTCCCGTCGTCCAAACCACGGCCCCTCGATCGCAAGAATGCCATTGGCTGCATCTCGCCTTTGAATTGTATGAACCACCACAGCTGAAAAAACCTTGGTGCCTCCGCATGCCGCCGTTTTGATCACGGTGGTTTTAATCACCGTGACCAAAATGGTCTCCACCTTTTTGATCACGGTGGTTCACTGAGGGACGTTCTTTCTCTAGTTTACGCGAAATTCGAAGCCAACCCAACGTTTAGAGGTATTGGATTCGGCGTGAGGATAGTGAATTCGCGATACACAGAAAAATCTATGGTAGTCATAATTGCGTAGGCCAAAACAACAACCGTGGTGATTTCGGCGTACGCAACAGGCACTATCGTATTGATAGTAATTTCGGGGTACTACACCTAGCTCGGAATCAGCCCAAATGCAAAGACGGTTATAGGAATAAGACTCCTCAGTTACATAACGCACAAGTTCGCAACCTAGTTTACAAAAGTTTCCGGTGAAAAGGTGGTAAAGAAAGGAGCCCGTAATTACACTTAGACGAGAAGTGTCTGCTCTATATCCTGAATTGATATAGCTTCGAAGGAGACCCCCGATGCCGTTGTGACATTGGTTGTTTGACAACCACTTCTCCGATACTCCCTTCAATAGTCGCTCGCAGCGATACGATACACGACAGACAAAGGTACTGGTTCAGTAAATGCCAGTAACCGAGGAAACCAGAAGGTAGCGTACCTGGAGCGCCTTGGAGATGCCTTCTTCGACAGACGAGTTGAACTTGGTTCCCGGCACGGGCACCCGCTGGCCCAGCTTTGAGCGCACGCTAGAGCTGTTCATGAGCGTGAGCGGCACCTTGACGGCGGCCTCGACTTGCCCGAACGCCGCCAGCCCCAGGCGGCTGTCCTCGGGGGCGTCCACGCGCGCAAACTTGTCCAGGGCTCGGATCACGAAACTGCGCCGATCCTGCAACGGAAGCACGACGATTCATGTGTTTGCAGTGGCGTCGAAACAGGAGGGAGGGGCAAGAAGAGGGGGAGGGCGGCCTAAGGGGCTTTTGCCCTTCCCATCTACCGGGCAGTTCCGACGCTCTCGCGTCTTCAAACTTCACATGCAGTCGCCTAAGTATGCCTCGCAATTAGGAGGGGGAACTATAGTTCATCTCATCTTGAACGACAGGGCGCCTCTTTCGGATGTCCGGTTTCCAGCTCGTGCTCGATGCCTTCGGCCGTGCTTTGGCTGAGCGCGCACGCTCGAAACTCACGCGATGGCAGGAAGCTCGCGCTGGAGGCTGGATAATCGAAGATTGCTTGCTCGCGCCAACGGCTCCGCGCTATATACGTTATAATATGCGATGATGTTCGGTAATGGTAGTATGCTATGGTACGATTATTCGGTCAGTTGCTTTATGCTCTGTTAGAAAGGCCAACCCCCCGAAAACCACAAAATATAACGAAGAAAGGAGGATCCTGCACCCAGAGATAAAAAATTCGTGCGTGTGAAAAAAACAAAAACAACATAACTTCCGAAGAGAGATAAGTGAGAGAGCGAAATACCGACAAGTTATAAGCTTAACGTCGAGAAGTCAGACTCCGCGTGTTCATAGCGAATCGAATCGAAGAGTAGCGCTGAAAAAAATCTCGAGATAGAGCCTACGACACGACGAACCTTTAAACATTCATGTCGACAGGCTTATCGTTACCATCTAGATACCCTTGTTGAGGGAATTAGGCACGTTTAAAAAAATCGAAGTACGAACCGTTATTTGATGAAAGCGGGTGACGTCTTTCTCATGCAAAATAAATTATTACTAACACGCGCAGTTTCATAACAAAGGGGAAAAAAAAATTCCGCACTCCTTTCCTCTTTTTGCCCGTTTTTTGACAAAGTGCCTCAGTGACAGTTCTCTTTGTCGCAACGATGTAAGCTAATTTAGCAAACGTCGCTTCTTGTCAGGGTCTTGGAGCAGGCAGCACTGAGGGAGCTAGACAGCGACAATATACCGGCAACCGTAACTAGCACCCCTCTCGGTTAAAGTGGCAATCCGCTTAAAGTGACATCTTTTCTTTTGCCCCCAAAATACCGGACTGCCCCTTCACTGTAAAAGTAGCCTTCGGATATAATCACACTTCGGCCGCGCGACGACAAATGTGACAATACGAGGATCGTAACGGCGGAAGGCAGCCAAAGTAATGCATCTCGTCCGAAGACAAAGCGTGCCGCGAACACGGACGGCTCCAAAACGTCCCGGACAAAGTGACGAAGCGGAGGAAAAATAACGACGCGCCTGGGACTTAGATTCGAATTTTTTTTATTACATTTTATATTCTCCACGTCGGCATGAATTTTACATCTCCAGGGACGGAGTTGCTTCTTGGCTAAACACTCCTGGTCTTCCCAATTTATCTTCCGAAAGTTGTTGTTTTGCAACCTGAGCGCATCTTTTTCAATTCAGTTCAGTTTTATTCACTCAAATGTATTCTAAAAAGAGCACTTGACTTGAGGCTGTGAAGTAACTACAACACACATTACAAAACATTAGAAAGCAGAAATCAAAACCAGATTAAAAATAAAAACACTAAACGTACATTAAAAAAAAAGTTTACCACACTTACACAATTTGTGTTTAGCAGTTTCATGGGCAATGAGCATGGACAATCAATTTCAGTCGGTAATGGAAAAGGAAAGCGGAGAGTTTCGAAATTTGTTCGCTCGCTCTGACCATTAAGGGAATGTACAAGGCGCTTGGAGACATCGGCTGCGAAACTCAGATGATGCAGATTACGAGAATGTTTTAAGTGATGATCTTAGTGAAAGTGATAATCTTAGTGAAAATCATAGTGGCACGATGACACTACTGAAAAGGGAGATAACGTGGCGCCCTCTATTGTACGTTATCTACACTGAAAGTAAAAATTAAAAGAAGAGTACATATTTAAAAAGAATTAAACAAGCTTGATCGCGCTGACAAAGTGGCTCACATAATGCGTTGAGCCAAAATTACCACCCCGCAGAAATTGAAATCGCATGACGTGATCACGTGACAATAATCGAGTTTAGAAGAATGATTTACAAGAATTGAAAAATATTGTAAAATTAGGAATGTTAGGAGTACACAGTGCGAGAGTTTCTCTTTTGGCGAAAACAGTCCTACCGCGGCTGGCCTGTTTTTGACATAAAATGTGTTTCATTAGCAATATTAAAAACAAAAACAAAAAAACTGCCCCTATTCCCTCAAAAAAAAAAAAAATATCGCACGAAAGAGCGCTATGAAGGAGCGTCACGTCAATTTCGCCACTAAATTTAGCGGGGAAACAGAGTCATGTGACCACGTCATGTGACCCGATTTTATGTGACGTCAATTATTTCCGCTAAATTTAGTACCTCAGTGATTTCACGTGACCTCAAGTCCCGGGACGTCAATTTCACCAATTGGTGGGGAAATTCACGTCACGTGGCGTGACCATGAGTTGCTACATCGGATCAAGGGGAGTCGATTTCTGCAAGGTGGTTTTGTATTTTGCTTCGCAGACTATTTTATCTCGACGTGATAGATAACAAACAATAAAATAAACAGCGATTTCGGAGTTCCACGTCGTGTTGCTTGTTTTTTTTTTTTTTGTTTTTTTATAACACTGCATTAACTCGAGTGCCTGTCTGCTCTGTAAAACGCGCTTCTCCCCGTAGAAGGTGTTAGTAAGGAGAAGCCAAACGCAGAAACGAAGGAGCCACGCGTTTGTCATTTGTTAATAATAAAAAAAAGTACAACTTGTTGGCTTAAGGATGTTAAAACAAACATGATTTATAGCGGAATATAGATGCTTGTTGCCTTATATGTTTATGCCTATTACTGACAATGAAACCGTGGTTACAAAGAGTTTAGTTTCAATATGCGCGACGAGTTTCTGATAATAGAGCATTTGCTCGATTCAGTTGCTATAGCGATATCCAGTATATTTAGATTAAAAATACAGGCAAAAACATACCTAGTTGATTTGTAACGATTATTATCGCCGGATCTGCACTTTGGCTGGTGTCTGAATTTTGTGTGAAACGTTAAGAATACAGTTTCTGTACCCATCGGTTTTATTGTGTCATAGTCTCGAGTCCTTCGTCAAATCGTTTCGGTGCATTCGCTTGCATAAAAAAAAAAAAGCAAAATACACATGCGTACTATAATCTAATTGAAGTATCGGCTCTTATTTCTGAAGTAGCTGATGCGAAACAAATACGCCAAACTCGCACATCACAACGACACGACAAAAACTATCAGCTGAACCTAACGGCTCTTGCCAATGCCACCCGCTTCGAACGCCCTAACCAGCCAATACGCGGAAATAATTATTGCAATAACAATTTCAATTCCAACCCCCCCCCCCCCTCCCCTCCCCCTCCCTAAAAAAAACAAAAAACAAATCTGTTTGTTTTGTCACTTTCTTTTGTTTAACGTTTAGGGCGAGAGAGTTGTAAATAAATAAAAGACAAACAAGAAAACACTGAAACGCAGAGTATTTATAAAGCACCACTCCGAAACCCAGTCCCCTTCGAGTGCTTATTGTCAGGATAACAGGGAGGGGAAGGGGAGGGGGGAGAAAAAGGAGACGCATAGAACACGTACGGGCTAACACCTCAAAACAAAAGGGAAACATTCGCGGCACGTCTTTTTGTCGTCAGTTGCGGGTACTACATTGTCTTCTCGTTTTCCCGGTCACTTTAAGCACACGCACGCTCTCTCGATCTTCGTAGTTATCTCGTTGCATTGCCCTGCGCAAAACTAAATACATAAGACGTATATTCCCCTGTTCCAAATCGGAGCTAATTTTGTCCCGTCCGGCGGTCCGCTCGCTTATTCTTTCCCCTACCCGGCGCGCCTCGCAAATCCAAGCACGCGCGTGCAGCGCTCACAAGTGAGGGACAAGACCGCGGCGAAACCTTATCATCGTCCTAATCACAAAGCTAACTGCTTCACTTTGTCGTCACGAACAACAACATCATCATCATCATGATCGTCGCGTCCCCTCCTCCCCGTCCGCACAATAAAACCTGATAGCCAGTGCCGCCAAACGATGTACACTGAGCAAACGATTGAGAAATCGAAACACAGGGAGTCCGGAATATAATCATTCAGAACGGAGGCGGGAAGCGATGAAGTGGGTGGGGTATAAAGAAAGAAGAAGAGGAAAGTGGGGTCTCTCTCTCGATCCAGGCTATCTTCGGTCGAACTCCGCTACTCGACAGTGGCGAACCCGAGCTACTCCGGGAAGGGCGCGCAGTACCCCCTCCCCTCCAATTACAGCCCGCGCGATAGAAGTCGAGATAGCGTCCCAGCTCGGCGCTGGCCACCGACTTGTCCTGGAAAAGGATCGATGCGTCCGTGGCGTCATCGATTTTGGCGAAGAGGGCAACTTGACAAAAATGAAGCCCGCGGCCTCGAGTAATGATCCGGACAGCATTAAGGGGGAGGAGGGACCCCGCAGACTACGGTCCGGCGCGCCGCGCGAGAAGAGACCGAAACAAACTTGGAGCGGCGGCGCCATCGAAGCATAGCGCCACGAGGAACTTTTGGTTGGGAGATAGCGTTAGCGTCCTCGTGTTTTGCTGCTCCGTGGCACCGGCTCTGTGGGCCGCTAGGGGGCGCGCGCTCGCTGGTATGCGGGTTCATAGGGGGTGCCTGGCAACGACCGTTATGTGGGTTAGGCGACCGTTATATGGGTTTATTATTCGTATAATATTCGTTATATAAGGTTTGTTATATGAGTTATGTTACATAACGTTCCTTATATAATATGACCAACCGAATTTGTATCAAACGGCCGATGACTAAAGCGGAGGTGGAGGGATTAAGTTGGCGATTACCTAAAAGTGAAACTGAATATTTTTAGTGCTGAATAAAGGCAAAGAAAAACAAGAGCAGAAAGAAAGAGAGGAGAGAGAAAGCTAACACGTTTTTGGTAGATTTGTCGATCAAACTAGCAAGGACACCAGGCGAGCTAATGAATTCCCTCACTGCTTTAGTAATCACTTCCGTTTATTTCCAAATAAACAAGAAGAATAAAATGAACCCTTTTTATATTTGTCAATAGAGTTCGCTCCCTCTCTCCCTTCCCTTCCCTTCCCCTCCCTCCCTCCCTCCCTCCCCCATGTTGAAAGGTCTTCACTGGGCATTTCGCGCTCGCGTAACCATATACAGGGTGTTCCCAAATATCAACCAGACTCTTTAAATCGACCGCAAAAATCGTTTTATTAACCTATCGCGCTACGAATTTGGCAGCGTTTCCCACGGATGGTGCACTTTTTCTATAAAATTTGCAAAGACAAAACTTACCCGAGGAAAAAGTAAAAAAAAAAAGAAAAAAGAATGGCTTATTTTTTATGAAAACGCAGCGAAGTCACCGGTCTTCAAACAATAGACCACCCTATTGTTTGAAGTAGGTTAAGAAACCGATTTTTGCCGTCGATTGAAAGAGACTGGCCGCTATCCGAGACGCCCTGTAGACTCAACTTTTCGTTGAACCCTACACACTTAATTTCCATACCCGCGTGGATGGGTGAAAGTAAAAACAGTCAATCTTTTTCTATCATGCAAACGGCTACAAAAAAACACAAAAAAACTACTTCATTAATAATCACTTTTTGGTGGTATCGTGCCATTCGTCGTTACCCCGTTTGTAATTCACGGCACTCGTATAAACTGAGTCGCATATACCTAGGCGTACCCTGTATCACTGACCAGCGCACGGTATATTTTAATAAATCGAAGAAAGACAACAACTGCAAACGGAACCACCGCTGGGCCCTAAATCAACATTCTGTTAATGGAAACCAGAAATATCTTTCGTTTTCCCCCGCGACTGATGCATTCCCGGCAGTATAGCTGGTCCACGAGTTTATCGATCAGGCAATCATCGCACACAGATAAATAAACGTATCGGCTAGAATCGCAGCAGTCTCGACGTAGAGCGAATGTTCTTTTGGTTGGTGTTGGGGAATAAAAGTAGTTGGAGCGACTCACCTTGAGGGCGCTGGCGGCGCTGACCTGGACAACGATGACAACGCGTAGAGGTGCCTCTTGGACGTAGTGGAAACGGGTTCTGCCAAGGAGGCGTTCGCCGGCCTGGTTCCTGGAAACGAAACGCCAAAGCGTGGTGCGACATTAGACTATAGTTAACAGACCACACGAGGCCCTGCCAAGGGTCTTAACCCGGGGTCACACTGCAAACATACCATGCACAAAAGAGGCGGTGTTTGGTGCAGACACACTTTAGGGACGTTTACTTCTTACCTATGTATGTTTCGGACATGTCTACAGAGATTTTATTTTTGTATGGCCACTTGTATGAACGTCATACAAAGAAGGCCTCAGACAGTGTGTGCAGGCTGTCTTTTGCACGGTGTATTGGCAAAGCGACCGCGTCGTTAGTTTTGCTACGTAGCCCGGAAGGCTTTTTCGCGACTTCAACGGGTGTGGGTTTCCCGCCCCATCTCGCCCCCGCGTCGAAAGAGGGTCCCGAAAAGTGGTAACGAATTTCGTCGCAGAAGCCGAGCGGCGTATCGCACTGTCGGTCGTCGCGATCCTGGCGGATGGTCGTAGAAAGGCTGGCACAAAAGGCGGCGCGAGCAGACGCGAGAGTTTCTGTCGTCACGGCGCGCCATTAGTGTGCCTATAGATGTCAGAGAGTTTTCAACCCCTATATCAGGGTCACGTGGTTTACGAATCGCGATCGCGATGCAAGCTGAAAACAGCGAGCGTCTGCATCCCCTCCGCCCGCTGACCTCCCTGCCTGGCGCTAACGCAACGCGAGGGCATTTGCGTCCCAATCTGCGCAAGAGGTGTCCGCTATAAAATTGCAAATGCTCTCCGTAGCTTCAGAAGATTCCCCGCTAACGCTTTCCGTAAGGATCCACCAATGGATCTTTATTCTTTTTTGTCGCCTACTTGGACCAGCGCTAGTACTTGGTTCACACTCCATTTTGTAGCACAAACCAAGGCTTAAGCCTGGTTCAGACAGTTGCGTTTGACTGCGTTTGACTGCGTTGCGGCAGCGAGAAACCAGGACATCCCTGCTGCTTATATCGCGTGCCAAGATGATTCCTTGAATTGGATTCCACGCTTCATACGAAGCACAGATGTGCCGGTGACTCGCTTTCGGTACTCGACGCAACGCAGTCAAACGCACTCAAACGCAAGTGTCTGAACCGGCCTTAAGCGCGAAACACATGTACGACGAAACCGTCCGATCCGACGTCCGACTGCGCAATACGACGGTCGGAGGCGAGGGTTTTGAACGCTCTCCGATACTACGAAAGCCCTCTCCCCCCAAGGTCATTCCGGCAGTCCGCACGTCGGATCGGACGGTTTCGTCGTACATGTGTTTCGCGCTTTACTCGCTCCGCACACCTGCAAGTTGAGATTGGTCCCAGCATCCGCGCGCGCTTTAGCTTCCGCCCCGTCACGTGGCCTCCCTCTCGCCTTCGCCACTCTCCTCCTCTCAACGCGCGCGCTTCCCTTTCCACTGCTTTGTCCGCAGGCGGACGCCTTCAGCTCTTCCCTTTTATGTGGGTACTAATGATAACGCATTAAAAGAATAGGCGTCTGTCGTATCGACGTCAGCTGCTGCGCCACCGCCAGAATCGCTACCGGCAACAACATGACATTTGTGAGGTCGCGCAAAACGCACCAGTCGTAGATGCCTTCCAGGAATCATAATTTGACCATGCGTTTGATCCCAGTTCAAAGCATATGCACCTAAGGAACACATTTTTTGCAGCTCCAAGGGGAAAAGACGCGACTTCTAGAAACGGGGCGCCTGTCCAAATGCACACCGAAAGTTTCCGCGGCGTGACGACTAAAATGTGAAATCGCCGGAACGGGGAATAAGTGCACGAGGTTAGAGTTGCGAATGAAATACTGTTTTGATAACTGAAAATACGCTACGTGCAATAGTGGTACACGTTCAAACAAACGACGCTTCCAAAAAGTTATAATTTTATGTTGATAATGCCATTAACGCAAAGGTGGAAGTGAGCTGGACAAGAATGACAAAAATAATCCCTGGAAAAGGGGTAATTTTCGAAAATAATTCATTCTCCAGAGATTGTCATCGTAATTTTCGTCAAATTGCATGTCGCGTTTTTTGGCTGAAATTAAGAATTCAATTCAACTTCCCGGAAACAAATTTCTCTAATAATATGTAAAAAATAAAAAATAAAACAACAACCAATGTAACGTAAACATAATTGGTACCTCCTTTAACATAGCTACAGGAAATGATACAAATTAATGTCGTCTGCCACTACCGTATGCAGAGCGTCTGCGAATCAATAACGTAAGCCGAAAACGTACGCTACACGGCATCAACAGAACAATAATTAGGTTTTCTTTAGATCGGGGGCATCGGGCCGAAATCTGAACAAACCAGGATCCGCAGTGTTGACCCTCTGCATCGAGGCCACCGGTGCAACGCAATAATGTTCACCATCCTAAACAAAATAAAAATAAACGAAACAAAGCCAGCAAAAATGACCGACGAATGGTTACTATAAAGAAATGTCATCCACATTTAGCTTGTCAAATGATTTCCGAGTCAACCTATACGGCGATCAAGTGTTCCAAATTGCGTCCTTGGCGCATCGGAACGCAAGGAGTAGCACGTCCATCAAAAAGCGACGTGGAGAAGGCGAAGGGAACGCGAAATTACGGGGCAGCCAAACGAGCAACGTCAGTGGTCGAGGTCGCGGGTAAACAAATGCAAGAGGTGCGCAAGGAGCCGACAAACGGACATGCCGTATTAAACCGCAATGCCGCCTCCTCTTGACCTCCGCCCTCCCTGTCCCTTTCTCTCCCCGGTCCCTTCTGCCAAAAATTTATGAAAATAACAAAAAAACAACGACAACAACAAAAAACAATAACATTGCCAAGTCCCGAGGGCTTGCTCGACACGGGAACAATGACGTAAAGAGTTAAAAAGTACCAGCACGAAAAAGATAATAGTGATAAATAAAGAAAGAAAAGCGCCACGGTCGAGCGTCAACTCCCCAAGCGCGGCTCGAAAAGAGCGTGTAATGCGACATGTGCGCGGAATAACGGCAACAAGCAAAATGCGTTGCGGGGGAGGACAGTGAAGCGAGAAAAGCGGGCCACAGCACAAAGAGCGTGATAACCTCTTCCTCCTTCGCATCGGCGCGGCCAAGATTCAATTTTTATCGGGGGCTGCGACAACGAGAATCAATAGGGTTTCCCAACTCGACCTCTTATTTTCGCGCGCGCGCCCCGAAGGGCCGACGGCGGTGGCGGGTTCTGTGTGCACGCCACGGAGGAACGTCACTTGGACGACTACCGACTCCATCTTGATACTGACGCCCCTTTTTTCTTCTTTTTTGTTTGTTTGTTTTTTGTTGAGAATGCTCTAGATTTTCCATCGCCTCCATTCAGCTTGGGTGTCGGTTGGTTTCGGTGTCTCCTCACTCGCGTAAAAAAACAAAAATAAAAATAAATTGAGACATTTGTAGTATAACACCGCAGGCAGAGCTGAATCACAAGAAGGAATAAATAATAGTAGTAATAAAAAAAATCCAGAGATAAAGATTAAAAACGATGGGCAGATATTGGTCGCAGAGGCAAATATTCGTTTAAAAAAAATGCCGAATGTTTGAATGAGCGTTTTTGTGCGCGTTTGCGTGTGGTTTATTTGTTTTGTTTCTAAATTCACCCCATTTCTTTCGCTGCTGCGGACCTTGTCTCGTTTAACTTAGACACGCGTGGGCGATCGACGAGGAAGTCGAAATTCTTCACCTCGAGCGGTTTGTTTAAAACCCTAAAAAAAAAATGGCATGAAAAAGAAAAGAAAGGAAGAAAGTGGAAACAGCAGAAAATATTGTATTCTTTAGATGGTACTTTTCGCGACCATGATGTACGTTTACCCTACATATTTTCGGTTCGCTTTTTTATGTCTTTTTTTTTTTTTCATGCGTTTTCAGGGAAGGGGTTTGCATATGCATGATGTCGAGCGCATTGCCGCCTATATTACGGAAACGAAAGAGGGACATGTAAAACAATACAGACGACACAGGCTTTCCATAACACGCACAATTTGGAAGATTTTTTTTTCTTTTCTTTTTTTTTCACAGGTAGGAAGAGGATGTTTTGGTTCGACGCGTTCAGCCTGGATTTTCTTTCGAGCGTGCACCCGTTGAGTCGTTTGGTTTCTGTCAACAAGGACGTCACACGCGCATTATGGAAAGCAACCTTGTGCCACGAAGAGTGCGAGCGGCATACCCAAGAAATAGGAGAGTTTAGATTCGTTCATGCAGCGACACAAAACATGTACAAATTTTAATAATAATAATAATAATAATAATAATAATAATAATAATAATAATAATAATAATAATAATAATAATAATAATAATAATAATAATAATAATAATAATAATAATAATAATAATTTCGATATTTGGATATTGGGAGGTCATTTTGCTTTTCTACTACGCTTTGAGTCTCCAATACGTTGATGCAATTTGACGGTGCACCATTCATTAAAGGGGTACTCCGGCGTTTTCTTCATAGCACTTGATTTGCCTGAAATTTTGTTTAACAAACCAACGAACATCGCGGAAATAGTAACCCAAATATTGAGTCAAAATAAACTTTTTTTTTTTTTCGAAGTTATTGAATCAACAATTTTTGTCCTCCCAGTGTTTTTCAAAGTGAAAATCTCTACTGGCAAGATCAACAACAAAAAAGTGACTTTAGCGGAAGGCAGGGGTTCTCTCTTGATTGTAGACTTGGTTCCCAAATGATCACAAGCTGTTTCATGGTGTCAAATGAATGCTTTGGAAGCTCGCGCCAGCACCCGCGCCGCGCCACGAAACAAAAGCTCGGCATAGTCCATTTTCAGACTGCCCGCTCGACCTGCAAGCCTGCCGTCCGCTGACGTCACGGCACTCAAAAGCGCGGTCATATTTAAATGTTGGTTTTGGCATAAACAGTAACTGTTCTGAATTTCGCGATACTAAATAGCATACCGGAAAGGGTAAAGGCCGCTGATACCGAAAATATGGTTAGTAAAAATAATATTAAAAAACAGCAAAAAAACAACGTGCACTGCGTAGTAGCGATTACACGAGCGCACGCCTCTAAGATGCCCGGGGTCAGCGTGTGTGCCCGTGCTTGCTGGTCCATATAGCGCGCATGCGTGTTTGGCGCAAAATTCGCGCCACTGCTCACAATATCAAAGCCCGTGGAAGTGAGCTAATGATAAGCGGAAGCTTTCATTCCTGGTCTTTTGCCAGTAGACCCGCCTTCCCCCGTTCCTAGATAAAGACAAACCGAGCAAATATCGTCCCTTAAAGGAGCTGTGCAACGATTTTAACGTTGAAGGAATTGGCATTTTCTGCTTTTGATATTGTTCACTGTGTCACAAATGGCAGAAAACACACCTCTGTTCATCGCAATGTTGCGATTCCGCCGCGTAATAGCGAGGCAAAACTTGGAATATTTCCCGACCTGCAGCCACGAGCGGCGGCCATGAGAAACAAGCGGCGTGACGTCACTTGGGTCGTTGTAAGAAAGATAGCAAGTTGTGCGAATACCTGCTCGATAAAAGGTAACTCTTTTTACAAATCTTGTCGTTCCAACATATATATAAATGCGTCAACACCCTGGTATCATCGACAAAACTTTTATTATACGGAGTTTTAGTGGCGCCATCTATCCTAGGTCCACAAAACCGCGAACAGCCGCCAGAAGCCGGAGGGGGAGGGGGACAGCGCCACACTGGCAAGGACGGGTGGTCACGCGGTCGGCAGCGGATGAGTTCTCGCTGATGGCTCTAAAGAGAGAACTTTTCCGGAACTCCGCGCCTACTCTAGTGACGTCACTGTGCACGTGACCCGGAAGACGATGCACGAGTTGAGAGGCGGCAAAAACCTGGATCTTTTTCATTTTTTTAAGTAAAAACTAGGGTATCCAGGCAAAATCTGTTTTCTGTAGTTCACTGCAGAAGTGTCAGGCATCAACTTCCACAATTATTTAAGCAAAGCCCTGAAATTGTTGCACAGCTCCTTTAACTAACGATAAAACGATGCGACGATCGCGGAACTTAGTAACATCCGCGAGAAACAATGTACCAAATTGAAGACAAAGCGATTGAACACGGTAAAAGATCAAAGTGAGCAATTAATGAAATTACACAAAATGACCCCCCCCCCCTCCTCCCCCAAACTCCAATTCCCCGCTCTTAAAAAAAAGTAAAAAAAAAGAAAAAAAAAAAAGAAAACACAAAATAATTGAGAAAAAGAAGAAATTTCGCGTTCCTCCGCGTCATAAGCGAATGCGATTTAAACAGTCATGAAAGGAAGTGGAATAGCTCGATTAAAATTATTCGACGGCGCGGACATTATTTAAATTTTCATGCTATTAAAACACTAACGTAGGAAGATGTAGACCTCTTGAAAACTAACGGCCGTTCGTCGTGTTCGCAATTAGTGAGATCCCGTGTTTGCAAATTAGCAAGATCGACTACTAGCGTTGTTTCCAGCGAGCAGTCGATCAATGATGACCTTAAAAATAAAAGCATCGGTAATAGTTTTTTTTTTATTATTAAAGAGTGTTTACCTTCGAATAGGTTGCTTTTTTGGATACGTGGTTTCTCTTGGCCAAGCGTGCAAGCAAAGGCGGGGTCAGGCCCTGGTCTCGAACAATATAGTTTTTCCTTTAAAAACATTGTCCTTATAGCAGGTTGAACGTAAACAAAATCAGCAACTACAGGCTCGATTATATTAAAAGAGCCAGGGGGCGTAGGATGCGTCCCGCACAAACCACACCCCGTGTGTCCTCTTTGCAAGCCTTCTCAATCTTTTGTCTATTGTTTTTTTATTTATAATTTAGTTTATTATTCATTTATTTATTTTACGATATCTCGATTTATTTATGTTACGATATTTTTATTTATTCAAATATATTTATATTTATTATTTTAATCTAATATTTTCATCCAAAACCGCCCGCTGTCACGGCACTCTTGGAATCAAAGGGAAATATTTAACCTTCCAGATCAGCGGTGCTATTAGCCGGTTGGCCAATAAAAAAAAAACAAAAAAAAACAACTAGTAGCTAGTTGGCTGTTGGTGACTCAAGCAAAATGAACATTACTTAACGGCTAGAAAAAAAAAAAAAAAGCTGTGGCTGCAGGTTTGCTTGCTAGTCTTGTCGAGTGAATCAGGTATTCACAGTGCCTGGATCCTGGATGGAGATCTAAAGCCGAAGCTCTGAAAGTAGTATCGAAAACAACTAATGAAAATCGTGAATAGCAGCAGATTGGCAAAGCGCCGACCCAGGTTCGAGCCCCACCGGGGGCCCGAACTTTATGTACTATAATTACATGTATATCATAAAGTCTGTAACGCTCCAAGGGTATCGCTCGTTCATGACGAATTTATTCGTACAAAACGGGGCATAAAACGATTGTTATGCTAAAATTACTATATTTTTGCTCGGTACGAGCGAAAGAAAAAATCTCAAGTTCAGTAACTCCACCGAAATATTTAATGGGTTCGGAATAAACGATGCGTGACTATTGTACGAACAGAGGAGCGTGCTGGTCGCAGCACGCGAACGATGAAATGATAAACAGACGCAACAAAAACCAAAACGTGCGCCTATTTCTTTTTTGGATAAGTACGCGATTCGTTTGTTGTCCTTTTAGTTTATTTTTTTATGTTTTCCATTCACTCTCCCGTTTAAAATAAGGGTGGGCCCTCGTGGCACTCACTGAAGCTGTATATCGACCGATCAAATTCTGAACATAAGCAGCTAGGATTACGATAATAATCCCTAGAAAAGGGAAACAAGGGGGAAAAAGGGCGAACACAATTCTCCAAACACATCTAGAAGACTAGCGCCCGACTGACAAAGTCGCGCACCAGTCACCTAGCGGTACTACTTAGCAGCGAAGTGCAAGATCAGATAAGAATGTTTGTTTTTCTTCAGAGATCGCATCCGACGATTCCACGTCATGTTGACGCACTTACATCGTCCATAAAACAATAACAAAAAGGACGAGGCTAAATTTACGTCCTCCACACGGAGAAACGAGCTCACCTGAGATGGAAGTCGGCGTGATTGGAGATGACGTCCCAAGTGCTGCGGTAACCGCACATGACGTTCTGCTTGGATGGCGCTTCGTCGTTGTGAAGGTGCTCGTCTCCGTCGCAGAACTGGTTCACCTGGAAACAGGTCGGATCCGAAGCCGCCGCCGTTTAAGAAATCGCCGAAACGGAATCGAGGATTGGTCTTGAACTTCCATTAATCTCGGTTCGATCAAACAACACGCGCAAACACGCGCACACCAAGACCTTCAGCAAGGCCTGGCCGGAGTGCACGCGCAGGCTCACCGCAGCCGAGGAAGCTCGTCAAAAGACGATTAGTCTCGTTAAGTTGCTCGCGACGAACGAAACTGGAAACACGTGGTCGGCAGCATCTCCTCTGGCGAGTTGCACGCACCGAACCTGAGGGGCTGCTCCATGAATTGATAACGTGCCGCGAGCTGCGCTCGCCGATTACGTAAACAGGGCCAGTGTTCTCGAGGGGGGGAAGCGTCCGTGATGAATGGTCGGGTGCCCTTTGGAGACGTGACCTTCGCGACGGGGAGAAAACCTCTCGATGAATTGTCTTCTCGGTGCTTCGATCTTTGCTTGCTCGCTCCGCGGCGTGTGTCATTAGGGTCGCGCGCTCGTCGCTTCGTGCGCCGTCGTCGGATTGCGCCGAGAAACCCGAGCAAGATGAGGCGGGCAATTAGGGACTCCGACGAGGGCGTTCAAGCGCCGCCGCTTTTGAATACGTCGACCGGGCAACCTTTCGTTTTGTAAATAAATCAGCGAGTAGATTAGAGGAGATGTTAGTTTTATGGGCTGACGGAGAAAAGCACAATTCTGGGGGAGTAGCACTCGGCTAATTTCCCGAGCCTCCTTGGCGTATCGTACCAATGAACCTACGAAGCGAACACTATACTCACACTCCAAATTGTTCTAGGAACGAAGCTCAGTTGCAATCTTTTGTCGCGGCGGAGTTTTGGTCACGAAAAATAAATAAATATATATATTTATTAAATTTGCTACTGTGTTCCGAGTTGCCTATACCAATAAAAGCTATAGTTTTTTAAACTTCCGAGTGCGGTAAAGCCGCAATCACCCTGCTTCTATTTTGTACATCGTACAAAACACCCGGTGTTCGCTGCACACACGACGACAGAACTAGCTGAAGGACGGGCCTCGAGAATCTTCAAAGCATGTTTGCTTCACACATGGTATGTCTGCTTCGAACATGTCTGCAGACTGCCTTTTGTGCGGTGGAGTGTAAGCGCGACTTCAAACAGATGCAACTTGGGTGTGACAAGGTCGTTAACTTATGCGAAGTATTGCGTGTAATTCAAGTACACTCCGATATTTATCTATTCTTTTACGTTTCTTTTTCCGTTCAGAATCCGGCGAAACTCCTTTGAAAACATTTGTGAAAATTATGTGGGGAAAACTGAATGATGCGCGACTAAGCAAAATAGCTGGGAACGGGCGGGACAGAGGAAAATTGGGAATTCCTCCCGCGTGGCTCCAGCCCAAAGTTTCAACCCTTCCCCCAGTGGGCCCGGCGCTGGGGTAACGCCGACAGGATTTGCCAAGAGGAAAATTGACGATTCCCTCGCCGGTGGAAAAAGACGGAGGGTGATGTTTTATAGCTTTTTTTTGCCCGATGCCCCAAAGGTCATCCTGGTGATTTTCCACACTGCCTGGTGATGGTTAGGGGAGAACATTGGTCTTAAAAGGGCGGGAGGAATCATATGTTAGTCTTTTTAGATTTAGGGTAGGTGGCGGAAGCTACCGCCCGTTACAAAGGGTATAGCCATTAACATCTATCCATCTATCCATCCAGTAATTACTATTAAAATTTTAATATACCAAATATACCTTCCCCAAAAGCTTGTTAGAGAGAGATTAAGCGCCTTCCCATTTTTGAGTTTGCCCGTCAAAATTGTTTTACAGCAAAGAAGGTGATCGCCTCGCGCGGCGACGTTGCCTGCAACCCAAACCCGATCGCTGCTTTCCGCAGCACCGACTTCGACCGGAATCGAGTCACTGATATAATCGCCGATTTACGACGGAATCTCGGCCAATGATGAGATGGACAAAAGTAGCCATCGAAAAAAGAGGTGTTCGGTGGGACGCTTGGCCTATTCGTGTGAAATGTCAAGTTCAGTGTCTCATACTTGATTATTATCTCCTATGTATAGTATATACTCCTCCAACCCCAATATTCGCCAAGATGCCTTCACAGACCGTTCATTGTCTACCCTAGTGTTCTACGGAAAAATAAAAACCACGTACAAAAATGTATCTTTTTTCTTTTAGATTGCAAGGCTGTTTCGACATGTCTTGCGATGCATCGAAAAGCCCCTAAGGGACACCGAAACTTCAGCACACCCTCCTCGCTATCTAAGAGGCATTCCTACCTTTCGCACGACAAACCGAACAGAAACACCCGCCTTGTAGTTTTCGCAAAACGTCCGCTGTACATCAGGCCACTGTAAACGGAAATGTAACGCGATACCCCCTCTCGCAGCTTCTTTCTCTCTCCCTGGTTGGACGACAGTATTGAGTGAAAAGGTCGACGAGAAGCACCATTTTGAAAAATGAATCGCGTCACTTTTATATATACGGGTGCTTTTCTGCTACGTAGTTGCTCGGGACAAGTGACTCCCGGCGACGTACAGTTGATCGAGGCAATCTTAGCACTCACGTTGGGGAGCGTCTGCAACGCCATGATGGAGGAGAAGACGTTCTCCTGTGTTCGATTGGGCACGGCGTGGCAATCGTCGCCGTCGGGACGCCCCGTCAGAGGATCCACGTGGGCCACGCACTGCTGTCCCGACGTGGTTCTGGAACAAAGAGGGAAGCACCATTTGTAGCGTCGAACCGGGATGCCTCAGCCGTGATCCACCATTCCAACGTCAACGCTATACCTGAAACCCGTTTCCGAACGTTGCTTACACTTTCATCTGTTGAGAACAAAAACGCCTAAAAATACAAGCAAAAAGGAAAATAAAGTAGGAAACATCCTCTTGCGCTTTTTTTTTTTTTTTTTTGTCCCCGGTATTTTGAGTTTTGATTTGTGTTCGACTAGTCCCGGTCGTTCGTTCGGCCATGTTATAGTTTGTTTTAGTATATATCGTACTCTGCGGAAGGCTGGTCCAGCTAGCGGGTCTTCAATCCATGCTACAAAGTGACAGCACGACTCCCGCTATGCCAACGCGCTGTTTCCAAACAAGCCCTCGCGCGAGACTTGGGCAAACGCGCCGTTTCCGCACGAGGTGTGGGCACTGCGTGGGCGCAGGAACCAGATTCGCGTCAAGTGTAGCTTCTGCGCATGCGCCCTGCCAACAGCACCGTCACCGCATTTCTAGTGCCAGCGCTCGTTCTGCGGAAGAACGCTTCAAAGCCGCGACCTCCGAGATATCGTGCCTGATGCATTGGCAGCAGTCTCAGCTTAAGAATGAACGGAGAGTATCGTACGATCTACGAAAACTTCCTATTATTACCGAATGTATCGAGGTTGTTACTGGTGCGCTCTGGAACTAAGCGCGCGAAGCAGTTGTTTGGAACGAGCGATCGCCATTTTTGGTTTCGTCTTTCACATACGGGCAAACGGGCGCGATTAAAACGATAAATATTAAGCATATGGTGAGGTGTGCGTACGTATACAGTACTACCAACTAAGCCAGTAAAATATTCCGCTCGATTCCAACCTATTCGAAAAACCAATCCGGCTATTTGTGCCGCATGCTGTCCGCACTCCGTAGCACAGTTAATCCGAACACTACATCGGCGCTATGTTAGAATTAACCGAAAGAAGTAGTAGTCTCTGACGGAATGAAAACGGCAGGCTCAGGAGACAGCAAAGAGTGTTATCGAAGGTAGAAAGCTCGAACTAGAGACGGAACAACTAAGGAACTCCCCTGCCGTTAGCGTTTTCGTGCGACGGTTGCCGTGTTGAAATGTGGAGTAGTTGGGTTGAGGCGCCAAACACTAATGCTAATAGTTTAATCGTAGCAATACAATAAAAAAAGTATAGCCAAGAAAAAATGTGGAACTATTGGCACAAATCCCTTGAATTCCAAGAACGACTGATCGCAAAATAAAGTGATTTGCTATTTTGACCCTACTCAGCGACACCAGAATTCAACATGGCGGCCGCCATGAAAAAACTGTTTATGCGGAGCGCAAGTTCGTCTGCTTCTTTTGCAGGGGTTGTGGTGACGTCAGAACGCCGATCGCTGATTGGCTCTGATTGAAGGACAGTAGGTAGACCTCAAAGCAGCTTGCTTCGAGATCTACCCACTATCCTTTCAATCAGAGCCAAGCAGAGCTCGCTGTTCAGACGTCGTCACGACCCCAGCAAAAAAAAGGAAAAGCAGACGAACTTGCGCTTTGCATATACATCGAACGCCACATTTCACCACACGAGTTGGCGCACACATTCGACACACATCGCTGCCTAGTTGCGGCAACATACCCTTACAACATATTTATCTGCCCTCTACAGTATTTCTATAGAAAATAGTGTACAGAGGCTATAGATTTTTCAAAGCAAATATATCCGCTGTTCTATCTACCGTCTATACCTTTTTAGCCGCTTTTTCCGTAAAATGTCTATAGAACTTAGTGTATAGAGCTTGTATGAAATTACATAGAAAACAGAGATTCCAACAATGTTTTTATCCCCTTTCCATAGACATCTGGCCAGTTCTTTGCAAAAAAAAAAAATATATATATATATATATAAATCCTGGGCATTAATGCAGGTCTGTCACAAGATCCATAGAAACATGCGCATACGCAGATATTACAGATAGACACGCCACGGAGTTCTCATAGCACTAATAATTCATCACTCTTTACTGCTCCAGCGTCATATACCAGATAATAATTTGTATTCCAAATAAAACAAAAAAGGGCGTCTTTACTGCTACATGAATGCCGTCTTTACTACCTGTTCTTGAGCTCGGCGCACATTCCAGGAGCGAACAACCGTCACAGTCTGGTAAGTAAGTTCGTAACAGTCTGGTGAGTAAGTAACAAAAACTTGTTAATCAACTTTTAATTAGTGAGAACATACATATGGTTCTAATCAAAAACTTGCTGAGTGTCACTTAAAACAACAAAACCAGTATATTTAAGAAAGACAGAGCGTGGGAAGCGCAGTAGTGCACCAAAGTTACCACTCGTGTGGCAGGTACAAGGCTTATGGTAAGAGGCGGGAAAATCGCACGGGCGCCTTATCGCACCGGTAGTCACGCTCCTGCTACACGAGTGCTAACTTGAGCGCACTGTACTGCCACCTGAATGCCGTTTTCACTATGTTTCTTGAGCTCGGCGAATGTCCGCCGAGCTCAAGAAAGATATAGTGCAAACGGCATTCACGTGGCAGTAAAGACGCCTTTTTTAATATCTGTGCTGAAACAATATTACGCGGTAAACCCTACACTTGAGAGGTAGTCTCTTGAAAGAGGACAACCCCAGAAGATAAAAAAGGTTAAAGTTGCTTTTTTTTCGCCAATAGTTTATACGAAATATGGTTTATAAGGGTTGGTGAACTCTGTCACCAACTATAAAGCATTGAAAGAGTGACAATTATTCGAAAAAGTCGAAAAAAAACATCCTCCGCGAGGTTCCAACGGTGAGTGATGTCGCTTCTCTACACTGCATCTTATTATTCTATCGAGTCTAGTCTATAGAAATTCTATATAAATATGGTGTAAGAAAGTATATTGAAGACGTGGCGATAGGAATGTTACTGCATTTATATCGTCTGTACTCTATAAACTTTGGTTGAAAGAAAATTTATAGAAAATTTACTGAAAATTGTCGATTCGTCGTGATTGGATAGAAAGTTAAAAGAGTCGTTAAAATGTGGATAGTCGTTTTATAGACTGCATGAATTATTTTTTGTAAGTGTAGGTTATTAAAAAGAAAATGCGACAAATGAAGAACTTTAAAATCTAACGAGCTGTAGTTTTTTGTTTGAAGGTTCGCCTTACCGGTTACTTTCTCCTGCCACAGGGAAATGGCTCCGTTTGTGTTTAACTTTTGGAAGGCAGGCGGTCGGTTGAAAATTAATGGCGTCCATTTCGCCTTTCTTTTTTAAGGGTCAGAGGGAAAGTGCGGGAGGTTGCGCTTTGAAATATTGCTAGGCTAAGCTAATCACCGGAATACATCTAAAAACAATATTTTGTAAGGTTTGAGTTTCTCTTAGCGTGATTTTGCACTTATATCAACCCAATAACGAACGTATGGTTAATATCAGTCCTGGCGTTCGTCTAAGCTTCCAGCAAGCGTACAAACTTAAACGTATAGTTTAGCGTTGGTTTGTAGAATTCACGACATTAAGCGTCGTCCGCGCTATAAAAGATTTTTTTTTTCTCTTTTTTACTTACAAATCTGTTCTGTTCGCAGGGAAATGATTCAACGAGACTGGGGTAGAAGCGTACCACACAGCATGTTTCCAGCATTCTGCCATGCCGGCAGTGTGCTGGAAATACGCTCTAGCAATATGCTGAAAACGCACAACTAGAAAAACAAAAAGAAAAAAAAAAACAAAAAAAAAACACACAGTAAAAGTGAGAAACTATAATAATCTTACTTTACAACGTTAAAGAAACACAAAAACTCCGCAGAAACAATACAACAAAAACACAGAAAACACGTTCCAGCAAGCAAAAGGAGCTCTTTTGATAGGTCCGATAGGTAATCTTTGCGAACGCTGCACTTTTTCTTTTTCCTTTCTTCCTGCACGAAGGGTAGACTGTTTCAAGATCAGTTTTTTCCGGATGGAGGTGGCTATTCATTGCGGACTTCCTTCGAGTTTTTTTTTTTTCGGTTTTTCTTCTGTTTCTCGCACACTTCCTTTACTTCCTTCCGGGTCTTTCGAACGGAGCGGGCGATATGAACATTCAGAGCGGCAGCACGCAGAAGCCTTTTGTTCTTGGGGGTCCAGAGAGGTTTCGTTGTTTGTTTTTTCCCCCCTCACAGTTCCTCTCTATTCAAAAGCAGCGGGAGCCCGCATTAATATTCATGCAGCGCGCATAATCGAAAGAGCACCGCTGGCTACGTTGTAACATAAACCGCGGGTCTCGGTCAGTTTCAGGCGAAAAGTGAAAACTGTATACTGCTCGTTTTGAAAACCGCTGACACGTGTGCTTGGCTGATGCTCGCGACGGAGAAAAAAAAATAAGTTGAAATAAAAACTTTGTTGACAGGAATAGGCATCCCCAGGAAGTTCTTTGAAGGGAGGAAACGTGTAACAAGGTAAGGAAACACAACGAAAAGAAGAAGAAAAAAAAAGATTAAAAGCGAGCGTCAAGTTTTTGCGTTTGCGAATCGAATACCCCGAAGTCTGAAAACATCCGCGCTTGGAAAGTAAATATTAGAATCATGTTTTCTATCTCGTCGGCACCCTTGCTGTTTTGCATGCTGAGTGCTTTAGATTGAAATAAACAATGTGGTGTTTTTAAATCACAATTGATTTTGTGGATGTCTGCATTGGACAGAGTCGGAGTACAAATTACAAAAAAATATATCAAAGAATAGAACTACGTTTAATTTTTTCGAAGTACAGAAGACCGGATTTACCACCGGAGCTGTATTCTAAGGCAAGTCTCGCCTTATTAGAATAGGAGAAAAAATAGGCGTTTAAAAATGCTTTTCATGATTTTAGATGGAACACTGCAGATTAATAAATACAGATTCATCACACCCCATCTATTTAGGATCGCACGTAATAAGCATACTATAACATTCGAGAGTACAAATTCACCAAAAAATGGTGAATTTGTACTCTCATTTATTTTTGTCATTGTGCTGCGCATATCTATTG